AGATAAAATATATTTGATTTAAAAGAAATATAAATATAAGTATAAGGTATTAAATTTTTATTTTAGTAATATTTATTATATAATTAATTAAAAAAACGGTATAATAGATTGGGATTCACGATTTACCTTGCGCTAAAGGTACGTATCGCTGAGCGCTCCACACTCTGCGCCCTCTATCTCAAAAACGGTTTGACGTATAAAAAAATTTTGTAAACAAAATTTGTAGAGAATTTTATTTTCTACAACTTTTATAATTAATGCAAATACAATAGGAGGCAGAGAAAACGAGATATTCCTAAAAAACTGATTTTTGCGACCTTTGACCTTGAATATCTAAGGCCGCTCACACGTTGGCATATGTGACTTTTGAGACAACATTTGTAATGCTAAAATAAAGGTTTTCACAAAAATTCAGCTTATTCCGTTAGATTCCGAGGTTGATCCCTTTTTTTGACTAAGATGACTGTACTATTTCATTTTTATTTAAATGGAATCTGCATTTAACTAAAAGTTTAATTTAAATGACATTTGAATTCAAACGACACTTGAATTAAATTGACACTTGAATTCAAACGACACTTGAATTAAAACATCACTTGAATTTAAACGACACTTGCATTTAAATGGTACTTGAATTTAAATGCAACTTGAATTTAAATGACCCAGATGTCTATTTCTTTGACCTAAGCAGCTGCCATCTATCGACAGATAGTTGAAATAGTTGATTTTACAGCGCCATCTATGGTTACAACAATGCATTCAAACAAAATGTCGGTCTATGCGCCTGTTTGTATTTATCTACATGGTTTACCATAGAGTATAGTCATTGTTTTTAAAAACAATGGTATAGTGTACGAATCCCCCACATTTTTTCCGCTGGATTTAAGTTTTATTTATTACTTAACGATAAAGAGTTTTGTGCGGTTACTATATAAGGATTAAAGACTTAGATTAAGATCATGTATCATGGATTAAGATCATGTGTGATTCTTTTTTGGTGTGACTGATCTTCTTGTTTTTGCAAGTTAGCGAAAAAGATGCCGCTAATTTACCCCTAAACTGCAATTTGAAAATGTTTCAACTACCTGTCGATAGATGGCAGCTGCTTAGGTCAAAGAAATAGACATCTGGGTCATTTAAATTCAAGTTGCATTTAAATTCAAGTTCCATTTAAATGCAAGTGTCGTTTGAATTCAAGTGACGTTTTAATTCAAGTGTCGTTTGAATTCAAGTGTCAATTTAATTTAAGTGTCGTTTGAATTCAAATGTTATTTATATTCAACTTTTAGTTAAATGCAGATTCTATTGAAATGAAAATGAAAATATATAGGTATATATTTTATATCTGTTAAATCCAACTATTGTAAAAATTAAAGTGCCATTTAAATTTAAATGAAAGTAAAATGCTAGTTTCATTCGAATGATACACAAGCTGCTTAATTACCAGATAAATTCAGATGTCATTTAAACTCATGTGTAAGAAAAATTCAACTATGTTTTAAATGATTCGCTAGACATCTACATGTCTCGAAAATTCGAGTATCATTTAAATCTAAATACAAAAAAAAATAATTTATTGTTGAAATGTGAACTTTTCTTACTATTTTAAAAATTTAATGTAATTTTGACTGACCCAACATTCATTTAAATGTTATATAGGGGCCAATATTCATTTAGAATAAACTATGTTTGAAATACAACTGCATAAGTTTATTTTTCATTAAAATCATGTTTAACTTTATTTGTCGTTATAAATGCACTGGAGAGAATAATCCAACTATCATATAAATACAACCATAACTTTAAAACTATAAGTTAAATTCATTTGTTTGTTTCTATGTATCATTTAAATGGTTTCCAGCTAATATTAATCAGATGTAGGTCATTTTTATGACTTAAATTTACATTGGAGACTTCATAAGAGTAGGTATGATAAATTCAACTTTCGTCGAAATCCGTCTACTAATTCTTAAGTTTAATTTAAAAGACACTTGGGTCAACGAAATTCATTTCATTTCTATTATCGAATTTCTGTTTTTTCATCTATCATTTAAATGAAACATTGGTATAAATGTATATTAAATAGTAAAACGGCGTTCCATAAATATGTTCTTTTTATAATTACTAAAATATAAAACGGGCTAGTATTTGCCGGTAAAGCATTTATTATTTCGGGTGGAGTACCCATAAAAACATCCTCTTCACTTTCAATGTGAAAAACTGCTTCCATTTCGTATTTAAACGGTTATACAGATTCCCAAGTCACTAACTTGAAGTAAGAATGGTTACTCTATTGTTTTAAAGATGTCGCTCTATACAAATATTTAATTTATATCATTTTTAGATGATAATAAGTATTTGTCGTAGAAAAAGTATAGTATACTCGCTTGCAATCTTTTTCAAACCAAATGGATGCTATTTTCAAAGACAGGAAAATTAACTACTATATTTTTCACAGAAAGGTTGAACCTAACAGCAAATAATTTTTATTTCCCCCTTACTTTTTAAAATTTCAAAAATTTTTGATCTGCTCAGCTCAAAATAATGTGAAATTTAATATGTGTGAAACCAAAAAGGTTACTTTTTTACTCCAAAAATGTAAAAAATATTTTTTTTTGGCAAATAAACAAAATGTAGATACTATTTTCTTTCGAACGTCAAATAGCTGCATTACAGTTAAACTCTAACAATCTGTAAAATGTCCAAAAAGAGCCCTTTTACCGACGTTTAAAAAAAGCATAAAACACCGGAACTTCCATACATTCCCTCGTAAATCTAACAATGACTTAATTTAAAGCGAGGGCTAGCATGCGAAAAATGACTTCATTCACTTTATACAGTATACAAAAAATAAGGATGAAATAAAGGACGTCGTGTTTCATGTTCGTTTTTTTGCCTCGTCCTTTTCGTACACACGTAACACAGCCAAGGAATTTATTTAGATCACGTGGTGTCAAATAGGCATCAAGGACGCTTTGGATTTATTTTCCGGTTAAAATTTATGGAGTACTGTAGCTTTTAAAAGCCAAGGACGATTTTCCTAAAAGTTTCAAGGGTGCCTTTCGCACAATAAATTGTTATCCTTTTGCGGTTTTATTCTATGTTAAGTTTATTAAGTGTTACAGATTTATATTTCATTAAGTAGAGACTATTTACACGGAAAAAAGCTATTCTATATTAAAGATTAATCATCTCAGTCCAAGTATATGTTCATCTCACCATTCCGCAAGATACTTTTTATTTAAGGATTGATTTATTCTTATTTATAATTTAAATTAATACTTATTTGAAGGATATATATATATAACTTACTCCTATTTCAAGAAAAACTATCATATTATTTTAAATGCAAGCACCCTCAAATAAAATATATACTATGCTTAATTTAAGAATAAGTATTTTTTGATACAAATGTTATAATTCTTGGCGATACAATATTTATTTTTGGATTAAATATAAGGTATCTTTATGTAAGTTAAGCAAGAATTGTTTTAAATATTGTCTATTCTTTTTTTAACTTGATATGAAATAAACATGGTCATCATAACCTAACCTTTAAAATCGAGCAAAAGTAAAAAAAGAATAGACAATATTTGAAACAATTATTGCTTAACTTAACCTGAAAAAAATGATATTGGTCTATAGAATTGTCTTTATTACATAACTTTGTTACAATGTTTCAAATACCTATGTATAATAACTATACCTATATATAATATATACTGCAATGATTTTTTCAAACCTACAGACACGTTGATTTTGTTTGCGAGACGGACATTTTTTGGCTATATTGGCCTGTTTAAACAAATTTTTTATTATATACATAATTTTTTTTGATGTGATTCTTCGGACAACCTAATATTACGCCAATATCTAAAATTCAATGCATAATACTACACACATAACACAAACTCATATAAATTTGGTGTGGGTCCCATATCTAATAATTGAGATATCGGTATACCCAAAATCCACCAGCCGCCACTGATGTGCGGTATTATTTGATTTTAAGATATTTAATGAATAATATGCTCAAAGTTGCAATAAATTTTATATTTTCCAATAAATTATGTATTTAATTAGTACCCCGGTATACTCGCCACTTCCCTTGCATTCAAATTTAGAAAACAGATATTTCAGAAACTGTTTGAAAAAGTGACTGGCCCGGTCTGGAACAGTATATTATGTTCTCATAACAAAATACTGTTTAATTTTCTCCGAAAACTATATAAACAAAATGAGGTCAAAAGTTGCCCAACTTTGGTAGAATCACCCATATATTAACAAAAAATATTAAAACTTAATTAATTAACTTAAAAAGTGTAGAATCTAAAAAAAAATTACAAGGTGTTTCATTAAAAATAAGAAAGTTGGTGTCGTGACGACACCGTCGTCCCAGTAAAAACTAAATACCCTGTATAAATAAAAATATAATATTTAAAATTTCAACATTCCTCTAACTCAAATATGTAACTTGAATATTTTAATTATTAAACTCAAACAGTCAACATGTAAAAAATCTATAAACTAAACTAAACGTCAGAGGCATATTTGACTTAAATTTCTTAGAATGTTTTCTTGTAAAAACTTTAAAATATTTTTAATTTTACGCCCTAAATTTATATTTAATTATTTATTATTTAACTCAAGGATGACGCATGTAGAAATAATAATTATTAATTATAATGATAATAGTATTGACATTGTCCTGTTATTGTTTGTTTATTTAAATATGTTGCATTAATTGTTTTTATATTGGGTAGGTATAGGTATCGAATTTCTTACAACACTGTTTATTATTCCATGTCATAAAACATTTCAAGTTTGATTTTTACGATTTGTTTGTTTATAAATTGAATCTTACCTATCTTTATATTTTTATATTGGGAATATGACAATTTCGTTCCTATATTTTTCACATATCGACTACAAAATTTCTTCAATTAAGTTAATTCACATGAATTTTAGAAAAAAATAAAAAATATTTTTTTTATTTTCAGGACACTGGTGCGGGAACCCCCGTGACCTTGAGGGTGGACCCCAATGGGTTCTACTTATACTGGGTGGATCAAAATCACGAAATGGATCTTTTGGATATCGGAATAATACGGGATACAAGAACGGGAAGATACGCAAAAATTCCAAAGGTAAAAATATTTTGTTTAAAAAAAATGAAATTCTAAAAAAAGTATATGTTTACATGCAATTTTCCAAGCAGTAAAATCGGGAAATCCGCTAATTTTAGAATCTAGTCTAGTCTAATAATAATTAGTTATATATTTATTAATAAACACAAAAACATATCTTTCACTATATCTGCGCGACTCAGTGGCGGCTCGTGGGTGTATGGAGGGTGAGGCTACATCAGTGGCCAGTAAACCCACAGAATAAACCACTTACAAAAGAATCATAAAATAGACAAACTCATAGAAAAAGAATAAACAAAATATTGCGTAAATAACCACAGATTTGTTCTTTAAACAGTTCAGAATTTTATAACCAAAACAAACATAAAGAAGGAATCTGTATTTATTTTATTGGTTACTGTGATGGCTACAAGATGGCGATAGTGTTAAAATATGTTTATTTTAGAATAGAAATATTATTTCGATTAAATCGATTTATTATAAGAAAAATAATACCATTTATTATTGAATTTTGAAAAACGTGCGAAGTATAATTTATCTAAAATTCCGCAACAGTGTTGCCACAACACCTGCTTATTTCCTTGGATGTAGGCGTGCCTGCCTCGCGTATGCTAATACGAGAGAAGGAGACAACTATGATATCGCATTGTAATAGAACGAGACAACAAGGCTAACGCCAATCGCGAGTCTAAATTAGTTCAGGCATGCTTCTGAGCCAATCATCTAGCTATTCATATTAGTTTAAATTGCGGTCGTTTCAAATTCAAATAATTTAAATGTTGCTGGGTATTCCACGTATAAAATCAATCAATTTTATTGACTATTTCACAATTCATGTAATCCAAATATTAAAAATGTATAGTATATTATAGAAAGTAAAATATTTAAATTATACTTAATTTTTTAATTCTCTATGATGAGGCACTGGGCTACATGAACTTTTACGCGGCCTGATAAAATACAATGCCAACAGAATAAGCTTTGTTTATAAAAACTTCCGCATAGCCACTAATAGCTAATTTAAAAAAAATATATTTTGGCAAATTTTAAAAATTCTGAAAATGAAATTAATAAATTAAAATAAATTCTAATTATAAAAAAAAATGAACCTACACCTCGCCCTTATGAATATTACCAGTAATGGGTCAAGAAAGTTTCTTAAAGAAACCAAGAAAATTGAATGTTAAATTCAAATTGTTGTATTTCGATTAGTTTATAATAGCCAAAATTAACATTGATCGTATCGTGCAAAACGGCTGTTTTAAATCCATTACAACCTAAGCAAAGTTCAAATAAATATCGATCTTACACCATCTAATTTGTAGCAAAAATAAAACAAAGTTGGACTGAGATTAAAGGCGAACGTCAAAGATACAATTTCGCAGATACTGACAGCTTGCGTTTGATAAGGCAACAGATCCAAACGAATTATTTTGCCACTCTTCGAGAGATAAAAAACACACGCAGAAACTGAATTTATGCGAGAATTTATTGCTTCCGGTTTTAGATAACAGCATTGTGAATGTTAATTGTTAATTTACTCCCACGTTGGCTTTTGCGATTATCTGGCTTATTTACCAAGAAAATAAAAATGAGATTTTTCTACTTGTAATATCAGAAGGTCACCGTCATTATCCTGAGTTTTGCAAAAATTCCAAATACGTTTGTTCTAGTCAAAGAAAGGACCTATGACCTATTTCTCTGCTCCAGTACCTACAATTTTGACGGTTGACTCTACCATTCAAACAGAAGGTTAGCTAAAGTATTTTACGAAGAAAGTGTGAACAGTGGCGGCCCGTGACATTTCATTTTGGTGAGGCAGAGGCAGGGTTTCGCCCTCATTTAATGGCGAAGAAATTTTTTTAAACCCAACTTAAAAAAACTGACGTTGCAGTTCGCAACCTATACTTAAAACTAAGTAAAAAACTTAGACTGTGGTGGGGAAGGAATCCTCTATATATACTTTGTCAATGAAATATATTTTATTATAAAAATGACGTTTATTTTAAATAAACCTCATTTTTGTCTAATTAATATTTCATTGTTCAGCAAGAACCACGTGAAGGTCAACAATATCGGTACAATTTCTCACCGTAATCACAATCCAATGTTGTGTGGATTGTGACCGTAATATCCATAATGACTAAATTCTCATAAATCACCAAGTTCAATTAACTAAACCCACAGAATAAACCACTTACAAAAGAATCATAAAATAGACAAACTCATAGAAAAAGAATAAACAAAATATTGCGTAAATAACCACAGATTTGTTCTTTAAACAGTTCGGAATTTTATAACCAAAACAAACCTAAAGAAGGAATCTGTATTTATTTTATTGGTTACTGTGATGGCTACAAGATGGCGATAGTGTTTATTTTAGAATAGAAATATAATTTCGATTAAATCGGTTTATTATAAGAAAAATAATACCATTTATTATTGAATTTTGAAAAACGTGTGAAGTATAATTTATCTAAAATTCCGCAACAGTGTTGCCACAACACCTGCTTATTTCCTTGGATGTAGGCTTGCCTGCCTCGCGTATGCTAATACGAGAGAAGGAGACAACTATGATATCGCATTGTAATAGAACGAGACAACAAGGCTAACGCCAATCGTGAGTCTAAATTAGTTCAGGCATGCTTCTGAGCCAATCATCTAGCTATAAATATTAGTTTAAATTGCGGTCGTTTCAAATTCAAATAATTTAAATGTTGCTGGGCATTCCACATATAAAATCAATCAATTTTATTGACTATTTCACAATTCATGTAATCCAAATATTAAAAATTTATAGTATATTATAGAAAGTAAAATATTTAAATTATACGTAATATTTTAATTCTCTATGATGCCTCACCTGCCTCCCCTGACGGGCCGCCACTGAGTGTGGATTATTGTTACATAAATTCATCATAGTTTCACAAAAGTGTAGTATACTGTTCGGATCAACTTCGTTAAGTTCCTTCACTTCATAAGACGTAATACTAAGCGTTGGATGAATTGAGTTTCAGCTGCGACTAGGCTAGAAGCACTGTTAGGATCTTCTTCCACACGTAACAAAATCTCAATTAGTGTCATCACTAATACTTGGACGGACAGGTTTTGGAATATCTTTGACATGTCCAGTCTCTCTGAATTTTCGTTCAATTTTACAGAAACATATTTGTTTTAAATTATATGCTAACAAAGAAATATAAACTGAAAAATTTTGACCTTGAAATAAAATATTTTGAGAAAGTTTATGAACTTCTATAAACACTTTTTAATTTTATCAAAACCCTATTCAAAAGTCTTTTTAATAAAATTTATAAAACATTCTAAACTAAACAATGAGATATGTAGGAGACTAGGCTTCGCCAGCCAGTTCTTTTTGAATTTGATCCAACGGTTTATGCCTCGTTTCTGGCATGAAGAGAATCGTAAAGCAAATGCAAGCGATACAAACACCGACAAATATATAAAACGTCGTGTCAGTGCCGATGGCATCCTTAACCATCGGATAACCAAAACTGACCATGGACCCGAATAACCAATTGACGGCTGCGGCGACTCCCGCGATGGGTGCTTTTATCGCCGGCGGCACTATTTCCACGATTTCTATCCACGGGATGGGACCCATGCCCAAGCAGAAGCCTATGTTGAAGATGCACGCGCCGAGCACGGGAAACCAGGCTAATATCCGTATGGTATCTTCTGATGGTCTTAATCGGTCGTGAACGGTGAAGAAGATACCGATGCTCAGCAAACCAACCAGCATCAACACAGTCGATATCAAAAACAGAACTTTTCTGCCCGCCTTGTCTATGGTCGCAGATGAAACCATGGTAATCATGACTCTAATTACGCCGACCATCACTACCTGTAGGTAGTCGGAGATCGGAAGCTTGGCAGTCTCGAAGATGTTGCCGGTGTAAAATGTAACAACGTTTATGCCGGTAAATTGCTGGAAGAACATCATGAAGAAGCAAATTGTTAAGGCTTTTTTGGCCGCTTTTGTTTTAAGAGTCTCCAAGCACTTTCCCTTTAAATCCCTTTCCTTATCGATGTCCGATTGAATGGCCTTCATTTCGGCACTGGGATCATAATCTTCACCTCGAAAATATTTCAAAACTTTTCTGCATTTCTCCGTTTTATCGTTCTTTAATAAATAAACTGGGGACTCGGGTTGGAAGATGTACGCAATAAAAAACACGTTCGGTATTATCCACAGCGATATTATATAACCGCCCAGATTATCGTGGAAAATCCATCCCATAACTTGGGCATACAGTATTCCAATATTAATAAATAGCTGGAAGAAGGTCCCGAAGATCCCTCTGAGCTTTATCTCTGCTATTTCCATGGTGTACAAGGGACAACCAACGTAGAACGCGCCACCGGCCACACCAAGGACAAATCTGGCGCCCAAACCCAATCCCGTGCTGTTTGCCCAATACAACAAAGCCCATCCAGCGTCGAACGGGATAATCGTCAACAGCAACGTTTTCTTTCTTCCGATTATGCCCACCAAATAACCCACCGGGATGCATATCACCATGGCGCCCCAGCATATCATGCCTTCGAGAAGACCAAGAGACGTACCTTCGTAGGTTGCACCGTTGTATTCCAATTTTTCGTCTGTTATAATGTTAGCTGTGAAAGCAACAAGTGTTCCGGTGCCCCATGCTCCCATGCATATGCTGGATGCTGCCACAAACTGAGCCCACACCCTGCCCATATTTTAACATGCCACAAAAACATGAACATTACTTCGTCACATTAATATTGATGCAATTACTCCATGACACTTTTTGACAGGATGTGCTCTTAAGTCATTTCCTACTTCCTTAAGTGCCAGAACTGATTCAAGATCTGGGTTCTAAAGATATAAGACTTAGTTAGCTATTGATATACCATTTATTGATAGTAGTGAAAACCTTCAACTATTACGTTAAACTTGAGGCTGTTGCATAACAAAACCTCAATTATGGTCTACAGTATTCTTTGGGTTTTAATTACATCTGAACTTTGGTCCTAGTTGGTTGCCTGACACAGATTTACGGCCTTTTTAAGAGATCTCTGAACATTTTGCCATTTGCCATTGATTGCTAAACTCCAACTTTAGTTTATTATATTCCAGTTTCGATTTTCAAAAGTTTTTCTTGGGCAAGTAGTTGTATTTTTGCACAAACTGGATTTGACCATGTTGGTTCATTCTCTATATTTACCCTTATACCTCGCAGTAGAAAATTCCAAGTATGGGTACTTAAGTTTGTTTCCTCTTCAGTTAAAGTTACGTCAATAATTGTTCGACTAAAGCTTTTATTAATGCTTATCAAAGATTTTCCAATCAATGTGGATTGAGGAGTGGTCTTTATCTCGACAAGGCTATTACCATTAAGCGAATCTTGAATCAATGCTAGATAAAAAGTTAAGATAATTTTTGTCACAGTTACCATCTGACCCTGAAGTTTGTAATCTTTTTGCTCAAGACGGGATAACTTGTGAAGTTTTGCCTCCTCCTGCTCCTTATTTCGGAGGAGTAACATCAAGTTCAGACGAATTTCGTACTTTATTAATTAGAATTCAAGGCCTTAGCTCCGTTTTATGATTTAGGACACTTTTTGACAGAAAAATACTTTTTTGTAGTAAATGGGTTGGTCGATTTAAATTTTATACCAACCCATTTTTATATTGTGCACAAAAATCCATATTGTTTGCTTGTCTATGATTTATCGCCGATTTTCTGTAAATAATTCATCCCGAATCGATATTTATTTTTAACGCCGTTTAATGGATTGCACCCCCGTGTTTCGCACGACACTAAAATTAGGCCGGTGCAGTTTATATTCACGAACCCTGTTTTATTTGCTTCGAAAATCAATTAACATACAAATCTTGCCAACTGCGCAAAAATCAAGGTCGACGTAGACATAGAAGATTGCAGTGGCGTGTCCGAGTAATGGTGGGGTAAAGGGACAGTTCCACCCTCAAGTTATTAGACTACTAATAAAATAATTTCAGGGTTATTTTAAGTACTCCACAGTTTTACTTAGACTGTTTACATAACAAAAACAAATGTGTGTAATTAATGAAATGTGTATTTATTTAAAATAACATGTCAACGATAAAATGTACATTGTACAGTATGAGATATGTATAAAATTAGGGTTCGCCAGCCAGTTCTTTTTGAATTTGATCCAGCGGTTTGTGCCTCGTTTCTGGCATAAAGAAAATCGTAAAGCAAATACAGGCGATACAAACACCGACAAATATGTAAAAGGTGGTGTCGGTGCCGATAACGTCCTTAATGATGGGATAACCGAAACTGACCATGGACGCGAATAGCCAATTGACGGTGGCGGCGGCCGCTGCAATGGGTGCCTTTATAGCTGGCGGAACTATTTCCCCGGCCGTCATCCATGGGATGGGACCCATGCCCAAGCAGAAGCCTATGATGTAAATGCAGGCGCCGAGAACAGGAAACCAGGCTAATATGCGTATCGTGTCTTCTGATGGTTTTATGCGGTCCTGGACGGTGAAGAAGATGCCGATGCTCAGCAAACCGACCAGCATCAACACGGTCGATATCAAAAACAGCACCTTTCTCCCCGCTTTGTCTATGGTCACCGAGGAAATGGTGGTGAACATAAGACCGATAACACCGATGATCACTACTTGCAAGTAAGCAGAGATCGAAATCTTGGCCGTTTCGAAGATGGTGCCGGTGTAAAACGTAACAGCGTTAATGCCGGTGAATTGCTGGAAAAACATCATGAAGAAGCAAATTGCAACGCTTTTTTGGGCTGCTTTTGTTTTAAGCGTCTCCAAACACTTGCCCTTTAAATCCCTTTCCTCCTCGATGTCCGATTGAATGTTCTTCATTTCGGCACTGGCATCGTAATCTTCCCCTCGAAAATATTTTAAAACCTTTGTGCATTTCTCCGTGTTTCCTTTCTTCAGTAAATAAGCTGGCGACTCGGGTTGGAACATGTACGCAATAAAGAACACGTTCGGTATTATCCACAGCGATATTATGTAACCGCCTAGATTATCGTGGAAAATCCATCCCATAACTTGGGCATACAAAACTCCAAGTGAAATAAATAGCTGGAAGAAGGTGCCGAACATCCCTCTGAGCTGCAAATCTGCTATTTCCATGGTGTACAAAGGGGCACCAACATTGAACGCACCTCCTGCCATACCCAGGAAAAATCTGCACGTCAAACCCAATCCCGTACTTTTTGAAAAATACATTACAGCCCATCCAGCTTCGAACGGAATAATCGTCAACAGCAACGTCATTTTTCTTCCGATTATGCCCAATAAATAACCCACCGGGATGCATATCGTCATGGCGCCCCAGCACATAATGCCCCCAAAGAGAGCGAGACTCGTACCTTCGTAGGTTACACCATTGTATTCCAGTTTTCCGTCTGTTATAATGTTAGCTGTGAAAGCAAGCAGTGTTCCAGTACCCCATGCCCCCATGCATATGCTGAATGCTGCCACAAACTGAGGCCACACCCTGCCCATTGTTTATTTTATATTAAGTGTTAAAAACATAACCTACATAACCTCGTCACAGTGACATTCACTAATCCAGAACACTTTTTGACAGGATGTGCTCTTTAGTCAATTCCTACTCCCTTAAGAAAGGTTTTAAAGAATATAAATTAGCTCTTCGTGTTTGGGAATACAGTGAAAAAGATCAGCTTGAGGCTGATTGGGTTGGATTACATCCATTATCATTAAAGTTAAAATTCTATCAAAAACGTATCACATTCATCCTAATTCTTTTCAATTACATTTTTGGGCAAAAAAGGATTTAAAGAGTTGGTGGTAGGTTAGAAGAATCCATTCTAGTGTCGAGCTTTCTTTATACATGGTTATGTAAGATTATTAATGCTTGTTTTAATGTTAAATATATAATTAAGAATTGTAAACCATCTCAGTTAATGGATGACTTTGCTAAACTTCGTAATCTTTCTGCTTAAGACGGGATAACTTTGCACTTTTGACTCCTCGTTATACTTGATTATATGGAACCCTGTCTACCATGGATGAAGTTTCTCTAAATGAAGTGTATGTAAATTTAGGTGGCGCCATCTTTAAACTAAACTATAAACTTTATATAAAATTTCAGCACCTTCTCTTGAAGTATGTGAAAAAGTAGGTATCTCTATAGGAGAGTGGATGTACTTACCACCTTAATAACTTGAAATAAAGACAACCTACCAATAATGTACTTATTAATTACTTTTATTTACAGTCTCTTACAATTAATTAACTGAATAGGTGCACCCCCTTCTGTCAAAATGTTGGTCGTATTTGGGGTATTTTCGATTTTTTTTACGAATTCCAAATTGGTACCAAATAAATACAAAATAATTTCTACCAGGTTTCAGTTCTTAATATTACTATTGCTGGAAGTCAAAGTTTTCAATTTAAAATTTTACTCTAAACATGAATGTTTTTTTCATTCCAAAGAAAAATCCTAATTTGGCTAAATGGCAGAGAATTGAAAAAAAAAATTCTTCATCTATAGCAGTAAGAAATTAACTGTCTAAAATGTTTTGCAACCTTCATATATGTAGGTATATAAATAAATTAATACAAAAAGAAAACTATTTGTGACCGGTTTAGGACTATCGTGAAAAAAAATACGAAAACACCCGAAATAAGGACCACCCTGACGTCACACACTTGTCAACAAGACAATGTGTAGCAACGATTTTCTTGTAAAAGTCCACTGATTTTTTCGCTGTCCTTGTCCTGTTTGGACTCGAAAAATCTACGTGGTATAGACCGAATTTTTCCCTAAAAAATAGTTTATTTTTGTAAACTCTAAAGTAGAAAAATATGCTTACGTGTAGCCAGCTAACCACTCATAGTTATCCAATAGACTCCAAGCCATGTAACCAGAAACATGTACCTTATCTGTATGTATAGCTTCCAATATAGCGCTTAAGTATTCCTATATTAGTACAAAAGTGAACTATGTGGATGCAATATTTAACAATGATAACTATAACTTACCGTATAATAATGAATTCTGGCATCGTCCTTTAAAAGGCCAGCATCTGAAACTCCGTTTTCTGTGATGATAATTTCAGGATTGTTGTAAGTATTTTTAATCCAGTTTAAAAACTTCCTCGCGCCCCATGGAACAATCTAAAGAACGTAAAAATTATACAGGCTGTCCTGTAAAACCTTTAGTTTACCTTCAACCAAGTAGAGTTGGTGGCTTCCCAAGTGGGGTCTTGAAAAGCGTTAGACCCCATATCGAACTCGTAGTCGGTCTCATTGAAAGTGGGCTCCTCGATTTTGCAGACCAAAGAGGTCGTGTAAGTGTTGAAACCCATGAAATCGTGGGTACCCCTGATGTAATCGATTTCTTGCTTCGTAAACTTGGGCAGCCTCGATTTGGCGTAGCCTTCATTTTCACTTCTGTAGTCCACTCTGTCGATCACGACCTGAGGCCAATTGCCGAGGAATATGGCATTCGCGTACAATCCGAACTGTTGAAATCAAATTTTATCCAGTTATACCGTTGGTATAAGCTTTGCAAGCTAACCATAGGGAAAATATATTGTAACTGGACCAGATAAGTCGCAGTCAACACAAAGCGAGAACCTTTTCAGAAATGATTTGGATGCGTCGTCGAGACATGCGTACTAAAACAAATTTTACCAGATTTACACCGCACAAAATAAAAAACAATAATAAAGCATCGATGTATGAAGCAAGGTCAACTGTTACGGCGCATGCTAGCCTACTCGTCCACGCGTCCAAATCCTTCGTGCTGACTAAGACTTATCTGGTCCAGTTACAATGTATTTTCCCTATGGTTAGCTTGCAAATGAAGGTAAGGTTTATTAGTGACATGGAGTTTCATCAAGTAAAGATCGAAACAATAAAATAATTAAGAATGCTTACAGTGAACTGTCTTCTCGTCTCGGCGGCCTCCATGTCGCTAGTGCTGTTACTAGCAGGCTCGTACCAGTCGCTGTCGACAACAGTCGACACCCTGCCGCGTTGTTTGCCTCTAAATTCGTCATCGTAAATGTGCCAGGCCTTGGCGTGGGCCTTCAAAACAGTATAGGTGCACAGATAGTCGGCAACACCCGGCGACTTGATCAGAGGGGCCATGGTTGCGCTCCCGTAGCCCTGTTGGCAAGTCTGCTTGGCTTCGTTGAAAGTCAACCAGGTTTTGACTGAATCCCCGAAAGCTTTAAAGCATACCCTGGCGTAGTTAGCGAAATGATCGGCCAGGAGTTCGTTGGGCCAACCCCCGATGTCTTGAAGTGGTTGCGGGAGGTCCCAATGGTACAAAGTCGCCATGGGTTCGATACCGTTGTCGAGTAGCTCTTTGATGAGGTTCTTGTAATACTGTATTCCCGGCTGGTTGACTTTATTTGTAAAACCCGTAGGTAGGATTCTGGACCAGGATATCGAAAACCTGTACACTTTGACGCCCAGGTGTTTTAAAAGTCTCACGTCTTCTTTGTATTTGTGATAGGAATCGCAAGCTACGTCGCCGTTATCGCTATTTTTAACGGCAGTGGCGTTGGTGTGGGTTAAGCGATCCCATATGTTCTCGCCTTTCCCATCTTCATTCCACGCCCCTTCAATTTGATACGACGCTGTGGCAGTTCCGAATTTAAATTTCGCCGGAAAGGATTTGTTACTGACTGCTGCAGTTAAACTAAAAGTAAATGTTTTATTTAACCTTTCTATTTGAAGCCATACTTTGATTTTGATAAAAAAAAATATTAGAAAAAAAAACTACTAAAAACACAAAATTGGAGAAAAAATCTTACCTGACCAGAAGTATATAGCACATAAACTTGAACAATTTCATAACCAACTAGGTACCTACTGCAATAGTTAAAATAAAGTGTCCCCAACTCAATTTATAAAAACTTCCGTGTGTGATTGCCTTTATTTCGACGGCTGTGGTATTTGATTAGGACAATTCAACTTCTAATAATTTAATATAGGTATCTAGATATTTACGACCGCAATATTTTTAATGTTGATGTAAAAATATAATTATGTTATGAATAATATCTTGGGTTTTATGTCAAGGGGTAAATTGAATAATTATAATTTGATAAATAATTAAATACATATATGGGTCGGAATTAGTTCAATAAAAAATTATCAACTTTTTCCCTGGATCATAATTATTTCGGTTTTTCTTTGCAGCAGTTTTGGGGTATTTGACTAGTTGTAGGGAAAAGTAAAATTTTTCCAGGAGAAATACTTTATGGTTATATTTCAGATATAGTTAATTTTGATAAAAACATGTGGGATGATATTTACGTGAATTTGGCAGTGACAATTTTCAAAATGACTGATTTCATAACCATAGAGAAACAAACACAAGAGAGTGCGCGATTGCCTTTTAGCAAGGATCCATGTGACAGGATAGTAAATGACGTTCAAAAAGCGTGCCGATAGACTAGTGGTTGTGGGCGTTGCTTTCTCGTGGCGTAATCTAGCCGGGTTTCTTTTACCACAAAAACAAATTAAACTCATTGTGATTGGTCAGTCAAAAATATTTGTATAGAGCGACATCTATCTCTATCTCTCTCAAATAAATACAACTGTCACTTTTTCCCGTGTAAATTTTTTTTAATACTTTGTGATAGTATTTTGCAATTATAATAATAAAGAAAATCAAAGGATAAAATATTTTCTTAACATTATCGTATTTTGAAGATATTTTAATAGTTTAAAGTATTAATAATTGTTAAGTTTAATTAAAATAATAACGGGCAATGTTAATGGTGAAAATAACGTCAAAAATGTTTATTGGAATGGTTACTTTATTTTTGTATAGATGTCGCTTTATACAAATATTTAATTTAAATAATTTTTTAGATAATTTTGAGTATTTGTCGTAGAAAAAGTATAGGATGCAACTCATTTCTAACTCGTGACTAAAATGGCGTTTATTAAACTTGATACTATTAGATGAATAACAATAATTGGATGACATATTTATTCTTTTATAATTTGTACTTAAATTGTTTTAGCAAAATGGTAGAAGGTTACCCAGGGTAACTTACGCTTTGCTGTAGTATTGTAGAAGTCTAATATTAAATAAAAAACTCCAATATTTTAAAATAACCCCTTTTAAATTAAATATTCAACAGGTAAATAACCTTCGTAATGTATTTATACGTTTTAAAAGTTAGGTTTAACTTTATATTGGCCAGGAAAAGTTCTCTGTAGACATGTTGATAAAGTTAAGGAAAACTAAAATACTAAAAATATAAGCAAGCAGAAAATATTTATTCGTACAATTTTATTGGTCGTTTATAAATTTAAATAGCTTTGACTTTATGATCCATATTTCCTATTTCACTTTGCTTTTTAGTTTTTCTTACAGACGATATTCAATTAATCCTTTTTTTACCCAAGTCGACCTTTCAGCTATTTGAAATCATTTCCCTTCGATCCAATTTAAAACTGTTTATCTTCTTCTTTTTCAAACCGAAGTACGTGCCTTCGGGGGAGAAATTCAATTTTTCAATAAATTAAGCCGACTTAAGGAGCACGCTTAACTTGTCACGGCTGTCTTACGCCCCGAGATTTTATTGCGAAAATAAAACAAGCAAACCGAACTGCAAGCAAGCAAAACATGGAAAAAAAGATACCTATTTTAGGAAAGCAAAATTTTACAAGACACGCACTGGTTTATTAACGAACTAAACTATTTATTTTATAACTTAATTACACTTAAAATACTAAGAAACTATAAAACTAACTAAACACTTAACTACTAATTATTTATATAATACTACTGTTCAAGAGTCTATTTATTTGCACGTATATTTATTTCGACGCGAGTACCAAAACATGACTGACTCTCCATGATGCGTCGTTCCTTATATATTCAGCGCCTACCTACGTCTTCTGGAATATTCCAGCGAGCTCCACACTCTCGATTATTCGAGCGCTGACTCTTCGGCGATGAGTCATCATTCCGAGATCCAGAGCCGTATTCGCTACAATATTATTAGACAAAGAGATATTTGCTCTAAAATCAAAATAAAATGTGGTTAGGTCAATAGTATATATGCTTTTGTAGCAAGACAAATTTTCTTTCTTAGAAAGTTCCTAAGCTTTTAATTAAGAGATGAAGTTTTCTTGTTAAAATCCCATTTTTTTAAAAACGTTTTCTTTATTCAAAAGAGAAATATCTTCCGAAGAAATATTTTTGGTTGGTGTATCAACAAATCGCTTGCTCTTGATTTAAGCTAATATTGTAATATCCTTAAAAGAAAATCTCTCCCCTTAAGTAATTTAAAAAAAAATTATGTAAAGATAGTTTCTGATTTAGATAATGAAACATAGCTCTTGGTTCTATTCAAAAACGCAAATCTTTTAAATCAAGTGATTTTGATTTCTTTTAAGAGATTATTTTTTTCATCTGTAGATATATAATAGTATAATCTGTAACAAGCTTGGAATAGTGAAAAGTTTATCAATGTCATTCCGTTTCTCACGGCATTTTTTTAATTTCAGGATCCCCGGTTAAGGCAAATAGTAACGATGGGCTCGCAAGACACGCTCGAAGAAAAAACGATGACCGTATGCTGCGCGAACGACTTCGTAAATATAACGTACATAAATTTTTGCTGCACAAGAAAAGAAATCGCTAGAACATGGACCGACGCACTAATGAGCCTGGCTTACAATTTAAATCAAGTCCACGGGACGACTGTCACTTATTTATTGAAAGCGCACACCAAACTGACGTTGATGACGGATAAGACCAACAAAATACCAGTAAAAAAGTATGTCAGTTTTGAGTTAAAAAAGTCTTAACGCAAAATTTTAAATATACTGTTTCATAGGTCTACAAAACTTTTTTATAAATTCTTTTCTAAGCAAAGATTATTATCCACTAGGAATACTTTGTCTCTCCTGGGCTGTAGTCACCTATATTTAACTACTTTTTTACACGATTTTACTCATCTACGCACCAACCAAAGACAAATTAATTGCATTTTTAACTACGAATTTTGACAACCCAACTTAATAATTTAAACATAACCACAATTACATTATAAATACATTTATAACTAGTTATTTCATTTTAAGAGAGTACTTATTAATCTTAAAACTATAAAATCTTTTTTAGTGTTTTAAAAATGTTTGCACAAAGTAAAGACGATAAAAAGCGAGTTGAGACTGTTCTTCAAGAGTTGCAAATGCCGCACGTCAAAAATGACACGATAAGTCCGGAAAAGTTCACTTTCAACGATTTTTTCCAATTCTACAAGGCTTTGACGCAAAGAAATGAAGTCGACAAGATCTTCAATGAAATGTAAGATTTCCTCAAGTTCTTCAAGCGACGTTTCTGATTGTGTTGTTTTAGCTCTGGAGGCAAACCCACGATGACCACGTCGCAAATCGTGGAGTTCCTCAACCATAGACAGAGAGATCCAAGGTTAAACGAGATTCTCTTTCCGTACGCCAACTCTGAAAGAGCGCGGGACTTGATAAACCAATACGAACCCATAGCAGCCAACAAGGCGAAAGAGTTACTGTCATGGGAGGGTTTTCTGAAATATTTGATATCAGACGATAATAATATAATGGCAGCCAACAAGTTAGACTTACAGGACGATATGGATCAACCTTTAGCTCATTACTTCATCAATTCGTCTCATAATACTTATTTGACCGGCCATCAGCTTACCGGAAAGAGCAGTACCGAGATGTATAGGCAGTGCTTACTATCAGGATGTCGGTAAGAAACTTAGTGGGTCATTCCATCGTTTCGGGTGTTACATTTGTTTAACCAAAGTCTTTGTTTCTAAACTATTCACTTTTAGTTGCGTGGAGTTAGATTTCTGGAATGGAAGATCAGAAGAACCAGTTATCGTACACGGTTATACCTTAGTCCCGGATATCTCAGCTAAAGAAGTTTTGGAGGCAATCGCAGAGAGCGCATTTAAAACATCAGATTACCCAGTAATACTCTCATTCGAGAACCATTGCAATCCCAGACAACAAGCGAAAATCGCAAACTACTGCAGAGAGATCTTCGGCGAGATGCTTCTGGACGCTCCCATGGAATCTCACAAGTTGGAACCTGGAAACAGCTTACCGCCGCCAAGCCTGCTGAAAAACAAAATCATCATAAAGAACAAGAAGAAGCACCATCATCACCACCACAAGAGAAACGTCACGCCGTCACCGGAAGTTGTCGTAGAACCGACCGGAAATGGCGACGCGCCGCACGTGCCGCCTTTGCAGCAAAGGCAAGGCTCGAAAGACTCCACGGAAACGGAGGGCGAAGAGTCGTCCAGCGACGAGGAAGTCGAAGCTGCGGAAGCCGAAGCTGAAGCGCCGCAGGAAGAAGCTGCGAAAGATAAAGTTTCCTCCACGACCGAAACTGAAGCTGGCGCGGAGATATCAGCTTTGGTTAATTATGTGCAGCCAGTGCATTTTTCCAACTTTGAAAACGCTAAAAGTAAGTTTAATTTTTGTTTATAAACAAATAGTTTTACATGTGTTTTTCAGAGAAAAATAGAAGCTATGAGATGTCTTCTTTCGATGAAAGACAAGCTACTGCCTTATTAAAAGAGTATCCAGTACAATTTGTGAATTATAATAAACATCAATTGAGTAGAGTGTACCCTGCAGGCACCAGGTACATAGGTAGACTTTGACTTGCATCTAAAACTCTAAAACATTTATTTTCAGATTCGATTCCTCAAACTTTATGCCGCAAGTCTACTGGAACGCGGGTTGTCAATTGGTAGCCCTGAATTTTCAGACCCTAGACTTGGCGATGCAACTAAATCTGGGTATTTTCGAGTATAACTTTAGATGTGGTTATTTACTTAAACCTGAGTTTATGAGGCGTACCGATAGACGGTTCTATCCGTTTGCTGAAAGTACTGTTGATGGAATTATTGCAGGTACTTAATCTACAGATTAAAGATGTTTTTAAGTTATAAAACGATTTCTTTTAGGTACTGTTGAAATTACTGTGATATCTGGACAATTTTTGACTGATAAACGCGTTGGGACTTATGTGGAAGTGGAAATGTATGGATTACCAGCTGATACGGTGAGAAAAAGGTTCAAAACTAAAGTAGTGCCAAATAATGGCATCAACCCAATCTATGACGAAGATCCATTCGTGTTTAAGAAGGTATATTCAAAAACTCTTCTCTACAAAAACAATTCTAAACACATTCTCTTTATAGGTCGTTTTACCGGATCTAGCCTCAATAAGAATAGCAGTCTACGAAGAATCAGGCAAGTTCATAGGCCATAGAATCCTCCCAGTTGTAGGCCTATGCCCAGGCTACAGACACGTCAGTTTACGAACTGAAATAGGCCAACCTTTACCACTAGCAACGATATTCCTGCTGGTGGTGGTTAAAGATTACGTGCCAGATAGCTTTTCCGACTTTGCCGAAGCTCTGGCTAATCCGATAAAGTACCAGAGTGAGCAGGATAAAAGGACGGAGCAGCTGGCGAAGCTGACCGACGATATGGAACCGATTGAAGGTACAGAGGAACAAAAGAAGAACAGCTTGACGAAAGCTATTAGAGAGCAAGCTACAAATGGTATTTACGCTAGTAGTGTTTATGTTGCATTAACTATTTTGACATTATTTTGCAGGAAGTCCTTTGCAGAGACCGTCAATAATAGCTGCGGGTGGTGTTTCTATAGACGTAACTGAAAACGAGGTTATATTGAACCAATCCAGCCCTAACCCCATAACTATTATGTCCGCTGAGACTAACTCTTTGGCGAAAATAGAGTCCAAGGAGGACAAAATCGAGGAAATAATCGCTGAACCGTTGGAGAAGATTCTAGACAACAAAGTGGTGAAGGAAAAGAAACTCGAACTCGACAAGAAGCTGGAAAACCTGCGTAAAAAACACGAAAAAAAGAAAATGACGCTACACAGCCAAAAATCCGGGGATTTCTCGGAAAAGAGGTCGAAACTGATAAACATGAAGTTAGTAAAACGTCTATCAAGAACCAACATGTAAGTATTACTTATTATTACACCCCATAACCCACTGCTTTATAATAGAACTGAAGCTTTGCTTTATATACAATAATTTTAATTTTAAAGAGCTTATGTCATGATATAGATTCTTTAAAATTTAGCAAATGCACTTAAACAAAAAAAAAATACAACGAAAACAAAAAAGATCGTTCAAAATTTGATAACTAAATTGGTATTTCTAAAAAAGAGCGGACAACCAGGGTTGTTCCGATCAACAAATTGGCGTTTGGAGGTTATGTCCGAAATGGTAAGTGTATCTGTAGTTTTCGGAGAACACTCGAAAATTTGATGAAATTTTGCACGATTTTCAATATCAGTACGTTACATTACGCGTACGGAATGCTGAGCTTTCCGCACGAGTGCGAGGTTGAAGCACGAAGCGACAGCCGAGTTTAACGAACGTGAGAATGATGAAAAAGCGGCTTTCCTACCAGTATTGTACAGTGCTTTTCCTATGATCCCATAACTAAGTATTATTATTGCTTCTACATATAGAAAAGCTCACGCTGTATCTGGCTGCGTTATAACGATGAAGAGTGTAAGTTTCGAGTGTGCTTCCGCACCACATGGATACCGGGTACTGATGAGGTCCAAAAAACGGCTGTCTGTTTATGGAAGCGCACTTGAAACAAAAGCACAATGAGCAGATAAAAGGCCAGTTCTCACAATTTATAGGGATCGTAGGAAGTTTGTTTTTTGCACAACATCTGTTAATATACATTTATTATTATATTGTACCTCCGTAATTTAATACGTACTATGCAGTGCGCACGTTAGAATTTTATTTAAGAAGTTGATTCTCTATTCAAAGCTATTTAATTTTTATAATCCGTAACCTGAACCTTTTTTCGTTCATATATAACAGACTTTAAACGTCGCACTGTATAATACATATCTTCAGTAGTTTAGTTACGAATCGAGCATGATGTGTCTACTTACTTTATCCGAAAACTTCCTCTAAAACGCATCTACAGCGCGGACTTTTTATTTCAGCGTCAGCGGAGTGTTCAGCACGGAAAGTCCGAGCGCCGAACCTTTAACTTCAGTGGCGGACGGGCCCGAAACCAGCGGATCCGACGGGGAAAGACCGGTGCTGCCCAGAAGTCATTCCGAGAGGCTTTTGGCCATCAACAAGGAATTCGTTTCGCAGGAAAAAGAGTTGAGGGAGAAATATCACGAGGTTATCTACAACTTGGCTGAGAAGGTGATGAAAACGTCCCAGTGCAACCAAATGAAGGCTTTAAAGGTGAGATACGAATCCGCAAAGCATCTTCTTCATCGCAATCTAAATTTTTAGGATCAGTTCGAGAAGGAAACGACGGACCTCATGCGAAAGCTGCAGGCGGATCACAGAGAGGAAGTGAAACAGCTGGCGAAAAAGCACCGAAATCGCGAGCAGTTCACGCGAGTCAAAAGAGAAGCGGTCACGGCAGTTGTGGGTCGTGGAGTTTCGGAAAGGGAGAAGCTGGATCAGCTGTTCGAGAACAGGAAGGAGGAGCTGCTCAAGCAGCACGAGATGGTCAAGGAGGCGCTGACTGAGAATAGAGCCAAGGTAAGAGAATGTTTGAATTAGGTGGCAATGAGTTTTATTATTAAATATCTCAGTAAATAGGCATTATGCGAAAAAAATTTTAAAATAAAATATATCTTCGTTCCACCTAAAATGCTTTATAAGCGATTATCAATCCCTATGAACCTTTCAACTCCAATTCATTGAACACTGTAAAACGACACGGAATTGTTTTCACAGTCGCTCAAATCTGTCAAGTTACCTTGAGAACTAATTTCTCGCTAAAACAATTAAATGAATGAATTTGTGGTTATGTTTTTTCATTTAATCTGAAGCGCAGCTACGAACGCCATCTATTCAAATTAATCCAAAGTTGTACGAATTTCGATATTCCGGCTGTTTCTTTAAATTAATTAAGCTGTGTTGAATATTTTTCCTTTGGGAATAATTGAGGAGCATCCGTGCAAAACCGGCTAAATCCATTTTATTAAGTTTTTGGTTTTTTTTCTGATTTCGCATCTTTGGGTTCATTTCTATCGACAACCAATATAATTATGTTTAAATCCGACTATATCCATGTTAAAATTACATTTAAAAGGTAGCTTTAGGAGCAAAACCGGCCAAATCCACGTTTTTATAGCAAACCCGGCTATATCCAATAAATAATAAAGATGATGAGCATGTGGCTTGGATATGTCGATACCACTACTAAAATTTGTTCTGTTTTTTCATGTTTGCACTAAATTTATTTTGTTAATATTTTTGAATAATAAAGGTTTTTTCACATTTTATTCAGTTTTTGAGCAAAACCGGCTATATACAAAACATTTTTTGAAATTTTGGCCTTAATATAAAGTTTTTGAAAACGAAAGTATGTCTTACAAATCAAGTACCACAAAGCCCACAAAACCCAAGTTTGCTTTTTCTTTTATCTGTAAAGGCCAGGAAACCAAGAGTTTTTGCCATTTTCCCAACATTTTATTAAAGTGGATATAGCCGGTTTTGCACTGATGCTCCTCAATTGCCAATGGGCCATTAATTCATTTGTTCGCAGATAACCTGCACTGGTGTGTACTTTTTGATCAACCAGATTTAAATATTGCTGTACTAACATATACCAGTGGAGATAGTGCAGGGTCTACCAACAGACCTCATTACTAAATTATTAAAGTTTAATAGCATATCGATCGTTTTTTCAACACAACCTCTGAAATTTTTAATACAAACATAGGTACTTTATATAATACATAAATATACTTTACATCATATCCTCTGTGCTTTACATACCTGAGTTGTTACGGTAAACAAAAATGAGACAAAGGAACCAAAGAAAGGAACTGTTTTCAACAAAATCATAGGCCGAAATGAGAATATTCAAAATACTTGCATCCATCAAAAGATCAAAACTTCTAGCAATATTGAATTACACCCTCTCAGAAATATTGACTGAGAACAGTATTAGAGAGACTCCAGTTTCTATAACTTGGTAGAGTAAAGAGAAGTCGAAACCGTTGCGATATTGCATTGCGCTGTTTTTTTATAATTCTCGGGGACATTAACGAAAATCATTGCCAGTAAAATTCGAAAAGCTTGAGTTTCTATGTTTTTGAAGAGAATAAGAATCCGAAGTTGCTGCACCATTGGACTGCCCCCTTTTCAATAATTTCTAGAGACGTAAATGACTGCGCCAGTCGACAGGGTCGAGTTTCTACCTCTCTGTTGAATATAGAAAATCAAAATAATGTATCTTGTCAGACACCAACGAGTTTGACTTTAACTATAGTCGTGCATAGGTATAGAGGCGAAAAATATAAAAACAAAGCACGATTCAATGCAGTTCTCCGTTTGCTGCGAAGATAGATAGATAGAAGAAGAAGATATTTAATGAGATATTTTAAAGTTCCAAGTTTTTAAAGACTTACTCTGTATATCAAATAAAAAAATAATATTTTTTTTGTTTCAGGCAAAATCAGCCCTCTCAAAAGAATTCGACACGCGATTGGCGCGTGTTGACGGTGAAACCAGCGGCGCCTACTGCTAAAACCACAAAAAATAAAAAGAAACGCGAAACAAATAAGTGAGATTCAATATTTTTTGTAAATACCCGTTTATACATACAGAACAAACAACCAATACAAAAAACGGGTATTCAAACACGACAGAGATTGATTACGTAATTACGTGGGTAAATCTAGGAGGCGGTGCCTACAACAGTTCATGCGACTAAATAGATCGAATTAAACAAATAAATAAATAAAATATTTAAAAATACATTTTCTTGACAATCAATTTTTTTGGGTGAACACACAATTTAAGATACTTCCTGTTAATATTTATGAATATTAAGAGAATAGTTTAGATGAAAATTGATGTTTGTTGTTCATTGTGATAGTAGAATATAGTGAATAAAAAAATTAATTTACGACTACCTACTACTACTTACTACTAATAATATTGTACTGATCCAAATTAATAACGCATTGTCATCGTCTACAGGGTGTATAAAAAAATTTGAAATGTTCGCAAAAGTAATCCTTGCATAGTAGGTATGTAGCTTAAAACCACCCTGTACATACTAGTAGCTTAAATTATATAAGACAATAAAATAATACTGTTACGTTTGAAACATGCAGTATATTAATTTTTTGGGTGTCTCAGACCGTATACAAAGTGTTTACAAATCCTATAAAAATACATTTACCGAAAATGGCGCAGTCGGTCAAACATATTTGTCTCGCCATGTCTCTATTGACAATTTTCAGGATCATGATTTTTCTTCACTAAAAACTTTCTAAAGCCTTTAGGTTTGTATAGTTTTTAATAATTTTTTGTTTGAGATTTAATTTTTGGTTTTTATACCAAAACTATTAATTTTTGAACACTTTGTATAACATATTAATTTAATGGGGCCTAAAATTGTAACTAAATTATTATCGGCAATGTTTTGTTAATTTTGGATTCCTACAAACTCTTATATATTGCTTTAATAATATTAAAGTTTTTTCTACAGTAAACAAAAAATGGAGCCAGTTATATTTTACTATTCGCACATATGTATTAATTAATGCATTTAATTTTGATAAAATTAATTAAACACCAATCTGCAATAATAAAAATAATACAACTTAAATATAATGTATATATATATCTATGATGCTAAATCTAGTCATTTTTCCTTAACGTGAAATTCCTTTCAGAAAAAACGGTGCTTCAGTGTTTCATTGTACTTAAAAAAGACTTTTTTTGGTTTGCTTTTTGTGCTATTTTAGCTTAAATAACAATATTAAAAAACACAAGTTTTAAAATATTGTTATTTTAGCATTTTTGTACAGTTTAGACCCCTTGTATATAGTGTTTATAAATTATTTATATGACTATGTAGAAATGTTTATAATAACACTTATGAATCTTTAACTAAAGTTGCCAAATTTGAGATTGAAATGTTTATTTTACACGTTGATATTTTTCGGTTCAATTTGCCCTATAAAAGCTTTATAAGACAATGCTGTTATAGGACAGTGCTAATTTAAGACAATGTTTTTATAAGACAACAATTTTATAAGACATTGTTTTATAGGACAATACTATCATGGCACTGCTATTTTACGAAAATGTTTTTATAAGACTGTTTTATAGGACACAGCTTGTTATTGTTTTTTAATAAAACAGATAATATTTATTGTTAAATCGTGGGATATTTTTATCCTTCCATTTCTTATGTCTACAAATAAAGGTGCCATTGTTGAAATTTCGGTATCGAAAATAACTGTTTTCGGGACTGTGAATTTTGTTGAAAAAGTTCAAACGTATTTTTTGTTGCGCACACTTTCGCACAATTTTTCCCTGAAAATAAAAATTTGGCTAACAAAATTTGCTTCAAATATATAAAGATGTTTTAGGCGTCGTACGGGGTGTTTAAAAATAACGAACCACCAGACTAAAATAAATATTTCCTATTTATTTTGATAAAACTATAAAAATGTTAAAATTTAAATTAAAACCAACAAATTTTAAGCAGTGATTGGTTATTTTCGTACACCCCGTATTTATTGATTCTTGTTGCTAAAATTAGTGAAATTAAATAACTGTTAAAATAAGTGGTTGTTACAGTAGTTTTTAGGGTTAGACTGTACTTATTAATTAAAAATCAGTCAAAATTATAATGCAAAAGGTTTAGAGACTTTCCTTTATGATTTTTAAGTTTTACATGACGGCCTACATACAAGTTTTTTAGGATTATATATTTAAACTGATAAAAGTCTAGTCATATACAGAGTGTTGCTATTTTTGCTTCGTTATAATTGTGAAACGCTCTGTGCTCTGTGCGATAGTTAAATTATGTCCAAAAATTTGAAACCTAATATTGATAATATAGCTATACAGCTTAATTGAGCTAATATAACTAAACTCATACTACACTATATTACCGATGTTAGGTGCCCAATTTTTGGACATTAATTTGACCCCCCGTTTCGTCCCACAGTGTTAGGTATATCTAAAAATATAGAATGTTATGTTTATGTTTATAAAATTTATTTATTATTGTTATAAGGCAAAAAATACTCTAGTTTTTTTTTTAATACTTGGATATGATTTCGTACATTCCATCACAAAAATGTTCGGTTTTTGTGACTTTTTTTCAGTAGTGAATCTCGATTTTTGTATTTTTCCAACTGTGCCTTTTAACCATTTAATAATTTTAATTGTATACTGTTCTTTATTATCTAAGTCATGTATTTAAGAAAGTGTTAATGTCTGAATAGATATATGTGCTAAGAAAAACGATTTTTATTTAAATTTCCCCTTTACAAAAATATTAATCCTAAAAAGTCAAGGTGACATTTATAAATTCATAATTAAAAATATATTTGTCAAAATTTCCCCTTTTTGGGATCCATAAGCTAAATTGTTCCAAAGATATGGGTACAAACGACGTTATAGAGAGTGAGTAAAATTTTAATGTCGTCAAAATAATTTAAGATTTTTTAAATTTTTAGTCGCAAAATTTTGCTGCGGTCTGATGGTTATAGCGTATGCAGTGAAAGTTATAAAAAGTGGGGCATGATTGTTGAGTTTTATTTTGCAGTTTACTGATGTTTTTTGAGAGTTATACCGTTTATATTTTTGAAATGGAACAATAAAAATTTTGATGCAACCTTTATTTTTATTTTATAAGTAATATTAAACGCCTATCTTGCATTTACAAAACTCGTGGTTTATATTTATAAATAAGTATAAAATTAATCATAAATCTTTCGTAACCTTTAACCTTTAACTATTTTGGTTAGTACCTACTGCAGTATTAATATTATTACTTATTACTTTTAATTAATTTAATAAAAATAAAATTCAACTAATGTTTTAAAAGTTATCTGTTATTAAAAACATTAAAAATCACTCATGTTACATGTGTTTTAATCTTTATTTTAAATAATCATTTTGAAAAAAAAATGTTTTTTCGAAATACCAAAACAGTTAAAACATAATATATTTTTTCTACTCCCACCTTTAAAACGCCCTTTATCGTACATGTTTCTATGACACTAAGTGACCTTTTAAATACACATTGACAAGTTGTGGCTTTGAAAAAAAAATGTTTTTTCGAAATACCAAAACAGTTAAAACATAATATATTTTTTCTACTCCCACCTTTAAAACGCCCTTTATCGTACATGTTTCTATGACACTAAGTGACCTTTTAAATACACATTGACAAGTTGTGGCTTTATGGCGCTTTAGTCACGGGCTGAAGTTAGCAACAGGTTTTTAGTCACGGGCTGAAGTTAGTTTTAAGTTAGTTGACAGTTGTCAAATGTCATACAATCGTTAAAATAAAGTGCCTCTCTTGTAAAATAATACTAAATGTGAAAATTATTTTATTATCTCAATACAAAAATACAAAAGTATTAAATAGTTTCTCAACGCCAATATTTGAAAAGTTTATATAAACATTGTACTTACCTTTAAATTTCGCCGGCAGTAAACTATAACTTAAATTCGGGCACGGACTCCACTGTAAAGTGCTCATAAAACATTTTCTTTACTTTCTCTGTGAAAAACTGTCAATTTTCAAGAAATACATTTCGATTTATAACCTTTATGATCTGTGTTTATAAAATAAAAAAATTGACATTTGACGGTGACACACAGATTCCCTTATTGTTTCATAGATGGCGCTCTATACAAATTTTTGATTTAAATCATTTTAAGATAATAATAAGGATTTGTCGTAGAAAAAGTATACCTAGTATGCACCTCGTTTATAAACTTTTTTATACACTCATTAAATTAAATTCGTGTATAAAATGGCGTTTATCAAACTTGATACATAATATACAATTATCTACTCCCCCATTGATAATCTGTGACTAAATGGCGTTTTAGTCACGGTCCGAAGTTAGCAATAGTGGCTTTTGAGTCACGGGCTTTGGATAAAGTAATTTATTATTTACAGTTGTTTTCTATTTGTTTTTTTTTTCATTTTGGTAGTTTTTGAATACTGCTTCTTTGTATAAGTTTTAAATGTGACAATTCGGTTTTTTTACTTTTTTTTGTTTGTTTTTGTTTTTGGTCAAATTTTCAAAAGTTACCAAGCTGTTTAATCCAAAAGAAAATATAAATGCCTCCTTATTTTTAATAAAAAATGTTCAAACAAATTTAGGAAAAACACAGGTATATACCAACATTTAATCCACAACAAACGTACACGTTTTGAATGAAGCAACAGACGCGATTGCGCAAACCACCGCTAACAACAAATCTTATTGGTTCAAAACGTGTGCGTTTTCCTTCGTAGCGCATGCCCGAAAATTTCTCTAAAAATACACACAGAATTTTCGTGTCAGTCTGCATGTGCAACGGAGATCCGAAGGTGGTGCATAATTTTTAAAACAGGCCCGGACTCATTCAGTGAAAGTGAGTATACCTATAGGTATCTAATCAACATTTTGTTGCAATCAATGAAAATGAATGTGATAAAAGTAAAAAAAAATTGATGTTTTAAGAAGTGAATTTTTATAATAAGTATACATTAAATCGTGTAAATAATATATTACCTACTAATTATGTAAGTAAAAGAGTGATTAAATTATTAAATAATAATCAACTCATGTTTTCAAATAATTTTATCCTGAGGTCAATAGTGCAATTCTTTTACAACAATATTCAAAGTCCTTGATAAATTTAACTCTTTCTTTTTTGGAAACAAAGTCCGATTTCAATAGATTTCGAGGAAATAAACGCAAATAAATCAATTTTAATTATAAGTCGATACATGTGTTGGATTAACAACATTTTCTGTAAGTATATTTTTTCATAATTCATAACAATTATGTAGTTGGTATCAGCATGTAATGGTAGTATACGTAAATACGAATTGGTTAACATTAATTATTATTTTGATTGTTAAACTTGAACATGAATATGTAAAAAATGTAAACACGATTTTAAAAATAACATGTTCGACTTTGGCACTAAAATTTCATTTTGGCAAAATATATTTTTAAAGAACGTGTAACTAAACCATATTTCATAAAATTTCAGGATTATTTTAGCAGGGCGAATTTGTAGGTTATATTACCAGTGGTTTGACCTAGTTTTCGAATATTATATTGGGGTTAGTTTTTAGAATGCTTAGCAATTGAAACACAATATAATAAAATCGTTTAAAACTTTTTTAATTTTTTTAATATGATTCACTTTTTTTAAATTTATACCTATTTAATCATTTAATAAAATTTAGCAACTTTAATAATAAAAATCATCTAATAATCAAATTATTTTTATATATACCTACAATGCGTCCTAAAAATACCGTGCGATAGGGAAAACTAAAACTAGTAGTTTTTAAAATTGATTAAATTCAACTTGGTTTTATTTATTGTTGATTATATTTAATGGTCTTATGTTTTTAAAACAAACTGCCCTTAAATACATATGACAACCATGTAAAACACTGACAGGTAAGTTGTGTTTTTTACTTAGATTTCATCAAAATTCTTTATTATAAAAAATATAGTTTATCAAGATCTACATCCGGTTAAAATCGCACAATAAAATAGTATATTATGTATCAAGTTTGATAAACGCCATTTTATACACGAATTTGTGTAGAGAAAAGTTTATAAACGAGGTGCATACTATACTTTTTCTACGACAAATACTTATTATTATCTTAAAATGATTTAAATAAAGAATTTGTATAGAGCGCCATCTATGAAACAATAGGGGAGTCTGTGTGTCACCGTCAAATGTCAAATTTTTATATTTTATAAACACAGATTATAAAGGTTATAAATCGAAATGTATTTCTTGAAAATTGTCAGTTTTTCACAGAGAAAGTAAAGAAAATGTTTTATGAGCACTTTACAGTGGAGTCCGTGCCCGACGTTAAGTTATAGTTTACTGCCGGCGAAATTAAAAGATCAGTACAATGTTCATATAAACTTTTCAAATATTGGCGTTGAGAAACTATTTAATACTTTTGTATTTTTGTATTGAAATAATAAAATAATTTTCACATTTAGTAATATTTTACAAGAAAGGCACTTTATTTTAACGATTGTATGACATTTGACAACTGTCAACTAACTTAAAACTAACTTCAGCCCGTGACTAAAAACCTGTTGCCAACTTCAGCCCGTGACTAAAGCGCCATAAAGCCACAACTTGTCAATGTGTATTTAAAAGGAAACATATACGATAAAGGGCGTTTTAAAGGTGGGAGTAGAAAAAATATTTTACAGGGTTGAGTCGCAAATTAATTGGTCACATTGTATATAAAGTCTAAAAACAATTAAAACAAAAATTCCGATGCCGTTTATATTTATTAGCGCAATTTTTAATATATTTACTTTTTATTTATAAAACGATACTAGAAAATTGTTTTCTATATTAAATAAATAGTGTTAAACATTAAAATAAAATTACATTTTAAAAAATCTTAATTAAGTTTTTTTATGACTATAAAATAGCAATTTTAAAATTTTTAATTCTATTTGATATATTTTATTTTATTCAAAAAAATGCTCTGCCCAAAAATGTTGAGCAAAATGTTTAAACACCTGTATAAATAAATAAAAAGTAATACAAAATAACAAACAATTAAAAAACAAATAATAATTATTCTATATAAAAAGTCTTGTGTATCACCCGTATTCAAGCGATAACAAAACATAAATTACCTTTCTGAGGTCATGCCAAGCGAAAAAAAAAATTCAATGTCAATGATTCCTTAATATGTCCTTTAAATAACGCACCAATCATCTTTTATTGGTAAGATAAAAATAATAACGAAATTATTTGCATTTCTTATCAAAACAGATTTATTATCATTTTTAAATAATTTAAAAACATTTTTAAACGTTTGTTGCTCTGTCTCCTTTAAAAACTAATAATAGAATAGTCAAAAATAATTTAAGTGTTCGAAAATATCCACCAAAATATCCTGGTGTGACATATCTAAAACATTTTGTTAAAAAAACACTTTGTTTTATTGTTTCGGCAAATACAATTCAACTTTATATAAATATAAAATATAATAGTATTACAATCTTCTGTAAACACTTATAATTCTTAAGTTAAAGTTTTATAACAATTATTACAGATAACTTGAAATAAACGACAAACATCAATATTGTTTTAATAAATTTTAAATTTTGTTCTATTTTTAGACCAAATTTTGGCTTAAGTAATAAATAATCTTTAAAAATAATACGTAAATTTTTATTTGTATTACACAAATAAAAAAATTTGTTTTATTTCTTGTCAGTGTGGTTTTTACTTGTTACTTTTTACGTAAACCTTAGTTTTTTTATTTTAAATTTTATATATATTTTATAATAGCATATATGCTATTCATCAGAAAAAAGTAAACAAAATATCCCTTTAAAATCCTTTTAACAAAGTAGTAGTACGGTTGGGTAGGCTCGAAGCCTGACAATTAGACTCCATGGTCCTTTTTATCTGCCCCTCCTAAACCAACCAGACTACTCCTCATCTTCCTCTTCGCCCATACCAGCCCTTTCGAATCTTCCAGACCTTCTTATAAAGGTCAGGATATCCTGCCAGGCAAGAGAGGCCAACTCTTCCCTTTGGAGTGTCATCACTCCAAAGATTTTATACCTTAGTCTGCCGAGGGCCTCACATTGTCCCAGGAAGTGAAAGGAGGTTTCATCCTCCCTTCCGCACTGGGTACAGGAGGGGCTGGTTTCAGCCCCTATTCTTGTGAGGTGTTTCCTTAGGCCATGACCTGTGAGTATATTCACAAGTGGGCCCAAGGAGGTTCGGCTTCTACCTAGAAGCCAGATGGATTTGGGTTTGCTTAGGGTGACCAGAAAATCCCTGGTCTGCCTACAGCCACCGCTTCTTCTCCAGCTTTCATTCGCTCTTTTATCAGCCCAATTATTTAGGGCTGATTTGACCTGCTTTCTCGTGATTCCAAAAATTGGTTCGGGTCCTACACAGGGGGTTTCAGATCCCAATCTGGCCAACTCATCAGCCCGTTCGTTACCCTCAACCCCACTATGACCTGGTACCCATACGAGATGCACTCTTTTTGTACTTGCTAGCTTTTCCAGCGCTTCCTCACACTCTTGAACCAACTTCGATGTGGTTCTCGCTGCCCAAAGCGCTTTCAGAGCTGCTTGGCTATCTGAGCAGATGTATATATCTGTCTCACTCCCTGTTCTTATATCCTCACAGTTTGCAACCTCAAGTATGCTTTTAACAAAAGTTGAATAACTTTTTTCAAGGCAACGTTTATTTAAGGATTGTATTTAGTTGTTACATAAATATTAATGAGGAATATATTTCAAAGTACAGTCAAACAAAACAAGCAATTATGTTTGCTAAAATTCATTTGGATATTATAGGTTAATCTATTGCTTAAAGCAGTTACTGTACTACTTTACGTAATAAAAGTAGTACCTACCTACCTAAATTAAAATTAGTAAAAACATGTATATTGCCCAATAGTTGTTGTTCTTATCGACTTGATGAGGATCATTTCATTTCAGTCTCTATACCCTGTTTCCGATTTACACAGTGGGGTTGTATAAAAAGTTAATACTAACAAATTAATGTCCACGTATTTGACGGTAAGGAAAACAAATATTTTTTCCTTTATTACTTAATATTGTAAAAAAGCATTTTTGCTTAACAGGGCTGCTGCACTTTTATTGTAAGCCTCTTAATTGTATGTCTACTTAAGAGTCATTTTGCTAGAATCACCACATTTTTTTTTAAAGCAGTGTAAAGATTTATTTTTCATCCCATTGTACATTTAAACGTATTTCTATTAGATTTTGTTGTGCTTGTTTGTCTACTATAACGAATTCTAGGTCAATGGTAATCAACTTTAGTAGTTTATGCTCCAAATCACATATTTAAGGTTGTACACCATCATTAAATCAATTAATAATTTAAAATATGTTTTACATTGTTAACCGTTACTTTTTACAAAAATGGCGAATGCGCCGGGATTAAAATTGGCACTATACAGGGTGTTTCGAAAGTAGGTAACCTTTATTAAATAAGAATCAATAAAACAAACTAAAGACTTTTCTCGTAAATCAATTGCCTTTTTTTCTATTAAAAGAGATATTATCACCTCTGTAGTGACGCCACTGCTTGTAGTATGAGCGAATAAAAAACATTACTTACCAAATTTTAATAAAATATGTTTTTGATTTTATTAAGAATATTAATATTATTTTAACGTTTTTTATTGATTCTTAAATTATTTAGGTTTATTTTGAACCACCCTGTATATTTAATCTTTGACCATGTCAAATAATTAACGTTACACTTTATAGGTTATGAATCATTCGAATTAATTCGAATGATACATAACCTATAAAGTTTAACGTTACGGCCAGGGTGGTTCTCCACCCTGGTTACGGCTAAAATTCTATGACAGATTTACGACCATTTTTCATATTAATGAGTTCAATAAAAAATGCTAAAAAATTAATTAAATAACCATTACAAAGTTATCATTATTAATTAATATTTTAATTAGTCGATAAAAAGGGGATTGTCCACTAACAATAAACTTGCCTTTACTACAAACATATATTTAAAAAACAATAAACTGCATCTAAATGATGTTGTGACGCGCAGTGACGTTAAGAGTTCAAAGTTTCAGAATTTTAATTAAAATAATCAATTGACACAAATTAAATTTGTGTAAATATGTTTGGTGGGTTTCATCAAATTTCATTAAACAATATATATTTTGAACTAAAAACCTGAAAAGTTTTATTAAATTCCGCCTATAAGTTTTTAAAATTTATGAAAAAATATATTTTAATAACTTTACCACCTACAGTAACTTAAAAACGTAGCTTTAAAACATTCAAGATATATAAATTTTTCTTCTTATTTTTGCGAGTTCTAGTCTTATGTAATTAATGTAATATATTATTTGGCAACTTTTTTGACAGAATCTGGAAACGCTGGTTGTTACCAACCATAACATAATTAACTAAAGTAGATCAGTGGCGTACTTTTTGGTACTATATTATTAAGGTTATAACACCCTGAGTAAACTTAAAATAACTTCTTGTGTCCAAAACAATATTTCTGTTTATAATTGCATATATTTTTATTAAAATCGAATATTTTTTACGACCCTGTTTTGAGTTGCAAACATTCCAAAACTGTATGTGTACAGGCGTTATACCTGAAAACCAGTTCTACATCTTTTAAAAACCGAATTGGCAAGATAATAAAACTTTTAGCAACATAGACCAAATCACGAAACTCTTTAATTAAAAACGGACTCTTATGTTTGCAGTAGTCGACGACCACCTAACATCAAGCAACCAAGGCAAAAAACAAGAGGGCCGCAAGAGAAAAAAATAAACAAATAAACAAAAATGTTGGTGCGGCTGGTGAGAACGAAAAACCTACTGCGATCGTCCACGGTAAAATGGACGGCGCAAAACAAATATTCCACCAAAGTGGAATACAAACCGATCAGAAGCGTTTTAGTGGCGAACAGAGGAGAAATAGCAGTCAGAGTTTTCAGGGCCTGTAACGAACTGGGGATCAAATCCGTCGCTATTTACTCCAAAGAAGATAGGGCGCACATTCACAGGTAAAAACTGTATTTTTTGTTTTTAGTTTGGCACATTACCCTAGTAGCAATGGAATTGGACAAGATTCTTTGTCAAGATACTTGGAGAAGCACTTTGTAAAGAATTGGACAATTCTTGACCAAGACTCTTGATCAAAATTCTTTATCCAGACTGGTGGCAGACTTGGACAAGTCTGTGACCAGAATTTGACCAGATTCTTGGCCAAGAATTTTTACACGTTTACACGTTAAATAGGAACTTTCAATTCAAGATTTTTGGTCAATACAAAATTTTGTTGAACTTCAAAAGTTAAGAATGTTACTAAAAACATTAATTTTCCACGATTTCTTTCCAGTAAATTCGGTTTTTATCCATAACTCTGGTAAACAATAGAATTAAAAACGAAACAAATTTTTAAAGAGTTAAAGTTTTTAATTTTCTTTGTTAAAAAAAAACCAGGTGCCCGTAAAAATAAACATGTATTTTATAATCTTTCATGTTCATAAAGAGTAAACTCTAGTTATGCGTCAGAGCTGACAAACACTTTTTTTTTTAATTTTTGATTTTTAGAAATAACAATTTTTATTTTTCAAAAAATCAATTTTTTTCTCAGCTAGAAGACGAATCCGATAAGCTCTTATTCGTATTTTCACATAAACAAAAAAACTATACTCATTTCCTACAGAGAACTCACTTCTCGACTAGTATACATTATTGTGAATGATACTACTGTAGAATGAGAACCTCTACTCTATAGGATAGTCCCAAAGTTTAGCAATAGATGGCCTCAGATTTCTGGTCAAATTCTTGTTAAATTCTGGCCACAGTCTGGCTCAAGTCTTGCCCAATAATCTTGGCCAAGAATCTGGAACAATTCTTGTGCAATTCTTGAGCAAAAATCTGTCCAAAGTATCTTGACCCATGCTGGGCCAAGACTTTTCCGGAATTGCTACTAGGGTAGTCGCAGCGTCAGTGTCGCACCCGTTACAATATTTCCTTTTATACCAGACTTAAAGCCGACGAATCCTACTTGGTGGGCGAAGGCAAACCGCCGGTGGCCGCTTATTTGGACATCCCAGAGATCATTAGCATTTGCAAGAACAATGGCATCGACGCCGTCCATCCCGGTTACGGTTTTCTGTCGGAACGTGCGGATTTCGCGCAGGCAGTCATCGATGCCGGCATCAGGTTCATCGGCCCCAGTCCCAAGGTGGTGCACCAGATGGGAGACAAGGTGGCCGCCAGGGAGGCGGCCATCGCTGCAGGTAAGAAGATGGTATTTTTTTCACCCCGGCTGGTAAATCTCTCTTAGAAGCTCGTGGATGACAGTTTCGATGGTTAAGGTTTTGGAGGGACATTGGACTGACCCAAAACTAAGTGCAATCCAGAATCCCCCTAAACCAGGCATTTAGTACTAACCCCACTCAATTGGAAATTAGGTTTGGGTGGTTAGTTCGCTGCTTTGACCTATCCTTGATGGTCTTGAACTACTATCTGTTCGTTTGCGACCGTGCCTGCTGAAAGTTTGGGCACTGCAGTCCGCAATTGTTTGCCCCACTGTGCGAAACCATTTTTTCAGTAAAATTGTTGTTACTGATAGGCTTTTATACTTCCTTACTCTTTAGAAGGGCTTGCTTGTGCGTCTACATCTTATGAGACGTACTGGTTGCACAGATTTTTTTATAATTAGTTCAAAACCTCTTTAATAGTTTTCATTAAAAAAATCACTTTTGCAATAAAAAATGGACATGTATTATTAAGAGTTATATTTTATATTACGATAGATCCTAAATACGTTTTTGTTATCCAGGAGTGCCAATCGTACCCGGTACAGACGGCCCAATCACGACAAAAGAAGAAGCTAAGGAATTCTGCGCGAAGCACGGTCTTCCAGTCATATTCAAAGTAAGGCAAACACTCGGTTCCCAAATACTGAAAAAGCCACCATTTAGAGAGTTTTCCTTCATTTCAGGCAGCCTACGGAGGTGGTGGCAGGGGAATGAGAGTCGTCCGCGAGATGTCCGAAGTGGAGGAAAACTTCCAAAGAGCCTCATCGGAAGCTTTAAGTGCGTTCGGAAATGGCGCCATGTTCATCGAGAAGTTCATCGAAAGACCACGCCACATCGAAGTGCAACTCCTAGGAGACAAAGCTGGAAACGTCGTGCATCTCTACGAACGTGACTGTTCGGTAAGAACAACTTTACGCACTTAAAACAATAAATCAACATGTTTCAACTCTAGGTACAACGTCGTCACCAAAAGGTCGTGGAAATGGCCCCTGCGCCACACCTCGACCCCAAAGTAAGAAACCAAATGACAGATTTAGCCGTTAAATTGGCTAAACACGTGGGATACGAAAACGCTGGTACCGTAGAGTTTTTGTGCGACTCAAAAGGCAACTTCTACTTCATCGAAGTAAATGCTAGATTGCAAGTGGAACACACTGTCACGGAAGAAATTACAGGCATCGATCTGGTGCAATCTCAAATCCGCATCGCTGAAGGTATGACTTTGCCTGAGTTGGGTATCAGTCAGGATAAAATAACACCACAAGTAAGGTTTTTGATTTGTAACAACTCCAAAAATCAATTTATAATTATTCTTATAGGGTTTCGCCATCCAATGTCGTGTCACCACCGAAGATCCAGCCAAAAACTTCCAACCTGACACTGGAAGAATCGAAGTGTTCAGATCCGGTGAAGGTATGGGTATCCGTCTGGATGGCGCTTCGGCATTTGCTGGCGCCATAATCTCGCCATATTACGACTCACTTCTCGTCAAGGTAACACTGCATTCTACCTGGTTTAGCCATTATACACTTTGTTAATTAATTTAATTAAAGGTCATCGCTCATTCCAAAGATCTCCAATCAGCTTGCGCCAAAATGAACAGAGCCCTCCGCGAGTTCAGAGTGCGTGGCGTCAAAACCAATGTACCTTTCCTACTCAACGTCTTGGAGAACCAAAAATTCATCAACGGTGCCGTAGATACCTACTTCATCGAAGAAAACCCGCAACTGTTCAACTTCCAACCCACCAAGAACAGAGCTCAAAAGCTTCTCAACTACCTCGCGCAAGTCCTGGTTAACGGACCACAAACTCCTTTGGCCACGAAATTGAAGCCCGCCGAAATCAAACCTCATGTACCCATTGCTTCAACAGGTATTTTATTTTTTTTTTAGTTGGCCATGTAGCTTTGCTATGGTTTGGTTTTTCCGATTTTTCTTTATTCACATGATTTTGGTTTGGTTTTTTTTAATCACCGTTTGTTTTTACAGAGTATTTGGCCTACACTCCCGAACAAAACCCATGTAATGTACACTTTTTATTTTACTCATACCACTGTTCACACTTTTGCTTTTATTTTAATATTATTGCCTTATTACACATCGTCAACATTGACCAACAAATTGTGTCTAAAAAGATGCAATTTCTTGGCAATTATGAACCGCATAATCAACTAACATATTTTCATAGCTGCTCAACCTCCAAGGGGTCTCCGCCAAGTCTACAAGGAACAAGGACCCGAAGCCTTCGCAAAGGCAGTACGAAACAACAAAGGACTCCTCCTCATGGACACCACGTACAGAGACGCCCATCAGTCCCTGTTAGCCACCAGAGTCAGATCTCACGATCTCCTCAAAATCTCACCGTTTGTAACCCACAATTTCAGCAACTTGTACTCTCTGGAGAACTGGGGAGGCGCTACCTTCGACGTAGCCTTGAGATTCTTACACGAATGTCCGTGGGAAAGGTTGGAAGAAATGAGGAAGATGATTCCAAACATTCCCTTCCAAATGTTGTTGAGAGGAGCTAACGCTGTCGGTTATACCAACTATCCCGACAATGTTGTCTATGAATTCTGCGACCTAGCTGTAAGTAGTAGACATGATAGTGCAGTTAAGGCGGTGTAAAATGATTTTTCCTAGGTTAAAACAGGTATGGACGTCTTCAGAGTGTTCGACTCCTTGAACTACCTTCCAAACTTGATCCTTGGTATGGATGCTGCCGGTAAAGCCGGTGGTATCGTTGAAGCTGCCATTTCTTACTCTGGCGATGTAAGCGACCCCACCAAAAAGAAGTACGACCTCAAATACTACGTCAACCTTGCCGACGAGTTGGTTAAAGCTGGAACTCACGTGTTGGCCATCAAAGATATGGCTGGTCTTCTCAAACCAAAAGCGGCAAAGTAAGTGGTATTTAGAAGTATTGAACGTTGTTTTTAATGAAAATTTTAGGATGCTTGTAGGTGCTATTAGAGACAAGCACCCCGACGTGCCAATCCACATCCATACCCATGACACCAGTGGAGCCGGTGTAGCTTCCATGTTGGCTTGCGCTGAAGCAGGTGCTGATGTTGTTGATGTAGCTGTTGATTCTATGTCTGGGTTGACCAGTCAACCCAGTATGGGAGCTGTCGTAGCCTCTCTACAAGGTAAGCCCTACACCTTTATGTTTACATATGGATAGCGCTTATCAAAAATGAACCAAGCGCCAAAAACTTTTTCTGGACTTTTAATAATGCTCAAAAGGTTGATCCTTATTTGGAACTTTTCTCAAAAGGATTGAGAGGGTTCCCAAATCATTATAAATTCTTTGAGCAGCATTATAACACTTTAATATTTGTTTAACATATTCTAATGTTTTACATCTTAAGGCACCGATTTGGACACGAACTTCGACTTATCAAAGATCTCCGAATATTCCGCTTACTGGGAACAAACTAGGACTCTATACGCGCCATTCGAATGTACTACTACCATGAAGAGCGGTAATGCTGATGTGTACAATAACGAAATCCCCGGTGGTCAATACACCAACTTGCAATTCCAAGCCTACTCTTTGGGTCTTGGTGATTTCTTCGAGGACGTCAAGAAGGCTTACGCTGAAGCTAACATTTTGTTGGGCGACATTATCAAGGTCACGCCGTCATCCAAAGTCGTCGGTGATTTGGCTCAGTTCATGGTGCAAAACAAGCTCAAAACTCAAGATGTCTTGGACAAATGCGAAGAGTTATCTTTCCCCAAATCCGTCATCGAATACCTTCAAGGTTACATTGGACAGCCCTACGGAGGATTCCCTGAACCACTTCGCTCCAAGATCCTCAGGGATATGCCGCGCGTTGAGGGCAGACCGGGCGCCACTATGGCGCCGTTCGACTTCTCGGGATTGAAGAAGGAAATAATAGAAACGTTCCCGCACGCCACCGACAGAGACATTATGTCCGCCGCGCTGTACCCACAAGTGACCAAGGAGTTCCTGGACTTCCGCGAGCAATACGGACCTGTGGACAAGTTGGACACCAGGATCTTCCTGACCGGACCCAAAGTGGGCGAGGAGTTCGAGGTCACGATCGAGAAGGGCAAAAACCTGGGCATAAAAACTCTGGCGATGGCCGAGGACTTGACCGAGAACGGCGAACGCGAGGTGTTCTTCGAGCTCAACGGCACGCTGCGCTCCGTGATGATCAGAGACAAGGACGCCGGCAAGGAGATGCACTTCCATCCCAAGGCCGACAAGACCAACAAGAGTCAAGTCGGCGCGCCCATGCCCGGCACGGTGATCGACATCCGCATCAAGGTGGGCGACAAAGTCGAGAAAGGAGCCGCCCTAGTCGTCTTGTCCGCCATGAAGATGGAGACCATCGTTCAAAGCCCGGTCGCCGGTATCGTCAAGTCGATCGAAGTAAACATGGGCATGAAGTTAGAGGCTGAAGATTTGCTTATCACCGTAGAATAAGTTTTTTTAATACTTCCATTTAGGCTGTGTTAGATCATGACCGAAATTTATTATTGTTAGTTGAATAACAAATTAAACAGTTTGTAAATACTATTTGTATATATAATGTCATGTTTGATATTTTTATTATTACGTTTTATATTGAATTTCAATTGTTGATTGGTTACATTTCCATTTTACATTAAAATATTTTTATAAATAAAGTCTTTTAATTAAACTACTGCGGTATAGTTTCGCTGATTATTTTACTGGTTTGGAAGGCAAAATACAAAAATGTAACAAATGTTAAGAAAAAGTTAAATTGGCAGCAAGCGCTTTTTTACTAATGCAACATATTTTAGGCAACAATTAATTTCCTACGTTCCTATTATTATTTTTCAAAATATTTTTTATTTAATTGAATTAACTTAACTTACAATAGACCGAATTTTACATTTTTCTAATGTCAAAGGTAACAAAATTACAAAAATGCATTTATACAGGTAATAATTACGCACGCCCGCTTTAAAGTGTCAAAGTAAGCTTTTTTTACTTGTGACACTTTTGGGTATACCAAAAATTGCCTTTATCTCTTTTTGCGTTCATAATGATTTCATTATAACACCGCTTTCGGTGCTGTACTGAGATACTTTATCCCACCCAAAATTTTGATTCTATAGGTTGGCTATACTTTAAACAACATAATATTTTGTCTATTGGTTATAATATTTTTATGATTTTTCTAGTACTTACGAAACTTTTCTGGCAATAAATTTTGTTTAACACCAAAGAAAATTATTTTTTTCTTCTTTAACATTAACAGCCGCTTATTGTAAATAAGTAAATTAAGGACGCCATGGCGAATCTATTTTGACATTAACTGTCAAACCAATGACTGTGATACCAACTATCTAAAGTAAACTTCGAACAAATTAAATTTAAGGTACTAATTAATTTTTTTTATAGAAATTTTGCAAAATAGATAAAATAGCATAGCAATTATAAATTTTTCGCGTGCGACAAATTGACGTCTTATGACATTAGTTCTTTAATACCTATACTATTACTTACCGTTTTTTATTTTATGCTTTCTCTTGCATGTAGGTATTCATCCACTGTACTGCCAGATCTTTATTTTTTGGAAATCGAAAATATGTTAGGTTAGGTTAGGTTAGGTTGAGTTTCTGTTCATATTTCTGCTGTCTGCCATGATAGGTACAAGCAACAGTCTGGCATATTTTAAATAGTTATTAAGTCCAACAAATATAACACAAACTTAATAAATAACCTGGTATAAATAGCTGGCTTATAATTATAAATAGCTATAAATGCAGTAAAAACTTTACGAAAAACGTTGCAAACCCATCGTGTACTTTAAAAAAAACAATAATTTAGGAAAAAAACACAAAATAAACCATAGTAAAACACGTATACCGTATACCTATGCAAAACTGTAACATTTGAATCTGGTTCGCACGTGACGTCACATCTACAAGTTTCGTTTTATAACCATCATCCTGTTTTTGAGACTCATGGTTACCAACAAATTCAAAAACGTAATCGGGGTTGCCTAACTCCACGTCCCACTAGTCGATGTTATTTGAGGTTAAGTTATCCAATTAATTCCAATAAAAACCCAAATATGGGTGTTCTTAGTTATGAAATTGAAGCACACGTTAACAATAACAACTTTGGCAACGTTACTAATAATTTTATACCACGTGAATAGCAACAAATCGAGTGACGATGTAGAAAATTACGAAGAACCATTGTTCAACACCACAAATTTGGCGAAAAGCAACAAAATATTTAACTTGGACCTAAAATACATACAAAACAGTTCAACATGTGCACAAAACGAAAGTTTCTTGGCGATTATTGTGATCACATCGTATTTTGGACACGTGGAGTTACGTAGTGCCATACGTAGGGCTTTTTCGGAGAAAACGTTAGCCCACATGGGATTAAAGCGAGTTTTTCTACTTGGCGAAGCCCCCAGTGATAAATACACCAAACAAGAATCAATTGTGAATGAAAATAGGCGTTTTAACGACATAATACAGGGTAACTTTATAGAGGCTTATCGTAATTTAACTTATAAGCATTTAATGGGTTTAAAATGGGCTACAGATCATTGTAAGGCTCAATTTTTAATTAAAATGGATGATGATATTGTTGTAAATCTTAGGGCCGTCGTGGATATTCTTAAAAATACAAAATTTCCACAAAAATTATTGGCTGGGTATATTTTTAAGGGTATGAAGCCCATAAGGCTTAAGGCTAATAAATGGTATGTCACTGAGGAGGAATATAAGTACAATAATTATCCTGCATTTATTTCTGGGTGGTTTTATATAACAAATATAAAAACTGGACAACATTTGGTCTTGTTGTCAAACTATTATAAATATTTTTGGATCGATGATCTTTTTGTCACTGGAATTGTCGCCAATTCGTTAAAAATTCGTCATTACGACTTGAGTAAATATTTTACCGTTAATCCCGAGTTTTTGGAATGTTGCATAAGGGACGTAAAGAAAAAACTAAGTTGTGATATAATGGTAGGGCCAAACGGAGGTGACAATAATTTATTTTTTAAGTTCAATGAAGCGCTGAGTTTTTGTTATGATAATAATTGTAAAAATAGGATCAAATCATTGAATGATACTTGTATAAGCGAATATAAAGTAAACCTAGGTAGAGGAGAGGGTGTAATTCAAAATTATAAAATAAAATAACATTTAAATTTGTATTTTTATATAAATTAATAAAAATTATCAACAATTAAACATGATTTCAATTCAATTATAATCAACATAATTATGTAATTAACATATAAACTCACAATAACTCTCAACGGTTTTTATAACATGTTCCACATAATTATTCTTATTTTCATCCTTCTGTAATGAAGGATCTATATGCAGTTCATATGTGGGCACAAACTGCGTAAAATACTAAAAATTAAAAAAAGAAGTTGGCCATATTTGTATTTGACAGCTGTCACTTACGTCACATGAATCTGGAATGTCATCATCAAGGTCACATTTCAAAATTAGTGACGTTAAGTAAGCCCATAATCTGGCTGTATTTGGAAAATTATAGCCTCCTACAATATTACTGGTTTAAAATTTTGTTTTTATTTTTTTGCCGATTTTTACCTCCTCCTAGATACAGTGTGGGCAACTTGCAATCCATAATTTTTTTAACACATTCCCCCATGGTTTTTAACGTTAAATTGCCTTCCCCTATGGGGTCACCGCGTAAAGTATCTGCTCCACACTGTATAACCAAACATTGCGGTTTAAATTTTTTCACGATTTTCGCAAAAATTTCGTCAAACAATATAAGGTAAGTGTTGTGACTAATCCCGCTCAAGTAAGGCACGTTTATCGAATAATATTTCCCCTTATTACTGCCAATATCGTCTAAATTACCTGTACCCGGGTAAAAACCGGGTATTAATTTATGAAATGACAGCGTAAGTATTTTTTTACTCATTTCAAACGCGTTTTGCACGCCATTACCTAAAACATCGATTATATGCACAAAATAACCATGTTTAGGTTGGTGACGTTGATAAAAATAAAAAAATCACTTACCATGATGCACATCAAGGTCCACATAGAGAATTTTGTCAAAAACTTCGCTCAATTTTTGTATTGCTATAACAATATCGTTAACATAGCAAAAGCCTTCTGCAGAATCCCTAAAACCACAAAATTAATGTGGTCAACATTCTTAAGGCAGTTACATATTTAAAATTTGCATCTAGTTTACTTAAAATTCTTTTCAAGACAGTGATATTCAGCTGTTGCCATTTTTAAGACAGTCATGTATAGCTTAAAGTTGGTTTTGCCACAACCCATTGAGTGGATTGTGGTTTTTACTACACTTAAATGTAGTAAAAACCACCAATTGTTACCTTTGTGCATGATGCCACCCTCCAAACCAGTTAATGGCGGTTCTGCATTTTTTAGCAGCCAATAGTTTGGCTGCCGTCAAAGAACCGCCTGCTACGACTCTCGCGAAATCGAACATGTTCTCTAAAATCGGACAATCGTATCCCAAACCGAATTCAACTTGTTCCTCGTCGAAATCTTCGAAATCCTCGAGATCGTTTATTTTCTTCATAAATTCCACAAAACTCGTCGAATGAAACAATTTTAACTCCTCTTCGGTCGCTTTTTCACTTAAAACCACGGCCATGTTATCGTTGTACAACAATTTATAAGATGTAATCAAATCTTGAACAATGGAGGCCTTAAAACAATTTTTAAAATCTTAAGTCATGCTTGCCGATGATTAAATTACCCTATTTTTCATCGTTGGCAGCCTATTACACTGTCGCACTAACTCTCCACTAAATATATACGCCACTTTGCCCTCTATAATCGACATTTTGTCAAAAAAATGACACGAAACTGACAAAATTAAACAATTTAAGAGCAAATTACAGGAGCGGCTAGAAGTTTGAAGAAATGCAGCTGCGTTGCCAAATCGTACGCAATGTTCAAATTTCAACATAACCTAAAATAGCTAGTCTAACCTAATCTACTTTTTCTATGGTCTAGCGTTTTATATGGTTTAGAGCATTGAGTAATAAGTGGTTTAGAGTAACCTGTTGATTTCGGTGTGTTTGGTTAATTGTTATATTATGCTAATTAGCATTTTGCTTTGTTTTGTGTAACATTTTACTTTGTTTTTGTGTAGTTTTTTGATCTGTGTTGTGTAGTGGTTTTAACGACAGGACGTTACAATGCCGTTTGTCTGCAATTCGTGCTCTAAAGTGTTTGCAAGAAAGATACAGCTTAATAAACACATGGAAAACCTACATAAAGATAATGATTTCCATAAATATCTTAGCAAATGCCTGGAAGACAACTGCCAAACTTCTTTTAAATACACTGCACATCTGAGAGAACACCTTCCGAGTTGTCACAGCAAAATTATTGAAAATGAAACGCTGTATTTTTCAACAGAAGGGGGTTTGTATATTATTTGAGTCATAAATTTACAAAACTGACTGACCAAAATTATGAAATTTTCAATTTTTTTTAGTTAAAGAGTGAGATTTGGAAATATAAGCCTCATTTTATTACTAATAGTATATTTCTATACTTATTTATTTTTTAGAATTTTATGATTGGAAAAATACTATTTGCAAAAATAACAACGTGCAATATAACTGTATGAAGAAAAATGACCTGACATATTTTAACTGCAACTGATCAGGTATTTGATTCATATATTTTAATATTTTGTAGTTAATGTGGATTAAGTTTATAGTTTGCTTATCACTTTTCAGGACTCTTTAAAGACAATAATAAGAACACAGTCAAATGTTTAAAAAGTCAAGGGAGTTGTAAAATCAACAGCAATTGTACCAGTCAGATAATTTTAAAAAAGATGAATATGGACAAGTATAGAGTTGACTATTTTAAAACACACTATGGACATGACTTGGAAGTTCAGCATATTAGAATACCAAGAGAGGATAGAATTGATATTTCAGCCAGATTGTCAAGTGGGGTTCCAGTAGTCAGGTAATATATTACATTGGCAAAATTATTAATTACCTACAATATATTTTTTTTTCTTTTTAGAATTTTAGATTTCTATAGGAACTCTATTGAGGAGGAAAAGTTGTCTCGTTGTGATATAATCACAAGGAAAGACATCAATAACATAAAAACAGCATTTAACATAAATATCCAGGAGGGAGTAAGACATGAAAATGACAGTGTAAGTGTTGAACTTTTGGTTGACCAATCAAAAGATTTTGTTCTTTTGCACAAAAAGCAAGGAGAGCATTTTGAAAAACTTGCTCTTAATGACTTCTGCATAATTTTTATGAATGTTACACAAACAAATATGTTGCAACGGTTTGGTAGTGCTGTAGTTGCTATTGATAGCACTCATGGTTTGAATATGTACGACTTTGAACTAACCACTCTAATGGTCATTGATGAGTTTGGTGAAGGATTTCCTGTTGCATGCATGTTCACCAATCGTAAAGACACCCTTGTTTTTGAAATTTTCTTTCAAAAAATTAAAGAAAAAGCTGGTTTAATAACCCCAAATGTATTTATGAGTGACATCACAGAGGTGTATTACAATGCATGGAAGGCCACTATGGGGGGTGAAATTCCACACAGATTGTACTGTGCCTGGCACATTGATAGGGCATGGAGGACTAACCTATCCAAAATTCCAAAAATTGAGACCAGGAAACAGGTCTATCAAACCCTCAAAGTTTTGCAAAGTGCTCTAACACTACCAGTATTTGAGAGGAATTTTGACACTGTAAAAAAACTTTTTCACAATAACCCTGATACTAAAGAATTTGCTGAATATTTTTTAAAAAAATATTCAAATAACTGCCATATGTGGGCCTTCTGCTATCGAAAGAATTGTGGTATTAATACAAATATGGTGATTGGTTAATATAAATATTTACAATTGCTTAAAAGCTTATTAACTTCTTAATGAAAACTGCTTTAGCAGGCATGTAATTAGTCTTCAATGCTTTTACTGTTTTGTAGTACTAATATTTGGTAGTCATACTTTTAAAAATAACAGATAATTCCACTTATCTTTTATACTTTTTGTAGATATATAGATAAACATGTTACATTAGATATTTGCATGTGTATTATTGTTATTAAATTCACTTTTTGGGAGGGAAACAGTATTTAATATTAATTACTGATGTGTTTCCCCTATATAATACATTTGTTAATAAATATTTTGATTTTAGGTACTTGAGAGCATGCATAAAACGATTAAGTACTTTTATTTGGATGGGAAAACTGTGAAACGACTGGATAAGGGCATAACAGCCGTTCTCAAATATACTCGAGACAAAATTGTGAACCGCTTGATAAAGATTACAAAAGGAGTGAATAATTGTCATATTCAAGACATTCACAAAAGGCACCGGGTTGCATTAACTAGTAAGATGGAAATTACTAATGAAAATAATCATACTTGGATTGTACAAACAGAAAATGGAAAATATCAGGTTTCAAGAAATGAAAAAACTTCAGATGAAAACTGCAAGTTAACTTGCTCATTTTGCAAAATATGCATTCACGATTTTGAATGCACATGTGCGGACTTTTACATAAGAGGAACCATATGTAAGCACATTCATTTCATTAAACTAAATGTACAGAATATTGAAGTTGATAATAAAGAGATGGAAGATGAATCAGAATTCAGAATAAACCCATGTGTGGAAGAAACTGTTTTAAATCTTAAAACATTGTCAAACTATGGGCTGACAGAAAACAAGAAAAATGTATCACATGAAATAAAAAAAGCATGCACACAACTGTTAGAAATTCCTGATTCAGTGTATGAAAATAACGAAACTGGCCCCCAAATTTTGAAATTTTTGCAAAATTGTATTGCTTTAACAAGCATACAAAAAGGTGATTCTAAAAAAAGAATTATAACAGACAATAAAAATTGCCAGGGTAAGTAAAACTATTTATCATATTATGTATAATGTGTTTTATTTATATATACATATATTTTTAGAACCCGCAAATAAAAAAATAAAAAAACAAAATACTTTTTTTTCAACTATGAACAAAGTAAAAGGAAGCAAAAACACCATTAAAAGACCCACACAATCGGAAATCTCTTTAATAACATCTCAATTAAATACCCAAAGTGATCATGATTATACATGCTAGCTATTTTTTTTACAATAAACAAAATTCAACCATAGCAGATTAAAAGAGAAACTTACCTAAACAGTACACCTTAGTTAATGGAAAGCATACAGCCATTCCAGGCGTAACGGATGGGAAAATTTTCAAGTTTTTATTTACAACATAATATTGTTCTATTATATTACCAATGTCAAATTTTTATAAATAGTTCTAAACAAAAGCTGTTTAACAAGGTTTTTATTTGGCAAAATTAGGTATCATGGTTGACGCTTTAAATTATTAATTATTAAGGAATTAAACAGTCAACCACAATACCTAATTTTGCCAAATAAAAACCTTGTTAAACAGCTTTTGTTTAGAACTATTTATAAAAATTTGACATTGGTAATATAATAGAACAATATTATGTTGTAAATAAAAACTTGAAAATTTTCCCATCCGTTACGCGTGGAATGGCCGCATAGTAAGGCACAAGTTGTTAAACACGTATCAGAACACATTCATTAACAACAACCTTTAACCATGGAAAATGCAGCACTATCAATACAAGCATACTATCTTACGTCTTTACTGGAAAATGTTAAAAATGCAAGTAACTTTGACAGCTTTAAAAGAAACTGAAGCACCACTACAATATGTATTATGTAATTTAACAAATGTGATAAAAAGTATTTAAATTAAGACTACAACCATGTACCTGCTAAATAATCTCATTATCAGCATTTGGCTGATTTGAGATTCTAAATGAGGAGCGATCAGACAAAACCAGACAAATCCATTGTAGTGATTTGCAGAAACAAATAAAAAAATAAAAGAATTCGTTTGCTTTTGACTTATTTGTCTGGTTTTGTCTGATTTCTGCTTAAATGTACCTGAAACATTATGATGCTATATTATTGTTATATTATATTATACTTGTTATTATAGATGGTATATGCTTGAGCCCTTTGCAAAGTGCTCACAAATGCTCGAGCATTTAAAAGCATTTATGACCGCTTTTGAAAGTGCTCATCCTTCTATCTTGTTATTATATTGTTTTTTTGGAAATAAATATATAAATAGAATTATGTGGGTATTATTTGTCTTCCAAAGTTATTGCAAAAAAAAGATTATATGGGTAGGTATCTACATATGAGTCGTCTAGATGCAAAACTCTCCATTTGCCTTTTTTAATAAGGACAAAACATGTTTCCATAGAAATATAACTAACAGGGCTAAAAAAAATGACGATTTTTGTAGATGTGTTTTTTCTATAATAATAATTTTATGATCTTCAGCAAGCAATAAAATTAATTAATAATTTGCACAAAGAAGTCTGGAAAAATCTATGTTAGTTTCAAAGAAAACGTAAAATAAAAAGTATTTTCTTTTTGCTTATGCCGTTACTAATAATGGAATCGCCCTCATACATACTTGTCATTTTTTATTTTCTTTTGTATTATTCTATGACACAAAATACATTAATTCATGCCAATTTATAAAATCCAACACTGGTAAATATTTGAAATATGATTGCAATTTAAAACTACCGCGTTTTGTAATTGGTCTAATAGTGGGTGCACAACTTGGCAACGCAGCTGTATTTCTTCAAACTTCTAGCCGCTCCTGCAAATTACAGCACTACGAGATTTAAACCGCCTTGACGGATGTGTTACCATGGAAATAACAAAATAAAATCACGTGACAGTATGCGACGTTGCCATATTAAGAAAATATATTTTAAAGTTTTAACTTTTATAGAGTTTTCATGCGTTTATTACAATTTATTGATGTGAATTCTATTCAACTTATGATTTAAAATGTTTAGGGGTACACGGTGATTTTTAATATGGGATTTTTATGATTTCATTGTTTGCTCCGTCGACTTGGCAACACGGCTTGAATGCGCGTCCCTCCAAATGTCATTATCCCCTCTTTTCGTCTATTTGTCAATACAAAAACATGTCAAATACGTCATTTTCCCTCTATCTATTATTCAACAAATGATTTGACGATAGAACAAACAAAGTGTCCGTTTATTGATTCGAATAGCTTATTGGTGTGCGAGTTTTGTGCCCTAAATTCACGTAAATCGATGACATAATGTGGAGGTTATGTTTATGTTTGTGTTTGGCGACGAAAATTTCCGGTCAAATTTATTATTATCAGCCGGAGCAAGTGCATCTCGCTTACGGGGATACCGTAAGGGACGTGGTCGCTACTTGGTCCACTTTCAACGACACCAAAGAGTCCGTGGTGGAATATGGGATAGGGGGGATGATTTTGAGGGCTGAAGGGGGCTCGAAATTGTTCGTGGATGGGGGCCCCAAAAGGCATTCGCAGTATATTCACAGGGTTTTGTTGCCGGATTTGGAGCCTAGCAGCAAATACGGTAAGTGAGACTGATATATAAATTGATTTAATTGAATAATTGCACTATTTCTCAGTTAGGTTTAGTTTGTATTATTTAATTATATAAAATTAACTAAGTAATAACGGACCAAATATAAATTTTAGTGTTTTTAACAATTAAAATGATAATTTGTCCTTTATTTATTTAATGTAATATAATACGTGGATTAAGCTTAGCGCGGTAGTATTACTTAACAAATTGTTTTATCAAGAGTATTTAAATTATTAATTGATAAAACGAACTTATGAATATGTATGAAATTGTTTAACTAAATGCGGTTATTTTAAGCTGGAAATTGCGTTTTATTTGAATTGAATTGGGTTTTGATATTTTGTGTTCTGGAATCAATTTCATAAATTTTAATTTTAATATTTAACTATTTTGTATGTATACGTAGGTATTCGTATATATGTAAAATAACTCTTTTCTACAAAAAAACCTTAAGCTTTATATAGGTAAATATTAATTATTAAAACAAAAACGTTTTCAAAATTATATAAAAAAACACAATTTGTATTCTATACAGGGTGTTATGTAATTAATGTAATATATTAAAATGGGGTCCATAAAGAAGCACCTGAAACTTTTTTTCTAAATTCTAGACTAAAAATAATTTATAATAACCTTTATCCTACCAAAAAGTACGCCACTGATCGGCTAGGAACTTTAGGCTAATCTGGTTGCCTAATTTAATTTATTATGTTATGGTTGGTAACAACCAGCGTTTCCAGATTCTGTCAAAGAAGTTGCCAAATTTTGTTTAAATTTACCTAGCTTAATTACAAAAATGACAAAATTAACAATGCAAATTGTTAATTTGACGTTTTTATTAATTGTTGATTATGTCATTTTTGTAATGAAGGTAAATTCAAACAAAATCTGGCAATTTTTATGACATAATCTAGTGCATATCTTTCAAATTCTAGGTTATGTGCTCAAATTGTAAATATCTTAACTAATTGAAGTGCTTTTGGATTTATTTACACAAATTGAATGTTTAAAGTTTAACCTGTGAACTTGTCCTAATTTCATTTGAGTAAATAGAAAGAAAAAAACGATGAAAAAATTAATTTTGTGGTTATGAAGTTTTTAAAGTATACCTATTGGTACTAAATTTTCTAATCATTGCTTAAGATAATAGCTGGATGAGTAAATAAATACAGAAGGGTATTAGAGCTTTAAGGGCATAAAACTTTTGTATTTATTGAGTTTTTATTTTTTACTAACTGGCAACGCGCAGTTACTTTGTTGGTTGGTATCTACATATGTACTCACAGAACACACGTGTGTAACCAGTGGCGTACCACAAAAAATATAAAAAACTTCTAATGCATATTTTTTCTTTATCTTTGGGAAAATATTTTTTTAAATATTTTTCCGTTACACCTTATGTTAAAAGGTATTCAGTATTTTAATATATTACTTTTATTACAATTTTTATGATTTTAACTAAATTACTATTAAAATAAGGATAAACATAATTAGGTAAACTTTGATTATTAAAATGTTATGCAACTTAAATCACTATTAATGTTTTTAGTTTTAAGTGTATTTTTTATCTAACATTCTTTAAGTTTTTTACTGTTACATAAATTTTAATGGTTTGATTATTTATGTAGTGTACGATTTTAATAAGAAAACATATTTTTTACATTTTTCAAAAAAAAAACACATAAAATAACATTATTTTCAGTTTATCATGTGGGCAGTAACTTGGGCTGGTCCAACCAATTCTGGTTCAAAACACCGCCGGAAAAAGACTGGCAGCCCCATCTGGCCATGTACGGTGACATGGGCAACGAAAACGCCCAGTCGTTGGTCAGATTACAAGAAGAGACCCAGAGGGGGCAGTACGATGCTATACTACACGTGGGCGATTTCGCCTATGACATGAACTCGGTAAGACAATAGGTACGAAAGTTGCATTTTAGTGTTTGCTTGATTGGTATTTAATCTTGTAATAAAAATATACGTATTATAATGTTTAAATAATAGTTAATAATAATATATTGTTTTTGTATAACATTTTATGATTTTAAATATTGATATTATGAAATGCCTTTTTAAAAATGTTGATAGCAAATATTTACAAACAATTTCAATGTTACATTGTTTTGTTTTCCAATAATAGAATAAAATAAAATTTATCTATGATTAGGCATACATCTTGACTAATAAAGGCTGACTCAAGAAATTCATCAGCAGATCTTAAAACTTGGAAAAGAATGTGTATTTTTTCAAATTTGTAACATAACATAATTGGTTCTGCACTAATGCAAGAATTTTAAGAAATCATACATTTTGAATATTAGAGCTTCACGGAAGATAGCTTCACGGAGGTTAGGATTTCGTATGTTTTTTCCCTTTGTATATTTGAAATATGTTATTGTATCTTTTGACACCTTAATATTTAAAAAAATAGAATTGTACATGCATAAAATATTTTTTAAAAAATCTACTTACTTAAATATTACACTTCACGGTGGATAGTTTTTTAAATAGCAAATTAATGAACTTAAACTTTTGGATTATAAAACAGCAACACTCTCATCTGCATATAAATTCTAACTGACCTTCAGGAATCACATGCATCTATAATGTCGTAAACAGAGGTTTTTGCTTATTAAAAATGATTAAAGCGCCATCTGTTGCATAATATTTAAAGCAAAAACAGATTCACGGTGGATAGAATCAATTTTTGTGACACCTACATCACGTCACGGAGGATAGGTTTTAGACTTTTAACACATTATAAAAAATAAAGGACATGACACAAATTCCTTATTTTTTTTTAGAAAGATGCAGAAGTAGGTGATGCATTTATGAGACAAATCGAGTCAATTTCGGCATACCTGCCTTATATGACATGCCCGGGAAACCACGAAGAAAAATAGTAAATAAAAAAAAAACAGAAAAAATAGGTGTTTGATTTTATTTTTTTACAGCAACTTCAGTAACTACAGAGAACGGTTTTCGATGCCGGGCGGTACAGAACAAATAATGTACAGCATAGACATTGGTCCATTGCATGTCATATCAATTTCCACTGAAGTGTATTACTTCATGAATTACGGCATAAAGCCTTTGGTGTTTCAGTACGAGTGGCTGGAAAACGATCTGGCCAAAGCTAATCTGCCAGAGAATCGGGAAAAACACCCGTGGATTGTGGTGATGGGCCACAGGCCCATGTACTGCAGCAACCTGAATTCCGACGACTGCACCCACAACGAAACTCTCACCAGGGTCGGGCTGCCCTTTCTGCATTTTTTCGGTTTGGAGGAGCTTTTTTACAACTACGGCGTCGACCTCGAGATATGGGCGCACGAGCATTCGTACGAAAGATTGTGGCCCATTTATAACTACGATATTTACAACGGGAGTTACGAGGCACCGTATGTGAATCCCCAGGCCCCCGTGCACATTGTGACAGGGTCGGCTGGGTGCAAGGAAGGCAGGGAGGATTTCACTCCTTATAGGTGAGATTTTTTTTAGGGTTATTAATTGACAGAGACTGTTGATTGAAGCTATGACATTTTCGAACAGTTTGTATACAAACTTTTAGGACATTTTTAACAACTTCAACAGTTTTATCTTAATTTAAGACAGTTTCAAGTTTTAGGTCATTTAAAACAATTTTAAGTTCCAAGGTAACATTTTAGCGTAGTTTAAATAATATTAGACAGTTTAGATATTATGAGGTCAATAGGACATTTTAAAGGTGGTTCAGAAAGTTATAATGAAATTTTAGACAGTTATGAACAGTATTAGGACACAGGACAAACGGGTTTTAGTAAGTAAGTACAATTTTAAAAGGAATTTAGAGACTCTTGGAATATTTTAAAGTTATTAGTTTTATAAAATTACAACTAATTTTTGGGAAATTTTGGATATTTTGATGACCATTTTAGACAGTTTTAAGACATTTTAAACGGGGTTCCAACATTTTTAGGACATTATAATCGAATTTTGTAGGTTTGGAACATTTTAAACAACAAATCAGAGTTTTAAGTTAAGTTATAATTTTAACATTATGAGAAAATTTTGGATATTTATCGAATTTTGTAGGTTTGGAACATTTTAAACAACAAATCAGAGTTTTAAGTTAAGTTATAATTTTAACATTATGAGAAAATTTTGGATATTTTTAGGAGTTGTAAATCAATTTCAAGACTTTTTAGCGAGTTTTGGAACCTTTTGAACAGTAAATGCAGTTCTAAGACAAATCACATTTTAAAAGGGTGGTAGTTTTAAACATTTTTTAGGACAGTTATATTAACAGTTCTAAATAATTTTTAGATCTGTTTGGATGGTTTGAAAACATTTTAAACGGTTTTTAGACATTTCTAGGACATTTTAATCAAATTTTGCCGGTTTGGAACATTTTGAACAACAAATCAGGCAAATCATAGTTTTGAGACATTTATAGTTTTAACACTTTTGAGAAAATTGTTGTTTTTATGAGTTATAAAACAATTTCAAGACATTTTAAACGTTTTCTAGCGAGTTTTGTAACCTTTTGAACAGTAAATACAGTTCACATTTTAAAAGGGTGGTAGTTTTAAATATTTTTAGGACAGTTAAATTAACAGTTCTAAATAATTTTTAGATCTTTTTGGACAGTTTTAAGACATTTTAAACGGTTTTTAGCGAGTTTTGGAACATTTTGAACAGTAAATACAGTTCTAAGACAAATCACATTTTAAAAGGGTGGTACTTTTAAACATTTTTAGGACAGATATATTAACAGTTCTAAGAAAATTTTAGATCTTTTTGGACAGTTTCAAGGCATTTTAAACGGTTTTTAGTGAGTTTTGGTACATTTTGAACAGTAAATAGTTTTAAGACAAATCACATTTTAAAATTGTGGTAGTTTGAAACATTTTTTCTACTCCCACCTTTAAAACGCACTTTATCGTACATGTTTCCATGACACTAAGTGACCTTTTAAATACACATTGACAAGTTGTGGCTTTATGGCGCTTTAGTCACGGGCTGAAGTTAGTTTTAAGTTAGTTGACAGTTGTCAAATGTCATACAATCGTTAAAATAAAGTGCCTTTCTTGTAAAATAATACTAAATGTGAAAATTATTTTATTATCTCAATACAAAAATACAAAAGTATTAAATAGTTTCCCAACGCCAATATTTGAAAAGTTTATATGAACATTGAACTGACCTTTTAATTTCGCCGGCAATAAACTAAACCTAAATTCGGGCACGGACTCCACTGTAAAGTACTCATAAAACATTTTCTTTACTTTCACTGTGAAAAACTGTCAATTTTCAAGAAATACATTTCGATTTATAACCTTTATAATCTGTGTTTATAAAATATAAAAATTTTACATTTGACACACAGATTCCCCTATTGTTTCATAGATGGCGCTCCATACAAATTTTTGTTTTAAATCATTTTAAGATAATAATAAGTATTTGTCGTAAACAGTTTTAGGACTTTTAATTTATGGTTTTGGACAGTTTTAGGTCATTTTAAACAAGTTAAAGACAGTTTTAGGACATTTTAATTTATGTTTTTGGACATTTTTAGATAATTTAAGGACCATTTTGGACACCCCTAAGACGGTTTAGACTATTTTAAACAGCTTTGACGGTTTAAGGACATTTTAACCGGTTTTTAGTCCGTTTTAGAACATTTCAAACAATTGATAGTTCTAGGGAAATTCAAATTTTAAGAGAGTTTTAGGCAGTTTTGGGACATTTAGAACAGTTACATTTTAACAGTTTTCGGGTTATTTTAAGTTTTAAGACATTTTAATTTAAGCGCTTAAAGACTATTTAACACGTTGAATGCGGATGCTAAAACTGAGCCTAATCTTTCAAGTGCGGTATCGGTCTTCTGAGCCCGATGCTGGTAAAGTCTGCTGTGCGGTATCGGTCCTTGGGGACCGATATGTTAAAAAAGATAAAGCGACATCTGACGCAAAATTTATGAATGATATCAGTATTTTCTGTATAGGATTCTGTTTACCAATTCCCCCAACAGAAGTGACATCGTCAGCATCGGTCTCCGGGGACCGTAACCGCACAGAAAGATGGTTAACATTTAGTTACCTATATCATTTTTAAAATTATTTTAGCTTCAAATAAAACTTTTTTATTTCAACGTTATTTATTACTTAAGAAATAAATATACATATTGCTTACAAACACAAAATATCAATTTTCTGATAAACTGTTAAAAAAATCAAACAGTATAAAAAGAAGTTCAGTACCGAAACTTCATAGAAAAAAAACTTAGATTCTATGTAAATTATTGAAACAGTCGAGACACATTCCTGGTTTTTTTGTGCAATCGTTACAATAACTGATCGTAACTTTTTTATTTGCAGTACGGCTATCCATGGTACGACGTAATTTGCGATAGCATCCAATGCACATCTTCCTCTTTTTGCGCCCCGGTCCAGTTGGCTTCATTAATTTATGTACAGATCTTCTTGGAGGTTGGTTATTGGGTGCTTCATTTGCTATTTCTGGCTCCACCAATTGCTTTGCAAGTACTTTTCTAAATTCCGTTATGGACATTTTCGGTGTACATAGTTTGTTATATATTATCCATGCATTTACAACAGCAGTACCAAATAACAGTTCGAATGCCAGTTTGCGATACCATTTCAGTTCTTTACGTAAAACCGAATGATAGGACGACATCTGATCGCTGTAGTCTACGCCTTTTTTCGCCTTGTTATAATCTATTACAGCCTTGGGTTTCATAATGTCTTCATCATTTCTAGATTTCTTTCCTGTGGCAGTTAGACAAGCCTCGTGTTTTGGATCAGTGCTGAGCATCAAAACAGGGCGTTTATCAACCCATTTTATGATTTTCAAGCAATCGTATTGCTTGCCAAATATTTCGCCTTTCTTCATTTTCTTGTTAAAAATTTTGGGAATGCCCTTTCTATTTGTCCTCAGTGTACCGCAGTACAGCATTGTTTGGTCAAAAAGACTCTTTGCTAATGGTAAAGATGAGTAGAAGTTATCGGCATAAAGCATATGACCATCTAACGCATTCAACGATGCCAAGAGATCAAAAACTATGCTTTCGGAATGAGACTTCCCGATCTTCTTCTCATTTTTTCCGGTGTAAATGATTATGTTATGGGTATAACCATCGACAGTACAGAGTTTGTACAATTTAATACCATATTTGTGACTTTTATTTGGGATATACTGCTTGAAAAGTAGTCTACCTCGAAAAGGAATCAAACTTTCATCGATGACTACCGCTCTTCCAGGAGATAGAACGGATTGGAAATTGCGATTTAACATATCCAATAGATTTTTTAGTTTATAAAGTCGATTGCCTTCGGTCAGTCTTTCGTTGGTATTGTCACAAAAGTGTAAGCAACGAAGAAGAACTAGAAATCGATCGCGGGTCATAGTGGTCGCGATAAACTCATTTCTGAACATACTATCCTTCGACCAATACAAATTTAGTGCAGGTTCCTGAACCAATCCCATTGCCAATACGATTGCAAAAAAACGTTTGACTTCCTCTTTGGTGGTATCAACCCATACTTTTAGTCTGGACTGGATGCTGTTACGTCACTCAAGCACTGCAATGCATATCTATTTGTCTCTAGAACAATCATGTCCAGAATCTCATCAGTTAAAAATAATTTATATGCATCAAGTGGTTTGAATATTGGTCCATTGATGTTCAGTACAGCTTCTTCCGGTTGCTGTGTACAAGGTAACTGGTCTGAAGATACAATGTCTTCCCAGTCATTTTCGTCCGGAAAAGTATAATTATCATCGTCTACTGAAGCATTCACATTGTCATCATCTTCCTCAGTCTCCGAAAAATTGTCAGTTCCAGGATCGGTTCCTGCTAAGTCTGCTGACGAGCCTTCCGAAGACGTGGGCTCATAATTCTTGTCTGCAACAGAGTCATCGCTGCCAAAATCATTAAAACAATCTTTGGATTGCGTTTTCTGATGTTCGCCAACATCTTCACTTTCCATTACTTCAGGGGAATTTTCTTTCTGGTCGTGATCCATTACCGCTTCTTCTTCATTATCAAGGTGGCTGTCCCTTTCTTCTATTTCATTTTCTATCTCAGCTACGAGTTCCGCTTGATTGTCTAATTTTGTATCTGCCTTTATTGCGAGAAGTAGCATTCTTCTTGCGCGTGAAGCCATCCTTTATAACTATTACATGAACAACCAACACTTATTTATTTCTAAAATAACGCAGTTTTGCAACACTATAACATAACACTATAATAATTATTGTTAGATCAAGAATTGATACGTAAACATTTGTAGAATAACACAGTTTTGTAATACTACACAACACGAAAGCAAAATTTGACAGAAAACAGCTGATTCAAATATAGGTCTCTGGGGACCGATAACGCATGTTAGAAATAAATATTACTGCAGTGCGGTACCGGTCTCCGGAGACCGATGGAAGGTTAGACGTTTTTTAAAGTTCTGTATCTCTTAAGGATCAAAAAGCCATATTTAATGCGAAAATAGAGGTTTTCGTTTCGAAGATACAGCTCCCGCACCATGAGTAGTTTAAGCACATATCTAGCCGCATAGAAACGCAGTTGCGCCATCGGTCCCCGGAGACCGACGACGCAGTCAACGTGTTAACAATGTTTTTACTTTTTGACTTTTTGTTGTGTTAATAATGATATTTAATAAAAAAATATTTTAGGCCTTATTGGTCAGCATTTATAAGCCGAGATTATGGCTACACCCGTCTAAAAGCGTACAACTCCACCCACCTGAATTTAATACAAATTTCGGACGACAAGGAAGGTCAAATAATTGACGATTTTTGGATAATTAAGGACAAGCATGGTCCTTACCCGAATTCCAAAATGGATTGGGCCAAAATGGACAGTATGCGTTTGAAATATTTGAATAACGCTCAATGATGATGGGATTTTTTAGTATTATTTTATGACAAAATAACCAATTATACCTGTAATAAAATTGATTTTATTTTTTAGACATTCCTAAATGTCCAAATATTCCATGTGATAATTCGATTTAAGTAACAGAAACCATAATGTAATAAATGTTTATTTTATTTTAAGCCAAAAATTTGTGTTTTATTTTTTATGCTTTTTTTAATATTTCGTTTCGATATTTTTCCTAAATTTGTGTGTGTGGTTTTCCAATAACAAAATAATTAAATTTCTAAATTTCAGGGTTTTTTATAATTATCAAAAATAAAATTATAAATTAATACACAGGTATTGTGAAAATGGCGCAGTAATATTTATTTGAGTAAATTTTATATAAAACAACTTTCTAATGTAGTTTTAAAAATAAAAAGTTAAAATTTGGTAATAAATGTAATTTAAAAAAAAAAAAATTACTAACCTCAGCTGCCTTATTTGATTTGTTTCTAGAACAACTGTTTTTAAATACATATTTATTATTTCAGCTAACAAATGCATAATAATTCAAAAACTACTTGGATTGTTTTATGCTCCAAACAATAGTACCTTTTTAGAAATATAACAATAAATTACATGTTTTTTTTTTACCTTAAATGAGATATTTAAAAAAAATAGTACAATAATCCTTTAAATTAAAGGATTTAATTCTGGCAGGTAAAAAGTGACCATGGTGCGCAATTGATAATTATCACCGAATGAAATAATGTACAAAACTTAAACCAAAGGAAACTTAAATATTAGTTAAAAAATCGTGGGTACTTAAAAAATCAGATTTTATAAGATAATGATTACCAAAAAAATGATATTTTTATAGAAAAATTATTGCAGAATCGTATCAAGAATAAAAATCGAACAAAATTGATTTTTCATTACAGCGCCATCTATTACAAATATGAAAAATTGTTTTAGGTTGCCATACACAGTTGTCAAATGTCATACATTCAGTGAAATAATAGTGGGGAAATTATTATTATTATTATTATAATACAAAAATAAAAAATATTAAATAAGTTCTTAACGACATTTTGATTTTGCCGGTAGTAAACTAGATTTAACTGAAAGCATTAAAAATTTCGGGTGGAGACTTCACCGTGAAGTGCCCATAAAACATTCTCTTCACTTTCACTGTGAAAAACTGCTTCTATATCATCATTTAATCGGTTGTTAGTCCGTTTTTAAGGGATAAATTTCGATGTACACATACAAATTTGACATTTTGACAGATTCCCAAATTAGAAATTGTTACTACATTTTCTTATAGATGTCGCTCTATACAAATACTTAATTTTGATCATTTTTAGATAATAATAAGTATTTTTCGTGTAAACTTATATACACACTTATTTAATTAAATACTCGCTCTTGCCTAATTAAAGTTCGTGACTAAAATGGCGTTTATCAAACTTGATACTTAAATAATATACCTACTATTAAACTTATTATACTATATATAATTAATATAATTATAATTATATCGACAGTTTTCTAAAACGATTAATAAAAAAAAAGTCTGGCGTCCTTTTTTTATTTCGGATAGAGCGCTCGAAATTGAGCTTACAGACTATGCGCAAAATCGATATACCTTTAGTGAAGAGAAGTGACCTATCCTTCAAGAGTAATCCTTTAAAACTCCAAAAACCGCGTCAAAGAACAATAAAAACACTAAAGTGAGTAAAAATTAGTGTTAAACAATAAAAAAAAATGTGAAGTGGTGTAAACGGAATAAACTTTAGTAGAAACTTAGTAGTATGAGGCCCAAAAAGTAAGTAATAAGTTTTACATGACAAAACAGTAAAAAATTTGTTACTAAATAGATTATTTACATATCAAGAATGCGTAAATAAATAAGTATAATAACTAAGTAAAACATTTAGACAATAGACGCAAATTATAAATCGTAGTGATTAATCAATAAATTCGTGTAGGATTGAGTTCGCATAAATAAACTCGTGCGATTGCGAGTAATAATTTTGTTTGGATTTGTCTTTATTTTTATCAATTTTCGCATTTTTCTTCGAGAGCGATGACGTACGGAGTCTGTTAAATCAATACGGCGTCGTTTCTAGTCGGCGTCGACCGACGCCGGCGACGCTGATTCATGCTTTTCGCCCCGTATTATACGCGGCGATCAGTATACTCAGGATGTGACTGACAAGTGTGTATAGTTTTGTGGTTTTCTTCCATCCGAAGGATATTTTCTTGTTCCTTGGTAAAACATTACATAAGTATAAGTTTTTATAATGTTGAAATGTCGCTTTCAATTTATATTTTTAACGTTTATAGTTAGCTTTAGTTTCAATATGTTCTAAGTAAACAGGTGGGGTTTTTGATGATATCCTTGATATGCGTTTTATAATTTAATTTGTATTCAGCGTGAACAATTTACATCAATTTAGATCAATTAAATTATTCCAATTTTCCAATTTTTTTTTTAATTATATGTATATACAGGGTGTCCCAAAACTTGCCAAAAGTTTGAATTTCCATATTCAACAGAGAGGTAGAAACTCGACCCTGTCGAATGGCGCAGTCGTTTATGTCTCTAGAAATTATTGAAAAAGGGGCAGTCCAATGGTGCAGCAACTTCGGATTCTTATTCTCTTCAGAGACATAGAAACTCGAGCTTTTCGAATTTTACTGGCAATGATTTTCGTTAATGTCCCCGAGAATTATAAAAAACAGCGCAATGCAATATCGCAACGGTTTCGACTTTTCTTTACTCTACCAAGTTATAGAAACTGGAGTCTCTCTAATACTGTTCTAGTCAATATTTCTGAGAGCATAAAAAGAAGGGGTAATTCAATATTGCACGAAGTTTTGATCTTTTGATGGATGCAAGTATTTTGGATATTCTCATTTCTGCATATGATTTTGTTGAAAACAGTTCCTTTCTGTGGTTCCTTTGTCTGATTTTTATTTACCGTAACAACTCAGGTATGTAAAGCACAGAGGATACGATGTAAAGTATATTTATGTATTATATAAAGTACCTATATTTGTATTAAAAATTTCAGAGGTTGTGTTGAAAAAACCATCGATATGCGCTATTAAACTTTAATAATTTAGTAATGAGGTCTGTTGGTAGACCCTGCACTATCTCCACTGGTATATGTTAGTACAGCAATATTTAAATCTGGTTGATTAAAAAGTACACACCAGTGCAGGTTATTGTAGCATCTACGAACAAATGAATTAATGGCCCATTGGCAATTATTTCTTTGGGAAAAATATTCAACACAGCTTAATTAATTAATAAAATGAAGAAAATCACAATCATGTCGTATATAGTTTTTTTCAAGCATAAGATAATTTTCATATTAATACTAGTTCAAAAGTCAAATTACGACCTCTATACTGTGGAGAGTATTGAAAGGCTCGGTTGACGAATACAACTCTATGGCGAGGGTTTAGAAAACTGTATTGAAACGTGGCGTCATTCAATACACTTCTATATTTTTCCCTTTGCTGTGTAACATAACTATAGTTTGGTAAATCGTTAGATTAATTAGAATTACCTATAATAAAAAAAAACGAATTTTCCAAAAAAGCTAATTTTTTGAAGACCCCCCAATATTTCCTATAACAATTTTTATATCACACCCTGTATTATTAAATTTTGTAAAACCTAAAAAGTATTTTTTTTACAGAAGCCTCAATGATTTTTAAACCAGATAATGCACAAGATAACAAAAGGCTTGAAAAAGAAGAAAAAAGGTAAAAAATCCAAACACAAGGACGAGGAACTATTCAAACCGGAAGAACTCGAGGCGTACCGGAAGGAGCACCAAGCAACCGAAGAACCAACCAGTTCAGGTACACGAACCGCATCGACAAAATCACAAAACAATTTAGGCAACTAATACTTTGTCTTAGGTAAAAATGAGGAGTGGAAGAAATTCTTGGCCCTCACCTCCGGCGTAGACGACATCCTACACAAAACAAAAGACGATCTAGATCGCATAAAGAGCACCTCGTTCTTCCAAAGAGTACCGCCGCCAAGCGAAACCCAAAAACAAGAAGAGGAAGTCAAAACCGAAGAAAAACCTCCAGAACCTCAGCTTGGCATCGTCGAGGTCTCCGAGTCCGAATCGGATGAGGAAGATGAAGACGACATCTTCGACACCGCTTACATCGATGCCATAGCCACCGGGGAGGTCAAGCTAGCTTACATACCGGACTCGCCCACCAAGGAGGAAGGCGACGATCCTTTCGATACGAGCTACGCTGAACGGGCTATACTAGGGCCTGCCGCTGAGAGAAAGGGGAAAAAACTGGTGCCCATTGGCGCAGCAGTCGAAGTTTTAACCGGAAGAGTGCAGTTGCCAACGTGCGCAACCAAAAGGCCTGTTAACAGGAGGCAGATCTTGAAGGAGAGGGATTTGCTACTGGGGAGTTTTGATGATAACGCCAATAACGTAGCAGGTAACAACATCCACAAACTTAATTAAGCACAATTTATAAACAATACATCTTCTTTCAAGCATCTCCAGAACAAATCCAGAAAACCCTTCTAGACGACGATGAGATTCCGATTCCAGATGAGCCCATAGATTTGAGTAAAACTCTGCACCCCATCACTCCGGTTGTAGAAGAAGTCAAAGAAAGCAAAACTCAAAGCATTGTAAAGGAATTCGAAGAGGATGAAGATGATGCTGAGTTTGCTGCCCTAGCTGCTGAAAGTCTACATAAAGAACCAAAAGTTATAAGTGAGGTTGTGATACCACAACTCGAACCAGTACAAGTTGATGGTAATTGGAACGCGGCATTTGAAGACAGGTTAGTTTTATTCATAGTATGGTTATATTATATAAAATTATTTATTTCAGTACTGCATGCACCGTAGAAGAGGTAGTTGACCCCTTTGATACTACATTCGCCGAAAACATCCTACCAGGAAAGGCCGAGTTGAGGATAATTGAAAACGAAGTATTGAACGACGATTTTGACTTTAATCCTCGTGAAGAAGATACATTAAAAACCATATTAAAGACTGTAAACGTATCGCAAACAAATAAAACTTTAAACGCTGAGCCCATAAAGAACGACTTACTGGGCGGCAGTAACACAGATTTAACCCAACTTAACTCAGACGTGTTGAGACCTTCTGAAACCAAGGACGAAAACTATATCGAATACGGCGACCCATTCGACACATCAATCGTCGAATCAGCCAAACAACCCGGACAGACAGAGTTAAAATTCTTAGAGCGCGAATTTCTCGGGGAAATCAAAGTGCAACAACTTTCCTTCGAAGACGACGATTTCGACCCTAGAGCGGGCGAAAGCAGGGGACGTTCAGTTTCGCGACCCGAAGTTCTGAACTTCTCTAAAACAGTCTCGTTCGACGTTTCGTCCCCGACGCAGTCGAATCTAGACGTTGACCAAAGGGTTTCCAAACCCCTTACGCCGTTTTACGTGAGAAAAAGTTCCGTGCCCGAAGAAGTTTTCTCTCCGGAAGAACCAGAAGACCCCTTTGACACTTCGTTCGTGTCCAAAGTCACCCCGGGCAAGGCGGAGTTAAAGCTAATCGAGAACGAGTTGTTTGTCGAGAGAAACTTGAGTTTATCCGATCAAGACTTCGATCCTAGAGACGAAAAGAAGGTTGCTATTGCCCAGGTCGTGCAAAGTATACAGGGTATTAAAGACCCCACTAAGGTTGTTGAAGAGGAGAAGGTAGAAATCGACTTACTATCGGCCGATACAAATATACCTGGGAAAGTACTAACTCCTAACTTGGAGCCTGTAAGACAACAACAAGAAGAATTATCGTACGTTGACCCATTCGATACTTCAATTGCTTGTAACATACTACCAGGGAAAACAGAGTTAAAGCTCTTGGAGACCGAGTTGATAGAAAAAGTTGTCCCGAAAGTTCCATCGGACCCCGACTTTAATCTGCGTGGAACTGCAGACTTAATAAGCCACACCGGCGATACCATTTTTGAAAAACCTTTATCGCCTAACAAAGTCAGCTTTGATATAGAGGAGGATTACGATCCTTTTGATACGAGCATTGCCAATAATATACAGCCTGGTAAACAAGAGTTAAAGCTTTTGGAATCAGAGTTAATCTAAACTCATAAACTATCATGGATGTTAAAAACCCCTTCCTCTTCACAGAGGATGAATACACTTCTCCACCAATGGCATCGAACCCATTCTTACTCGAGGGCGACGATTACCAAGATGGTAATACAACTATGGATAACCCATTTTTATCGCAAACTGCTACTTCCGTGTCCACAAACTCCACCAATCCATTTGCGTTTGACCCCATGGATTTGGATCCGGCCGAAGGCGAGGTGCCCCAAGAGCCAACCAATGCTTTCATGGGCTATACCAGTGCTAGCCAGCCGAGCTTTTTCATGAACGAACCTGTGACTGTTACGGCAAGCAGTCAGGATTTTTTCAGTACTGCGCAGGACGTCATAGTGACCACTACGCCAGCTCAAAAACCCACAGATTTAGACTTAAAATACACCAATGATGTTGCCAATGGCGGGCCCACTCGACCGCCACCGCCGCGACCTCCGCCATCCAAAGAAACCCAGGATTTGCTGATGTCAGTTATGGGTGCCATGGATGCCACCAGCTCTCATTTACTCGACAAAATACCGCCGACTCGTACGCCAAGTCCTGTTAACATGAGAGATCTGCATTCGCCGAGCCCCACCCCAGACGCAACATTTGGTGATTTGCTGGACGTTAGTGACGCCAAAACTCAGCCACAAAACTTCACCAACGTCACGAACACCGACGAAGATTTTCTATCGCTGGGTAATGACGTGAATCAAAACCCGCCGGAACCGGAAGCAGTTGTGCCCCCGATGCCTCAAAGACCGCCGGAACCGGTCAGAGCCCCGCCCCCGATGAGGCCGCAGCCGCCAGTAAGGCCGCCAAGACCGCAACCTCCGGCAATAGCGCAAGAGCCGCCTAAAAAACCGCCGCCCCCGAGAGCAGCGCCACCCGCGGTGGCCGCTAAACCGGCGCAGGACGATTTCGATATGTTCGGTGAAGGCCCCAAACCGCCGGCTACGAACGCCGACATACTGAACTTGTACAACGCCCCCAAGGAGGAAAGGGTTAGAGATTTGTTGTTTGATAACGTCGAACCGGAGGTTAACGCTGAAATTAATGTAGTGGAAAGTGAAAAGGAGATATCCCCCGTACAAACGCAGGAAATTAAGGAAAGCTCCAGCACGTTCATCTCCCCTGAGGTTACCCAGAACGATCTGCAGATGGATACGAGTGACAGTCAGAGTAAAGGCTCAGTATCGAGTGTTACATTTAACCCCTTCGCGACCACGGAAGATAATGTAAGCCCCGTTGTACCGCCGGTTGGTCCACAAGACTTGACTCCGTTGGAGAACAACGTTTTCCAGCAGGACGTTACCCCGGTTAGTCAACCGATGGATATTTTCGGCACCACTCAATTGGTATCGAACGCAAATGCTTACGATTACCCTCAGCCGCATCAGCAAAGTATCTTTTTAAGCGAACCGGAGCCGATCATACAAGACAATTTCTACAGCGATAACCAAACAACCGATGAACCAAAAGCGGACGCATTTAGTAATTTTGGCGAGACGAACGATGAATTCGACGCTTTTGCTCAAAAATTCGACTCGGTTGCCAAGGACGAGAATCGCAACGGCGCCTTCGACAGTTTCGGGGAAGGTGGCGACGCCTGGGGAAACACCGCGAACGAATTTGAAAGCTCGGCTTTCGGAAATGACTCTGGATTTGGTAACGAGGAATCGTTCGATGCTTTCTTGGCCTTGCAAGAACCTCCTGTCGTACCTCAAAGTACGCCTAATAGGGTCTCAAAGGCCGGCTCGCAGGAATCCGATGAAGAGAAAGACTTCTCGGTCTTCATACGGCCAAAAACCAACGAAGATTTTAGTGGCGGGGTTATGCCTGTAATAGCCCCCCCTCCGGCTCACGTGCAAGCTGCCTTTACCGATACTTCCCCGAGGTTTAATCCATTCGACCAATCCGAGATGGCAACCACTCAACAAGCAGACCCTGTAATACCATACGGTGACGGTGAAATGAAACGCAGCGACTCGGCTGAGACACCACCAACGCCACTTTTCGATGAAGATGTTTCGCAACCCCTAGAACCATTCCCCAGGATAAACTTCGAGGAAGAAGGCTGGGAGATGCATCTTCGGCAACCGAATAAGAAAAAAATAACCGGACAAAGATTCTGGAAGAAAATATGGGTGTGTCTATCCTACCAACCGGACTGCGTTTTGCTGCAACTATACAACCTGAAGGGCGACAAGGATCCATTCCAAGAACTCCCCCTGCAACCTTGTTACTCCGTTTCCGATATAGGCGCCCAACAGTACGATCAGTTCGGGAAAATATTTACAGTAAAACTTCAGTATATCTTCTATAAAGAACGTCCAGGCGTAAGGCCAGGACAAGTCAAAAAAGCCGAACGTATTACCAACAAACTATCCCAATTTGCTGCCTACGCCATACAAGGCGACTATCAAGGCGTCAAAGAGTTCGGTAGCGACCTAAAGAAACTCGGTTTACCCGTCGAGCACGCGCCTCAAGTCTCCCAACTAATGAAGCTGGGCTCCCTCAACTACGAAGACCTGAAACAGTTCTCCTTCAGCATCGAGGAAGCTCTATTCAAACTGCAAGCTCACAGAGATAGAGCCTTGCAATATAAAATGGAGGAGGTGCAGATCACTGCAGTGGATGAACTTTACGTTGAACAGGACTCAGACGGACATATCGAACGGCAAATCGCCAGAGTGCGGCTATTCTTCTTAGGATTCTTGACTGGAATGCCCGACATCGAATTGGGGGTGAACGATATGAGACGGCAAGGTAAAGAAGTGGTGGGACGGCATGATATTATACCTGTTGTCACTGAAGAATGGATTCGTTTGGAGAACATTGAGTTTCATAATTGCATTCAGCAAGAGGAATGGGAGAGAAACCACATCATCAGGTGAGAATAAAACACACCAAATTTAACCAATTCAATATAATTTATTTTCTTTAAGGTTTAAGCCACCTGATGCCTGCTACATAGAACTAATGAGATTCAGAGTGAGACCTCCTAAGAACAGGGAATTGCCTCTACAGTTGAAAGCCCAAATTTGTGTTACGGGAACCAGGGTCGAAATGAAGGCGGACGTATTGGTGCCAGGTTTTGCTTCGAGAAAGTTGGGTCAAATACCTTGCGAAGATGTCATGATACGATTCCCCATACCAGAATGTTGGATCTACTTGTTCAGAGTGGAGAAGCATTTCCGATACGGATCTGTTAAGTCTGCGCATAGAAGGTAAGGTTTATCTTGGTTTATCATGTTTTACTGAGGTTTTTTATTTTAGAACCGGTAAAATAAAGGGTATTGAGCGTATATTGGGTACTGTTGATACTCTTCAAGAAAACTTGATTGAAGTAACCTCGGGACAAGCTAAATACGAGCATCAGCACAGAGCTATAGTGTGGAGGTGTCCCAGGTTACCCAAAGAAGGTCAGGGGGCCTACACCACACACAATATGGTGTGCAAGATAGCTCTGACAAGTTACGACCAAATGCCTGAGAAGTTGGCCGAGTATTGCCACGTGGAGTTTACGATGCCAGCCACGCAAGTCAGCCATATGACTTGTAGGAGTGTTAGTTTGCAGAACAGTGACAGCGATGAGCCTCCAGAGAAGTACGTGAGGTATCTGGCAAGACATGAGTACAGGTAAGTCACAAGACTCTTTAAAAATATAGAAGTGTATAGGACTCCCAGTTTGAATACTAAATCTTACAGTTTTATCAGAACTGTATTGAATCGTGCTTTGTTTTTATATTTTTGCACGTCTATAGTTAAAGTCAAACTCAATGGTGTCTTACAAGATACATTATTTTGATTTTCTATATTCAACAGAGAGGTAGAAACTCGACCCTGTCGAATGGCCCAGTCATTTATGTCTCTAGAAATTATTGAAAAAGGGGGCAGTCCAATGGTGCATCAACTTCGGATTCTTATTCTCTTCAAATACATGGAAACTCAAGCTTTTCAAATTTTACTGGCAATGATTTTCGTTAATGTCCCCGAGAATTATAAAAAACAGCGCAATGCAATATCGCAACAGTTCGACTTCTCTTTACTCTACCAAGTTGTAGAAACTGGAGTCTCTCTAATACTGTTCTAGTCAATATTTCTGAGAGCATGAAAAGAGGGTGTAATTCAATATTGCAAAAAGTTTTGATCTTTTGATGGATGCAAGTATTTTGAATATGCTCATTTCTGCATATGATTTTGTCGAAAATAGTTCCTTTCTTCGGTTCCTTTGAAGTGAAATTACGACCTCTATACTGTGTTAAGTTAAGCATCTACTATAGGATTTTTTTTTCAGAGTTGGCATTGAACATACTGAAGGCGAAAATCCCAACGCCTATGCTGCAGCGACCTTTGTCTCTAAACCCAAAGAAGCTCCTATACCAGAAAAGCCAGCTCCTGTAGCTGAAGAGTCAAGCTCAGACAGCGATTAAAAACTTCCTTTAAGCACATATATATAAACCGGGTGTTTATTCACCCCCTAAAGGGTAATATTTAGTATTTGTTGTGGCTAAGTATTGTTTTTCCTGCATATCAATACGTTCCATGTTGCTTCTTATATTTTGCTCGTAATACGCAGTGCTTCGTACATAAATATAATAAAATATATTTATAAGAATAATGTTTCTATGTAGTTTAATTGGCACATTAATTGTTGATCGACAATACTGTAATAATAGTGATTAGGATGTTAAAAATATAACTGTTTAAGTGCTTACTTAACTGTATTCATTTCTAACGTGTCTTATTGTGTATTAAACGTAATATTAGCGTAGACTAAGTGTAAAAATGTGTATTTTTATTTGACATATCATATTTTAAGTTCAACGTTATAAATGGTCTTTTCGAAAACTCGATTTTTCGAAAAGTTACACAGCTAGGTTACCAAAGACAAAGTACATTAGTAATTTAAGTAAAAATGAATTTAGTAATAAGTTAGGATAAAAGTCATGTATAGTAAAAAAACCGTTTTATACAGGGTGTCGAACGCCTTGTACATTTTAATTTTACCCTGTGTTTAATGTTTATTGTTAAATTTATTGTTGTAAGAATAGTATACAGGGCCAATCAAATTAATGTGACATTTCATAGTCAGAAATTTGTTATTAATTTGATTATTTCTGTGGTAACGTTAACTAGTTTATAGTATTTATTTGATTTTTTATATTAATTTTTCCATTATCAAAAGGATCTACCATACAGGGTGATTCATACGTACTGTGACACATTTCGGCAAGTATTCTACTATTAAAAAAATGGATCACAGTACCTCTAAAACACCCTGTATTTCCTAATCGGAGGATGAATCTAGTCACTAGTACTTAAGGAAAATAACTGTATAAAAGTTATTTTAAAAAAACCTAATATAATCATATTAGATAATAAATATTTATTGTAAGTAAATTAAAATGATATACAAAGTAAAATAATGTATATTAGTCCATGTGAATGGTTAGTAATGATATATAATAAAAATAAATTATATACTTCAGATTTAAATCATAATATTATTATTGTAACAACCCTAATTTATGTAATAAGGTATACCTTTATGTATATAAGGTTTATGTATCCATATACCAACAGACTCATGTAAAAAAAGTAATAAATAAATAGTATTGTTGCTTATGAGTTATTTATTTTATTGAAAAAAATTTAAAAAAGGTTTTCTGTTTCCCTAGTGATTTTTATTATTCTTTCACTGGGGCAATCTACAGGGTGTTAATGTAATATATTAAAATACTGAATACCTTTTGACATAAGGTGTAACGAAAAAATATTTAAAAAATATTTTCCCAAAGATAAACGAAAAATATGCATTTTTATATATTTTTTGATACGCCACTGCTTCTTTTAGTACATACCAACCAGTTGTAAAAAATTATTACTAAAAATTTTTCTTGCAAAAAATAAATAAAAATTCAATATATACAAAAATGTTATGCCCTTAAAGCTCTAATACCTTTCTGTATTAATTAAGGTTATTTATTATTAATTATTTTTGGTCTTAAGAATTTAGAAAAAAAGTTTCAGGTGTTTATTAAATAAATAAATTTTATGGACCCCTTTTAATATATTACATTAATTACATAACACCCTGTATATACTTACTTATGGGAAGGTTTTGGTACCTATATTAAGTTAACAGCATAAATTAAGAATTAATCCCGGCGCGTTCGCCATTTTTGCAGCAAAATATACAAAACCCAACAAAAAGTTAAAATTATTAACAAAAGTTATAGTGTTGCACTGTATATTAATAATATAAAAAGTTTTTATTAAAAACAATAAAACTTGTTATGACTAGTTATATTTTTAGAAATATTTTGGTTTAGTTTAACTTTTTGGTGCATTAATTACATAACACGCTGTATATTAAGTTAAAAGTATTAATTAAGAATTAATCCCGGCGCATTTGCCATTTTTTTTTCAACAAAATTTAAGAAACCCAACAAAAAGTATCAAATTAAAAAGAAGTTAAAATTATTAACAAAACTTATAGTGTTGCACTGTATATTAATAATATGAAAAGTTTTTATTAAAAACAATAAAAATTGTTATGACTAGTTATTTTTTTAGAAATATTTTGGTTTAGTTTAACTTTTTGGTACATTAATTACATAACACCCTGTATATACGACTTATGAGAAGGTTTTGGTATATTAAGTTAACAGTATTAATTAAGAATTAATCCCGGCACATTCGCCATTTTTTCAACAAAATTTACAAAACCCAACAAAAAGTATCAAATTAAAAGGAAGTTAAAATTATTAACAAAAGTTATAGTGTTGATAAAGTATATTAATAATATAAAAAGTTTTTATTGAAAACAATAAAAATTGTTATGACTAGTTATTTTTTTAGAAATATTTTGGTTTAGTTTAACTTTTTGGTAAATTAACCACAGCATTCTTTAATTTGCATAGTTATATTTTACTTGCTGGTAAATTAACGTTCATTAATAAACTGGTTTAAAATGGATGATTCTACAGTTTCCATTGCAATGTTACCTGCATAAAAAAATGGTCTCAATATAATACCTAGGTAGTAGGTTGTGAGTTGTGAGTTGTGTGTGATAATGGAGCCTAAAATAAACAATTTTAAAAAAATAACGAATTTCTTCAACTTACTATAGAAGATTTAACAAAGTTGTAAATAATTATTTATCAGTGGTTTTAAAAGCAAATATATTTGCTAATACCACCTGTTATAATTTTTGTTGGTGGTACCTATTATTATAATACCACTATAATTACTATTATTTTAATACCACTATAATAGTTATGGAATAAAAATTGTACAGTAACTGTTAAATTCAAAAATAGGTAAACCTTATTTTATGATAAAGTATACTTGACATCATCCCATTTTTTTCAATGGTAAGGAAGTTTTAGCTTATTTAGTGTTTAATATATCATAAAACTAAGTTAACCAGGACTGAATCTTGTTTACCATTGCAATGAAAAGAGCGAAAAACGTGAATAAAAATTGTACAGTAACTGTTAAATTCAAAAATAGGTAAACCTTATTTTATGATAAAGTATACTTGACATCATCCCATTTTTTTCAATGGTAAGGAAGTTTTAGCTTATTTAGTGTTTAATATATCAAAAAACTAAGTTAACCAGGACTTAATCTTGTTTACCATTGCAATGGAAAGAGCGAAAAACGTGTAATGTGATTTTAAAAAAAGTGGGATTCTTTAAAGTACTTAAATCGTTTGAAAATCGCGGTTAATTACATACTACAACACAGGCTGTGTTCTGTTCAGAGACAAAGAAAGTCCTCTTCTTCTTCTTTCTTCTTCTAAGCAGAGATATCTCTGTTCTAAGGTTCCGTTATAGCAGGCTGCGTCATTTGTGCGCGCGCCAGCAAACCACGAGCCATCATCCAGCGATCACGTGAAAGCCGCGTGTTCGCTGGAACTAACAGCTGATTGGCCGAAACGGTGCGACTGCGGCCGGTACATTCAACGCGCCTACTGCCCGTAGTGCGTTTCTTCTTTCTGTTTGTGTCATGGAATAAGAACGAACTGACAGTTGCATAACAACCTTTTGTGATTAGGATTTACGGCGATAAAACTGTTTTATTATTGGATCTGATACTACGCAACTTGTTAAGGTAGGTTGAGATTTTATTTTGTTGATCCGCGTCGCCTGATGTTCATTTGTTTTCAGTCAAAATGGCACTGTCAAGTATGAGGAGTTTGTCAACAAAGGGTATTGACGTCTTTAAGCACCAAAATCACAACAAACAGATTGTAAGTCGATTTTATATTACACTACTCAAATTAACCAGTTTTCCATCTAAAATATTGCCAATGTGTTTAATTTTTTACTTTGGTTACCTACTTACATTTAATTAAATATTGTTAAAAGCAGATAAAAAAATACATTTATGATTTTAAAATAACTTTTTACGTTTTACTTACAAGAACTTCTTTGATAGGAAATGCAAAATTTTTATTTCATTCATTTTATCAATTTAATGGTTAAAATTTAATGTTAACCTTAACCTTTATAAAAACAAATTTAACAATTTAATGTAGGTATGTACAATGTACATTGTACAATTTACATACATCTAAAGATATTTAGATCTTATAAACTATATATTACTATAGCTTAATAGCAGTATACTATAGTAATATATTTGCTTTTTTGTTACGAAATAAAATATGGGCTTACTATAGCTGCTATAGTGAGTAAAATTAGTTTTGACCACAATCCACATTGTGGTTTTGACATTCTTAAGTAAGTTTGACATTTTAAGATTGTTTCTCTACGACTACTTAAGAATAGTAACATTCTAGTGTAATTTTTGATCATAGAAAGGATGTTTTTCTGCAATACTGTGCGAGAATATTCCTACTCTTGGTTAAGAATGGTCACAAGTAACGACATCTCCTGACTGTTTAGTAAACGTAAAAAATTTAAAAATATTTAAATATTACTGTATTATTTATTAATTAAAAAATAATAGCAGTTGTATAATTAAGGTTTAGGCACAAAAAATTGGTTATATTTATTGTTTTTCAAATATACAAATCAAAATTATAATAAATTTGATATTAAAATGATAAACCAGTTACCTACTATACCGGCTTTGAAGTTTTGACAGATTCAAAAAGTTTAAAAAAAGACCTTTAAAATGTAGAAAAAGAATAGATGTTGACATAGATAAATAAATAAATAAAATAAAATACTTTATTTTCATCCCAAGAAACATACAGTTTATAGAGGGACACCTCTAATCATACAATTACTTGTAAAATTAGTTTTGTATTTGTTACAATGTTATTTTTTTTATTAGTTAGTGTAAATAACTATTTTTAATTATAATAAAGATTTAGGCATACCATTTGTTTAAATTTATTATAATTTACATTATAAAATTGTGACGGCACAAAATGGTTTGACAAGACAAAAAACTTAAATGTCAAAAACTGCTTGGTTTCTTTTCTCTGTTTAAAATTATATAAGCGTTACTATTCTTACGTAGTCGTAGAGAAAATAATGTCTGAAACACGTTTGGAATAGCATATTCCACTCTCGTAAAACCGTCACACTCGCCTTCGGCTCGTGTGTCAAATTTTTCCTCGAGCGGAATATGCTTTATTCCAAACTTGTTACAGAATGTACTATTTTGACACTGTCTTAAAAAGCCCAAGCAGCATTTTGGTTCCAAAAACCATAACCAAAGTGGTGATAACTTTAAATTAGTTAAGTATACTAAACAGCTACTTTAATTTTTACTAAGGCTTTGCAACTTTAAAAAAGGTGTTATAAGTAAAAAAAACTTTTAAGTAAATTTAATTTGTAGCAGTTATTTTCGGTTGCTACCTAAAGATTACATTATAATTATTTTTACTTTGTAGTAGGTAGTTAAAATTTCGAAACTGGAACATGAGTTAAAAACTACAAAGTTAATAACTTAAAAGTTATTATTTTAGTATTTGGAACCTTTATGGTACTAATCAAAACTACCGTAAAGTAAATTAAGGTGGGAAAAAACTTTAAAGTAGCGAAAACTACTTCAAAGGAAAATGCTTCTTATCAGCCATTAAATATTGTACAGTACCACGTGGTAATGTAAATAATAAATTATTTTAATTGTTTGTAAATGGTTATTTACTTTTTAATAAATAGTAATTTTGTTGGTAATAGACGGTATTAATAATTAAATAAAAAATTAATAATAAATATTAAGATTTTTTTATTTATAAGCATTATTAAATAAATAATTTGTTTATACTTAAATATTGATGAAGCGCATTTATTTTACAAAAACAAAAAACAGTAAAATTTAAAGGGTTTATAAATTTACCTGCCTAATTAAACATTATTTTGTTATTCTGTTATAAACTACCAGTACATATTTAATAAACGACGACATTGAAAAGCCAAGTCCGTAGTGGTTCCATTTAAAAAAGGAGGGATAGTATAATCTAATATAAGTTTGACAAAGACAGTTAATATAGAGGTAAAAACAAATAATTAAAAGTAATTATAACGCTCTAGCAACGATATTGAAACGTTATAATAACGTAGCAGCTACGTTCAAAATAGTAGCAGGGTTTATAGCTAGTGACATATTTGTTACCTTTTTGGAACTCAATAATTGTTCCCCACTTTAGTCGTAACTTAGTAATGAAAGAGTAATATAGAGACCGGCGACTGTCGCAAAACACTTTAAAGTTTCTTTAATAGTCTCATATACGTAACGAATACTTAAATTGTTGCTTGTGAGACTTGACAATCTAAAATGTATTTTGGTATTTTTAAATAAAGACCTTAAAGATTTTTAATAAAGTGACATGTTCAATTACGTCTTAATATGTTTTGACATTTTTTTTAGTTTAAAATGTTTTTTGTGAATTTTTTCATTGTTGATCATGCAATTGAAAGCTTTTTTATGTAGGCATTAATATTCTGAATTACTTAAATACTAGAAATTTAAATTTTAACTAACTAACAGCAATTACATTAGAATTTTTATATCGTCATATTCCTGCCAAAAGTCATTAACTGACATTTTGAAAAATGATAACAAATTGTACTTAGCTATGCAAATTTACCATATATTTAATATTTAAAAGCAATGCTTTTAAAGCATCTATAGATGCCTAGAATAATAAAAAATGTTCGTTTTTGCATGTTTAAAAATCACTATAGTTTATAAACTGATGTAATAGATATATTTATTTGCTTATTTATTTTATCTTGAAGATCAATAATAAAATGTTAGTTAGTGACTTTTCGCAGGGATATGACGATATATTCGTATTTATGGCCAAAACCTTGAATTCGTAAAATCATGATCAAAACAATCGCAATATAAAAATTGCATGTACATTTCAGATATTATTCTCCTTAAGAAACCTATCAGTCTTACCAATCAACAAAAACCTATCCATCATAAGTGAAGAAAAGAAAAACACCAGGGTGTCAAATTTAACTCTGGAAAGGCCTGACGACAAACCCTTGGTGGTACTGCTCTCCTGGCTGATGGCCAAAAAGAAGAACATTTTTAAATACGCAGATATATATGCGAAAGAAGGCTATGATGTTCTTAATGTCAGTGTCAGTCCATGGCAGCTACTATGGCCCACCAAAGGAACTCAGGTAAAACAATATTTTGTTTTTTTAATAATTTTCTTAAAAAAAAAAACATTGTTTCCCCCTAGAAACATCATGGATATTAGGAACCAATACAAATAATACAAAGCTTATTGTTCATATAGAAAAGTAAAATATACAATAATTGCTTTAACCTTTTTTTTAAATACTTATGATGTCTTTTTATAAATTATGTAAGTAATAATCGATTTTAACATAAAAAAACGGTGTAGTTAATTATTTAACAATGAATAAACATTATAATAATATGCTAATAATGACTTTTCCTTTCACAAAGTTGCAATTAAAATATGAATTATGAACACAAATCATACGATTTTCTGCATTGTAAATTTATTTGAAAAAAACATTATTAATAAAAAAATATTGCATTAAAATCGATTAAATCGATAAAAAATATATTTTTAAAAATGCTAAGATTTTAAGTTAAAAACTGTCTAAAAATATATATTTATACGAAAGATAATGCGCATAATCTCGAGTGTAATACTATACTTTATCTACTCCAGATAATAGATAAAAAAATTTGCAAAAATAAATAAATAAAATCTGACATCTGTCCAATGGTTAATCTTACTTTTAACTATATTCTATATATATTTATATAAAAAATATTATGCAATAGAAGTAGATAAATTAAATTAAACATTAAAGACAATATTGGTATTATTATTCAATTGGTTTTTGATGACTAATTATGAAACTGATTGTTTAACATTTTTTTAATTAACAATTGTTTAAACCTTTTTAAGGACATAAAAAATAGTTGCGGGCAATTAAAAGGTGACAAGTTCAAGCAATGTTGCATATGTTGAAATTTAACAGTTGAGTGCAAATGGGATGGCCGATATATTGAATAAAAAGTATCCATTTGTTTCGGTTTTTCTTAAAAAAAAAGGGTCAGGGTTGGAGATTTATTGAACCACACATTTGCCTTTTAAATAAGCTTGTAGTTAGGTACTTGGTTATTTTTTTGTAATACGTTTTTTCAATAATATATTGCAATTTATTAAACATCATATCAGTTAAACCTAACCTAAAAATGATGTTTCTCAAAGAAATATTTAGCTTTCTCCGCCGGGTTTAATGGACTATTTTTTTCAAGCATTTAATTATACCTAATAATTTAATTACCTCGCACACAATCTACTGCCTTGGCAGTAAAATTTATGCTCGGATATAATATGTGCTTTCTCCGCCTGGTCTATAATGTAGTTACTATTTTTTATAAATATATATATGTACACATACATAATACTCAATGAATAAATTTTAAATAACATCAATTATATTATTATCTATTTTTTTTACAATTTTTTGGAAATTATTATTTTTGAAAAAGCCAGACAAAACAAATTAACGTTTTATAGATAAACAAAAAAAAACGTTTAATTATAATAATAATAAATTTTTTAAATAATTAGATACAATTTTAGTTGAAGAACATGAAATTCCTATAAATTATAAAAAGGCAAATTGTCGAAGTAAATTATGTGAAATATATGTAAAAAAATATATAATTACTATTATACCTATATTGTATTTCCGTTTTTTTTGTTTGTTAATTGTACGTAATTTAAAAAAATATATTAATTACTTATATACAGTGTGTGTGATGTACAGAATGTTTAAACAATGATTTCATTGTTTCATTTCATAAAAAAATTCATTTTAAGAATTTTACTTCAATACGTTTGGCAACAAGATGTGCAATTGATTATCCCAACAATTAATTAGTTAATTGATTGTTATCTGTTGACATCACACAATGATTGACAGTTAAAATTGTAAATTATATACGCTAGTAGCGCCACCACTCGGCTGTTACAAAAGTACAACTTTTAATAATCAGCTGTCAAACGCTTATGTTACAAACAAGTGTTTTTGAGAATGAAGCCGGAAAATGTTAAAAAATATCGGAAAAAAACTGTGGCTCGATTTGTTGTGTATTTCGAGAGGAAATTCTGGGTTGAGTTTTTACCGGTTTTCCAATATACAGTGTTAATCTGAATGAAGAATTAAATTGCATACAGTCTCTGTAAATATAAATTGTACCTATTAAATACACATTTTAGTAGTGATTAAGGTGAAAAGTGTAACCATTTCAATTCAGTAAAAATCGTCAAACAAATAAGTCGTCTAAATTTAAACAGCATTTAGCAATACTAAAAGCGTTGATTAAGAAAGTCTCCTCTCAACGGTAAAATACCATTATATTATGTATTATATATAACATTATGCTGCCCTGAATTCGTAGGTTTATTTTGTTGTTTAAAATGCAGTTGTCGGCGTTTTTTAGAGAACTCAAATATAAAAATGGTTGATTTTAAGGTTATGTTTGTGCAAAAATTATTTTTTACTAATTTCTTAAAAATGTCCAAACTTAAATATAAATTATATTAGGTAAAGTTATCATTAGTTAATTCTGCACCAACAAATGTACTTACCGAATTGTATCCTTTGGCAAAACATGAAAATGCAACGATTTAGTTCTTGAATTTTATTTACAACTAAAAACACAATAATTCACCATGATCATTTTGATAAATACACACACTAACGTAACTGTAAAAGCATTTAAGCGTTGAGTTTCTTAATCAATGATATAAGGAATAATCAATGAAAATCGAGTACTAAAAAAGTTTTTTAATTTTTTTCTTAGCGTATTGTCATAACATTTCTGTTAAATATTGATATGTATTTCTTTAGTGAGTCTGAGTATGTATGATGTGTTTGGAGAATGCTTAAAACATAGATTTAATCTATGGTTTTATTAGTTATTTTCTTCTGTCAAGTCTAATAAATAACCTCCAAGTAAAACTAACGAATTTGACACTTTTTAATATTGTTGTTTGTTGTCATGACGATTAAGCATAAATTTACCAATTTATTAGTACGCAATGTTGCCATTTAAAAAAAAATTGTATCCTTTATATCTTTTTAAATAAAATATGGAACCTGAGAAACCCCCCTAGATACAATCAAAAGCACACATCCCCGACATTTTCCACGTGCTGAACACGCTATACCAGAACATTTTTTTTAGGTGGTGGCAGCGGAAATTCTCAGTTTCCTGGAAAGGAACGCCTCCTACAGCCCCATAGTTCTGCACGGGTTCTCTGTAGGAGCGTACTTGTGGAGCGAAGCGTTGGTACAAATGGCCGCCCAGAAGGAGAGGTACCAACCTGTTTTGGACAGGATTCAAGGTCAAGTTTGGGACAGCGCGACCGACATCACCGAAATCACAATCGGCCTGCCGATCGCTGTGTTTCCCCGAAACCGAGTTTTGCAGACTGCTTTGAAAAAATATATCATGTAAGTAAACGATTTTTTTTATTTTTTTTTTCTACTCCCACCTTTAAGCCTGAATTATAGATTGCCTTCCTTCCTTCCTTCCTTCCTTCCTCCCGTAGAAGATGAACATTAGGTAATTGTCACCATTAACATTTCCCGTGTAGGAATATTTAATACTTTGTGATAATATTTTGCAATTATAGTAATAAAAAAATCAAAGGATAAAATATTTTCTTAACAAAATCATATTTTAAAGTTATTTTAATATTTTAAAGTATAAATAATTGTTAAGTTTAATTCAAATTAATAACGGGCAATGTTAATGGTGACAGTTACGTCAAAAATGTTTATTTAAATCGTAGTGCCTTTTATAGATTCCCGTACGGCATTCCTTCCTCCCGTAGAAATTTTTAAGTTTTATCTTACACCGTAAAGGTCTTTGACATGACCATTAATCACTGGACATAGGTTTGTGCACGACATGGCAACGGTTTTTTCTTTAAAAACTGTTGTTTTATAAAATAAATTGGGTAATTCTCTTTCAACGTTTATATTTTCCATAAAAAAAGTCGATTTCTATACATTGACATTTTAAATTAGACATACAGTTCATTTTTTTATCTGGACTCGTGTTTTTTTGTTAGGTTGTTGGCTTATGCCAGTTTGACTTGGTATTTTTAGTATTTAAAATGGTACTTCTGCTAAAGAATTTAATTAAATACTTTGACACTGTCAAATTGACAATAATATTTATTATTGATAATTTACTTGTCAATTATAAATAAAAAGATAATTATGCCAAAAATAATAGCAACGAATTAGAATGTAAAAGGGCAAAACTTCATTTTGATGAAATTAAGCCAAATGCCACAATGGAAGAAAAAGTACATCGCCTTATGGACATTTTTGGAGTAAAAAAGTAACGAATTTGATTTATAAATATTACATCACACATTATTTTCACATTATTCGCCATTGGACAACATTTACGTTCACAAAAAATTTTAATTTTTTTTATATAAATTCTTTTCAAAGCGAAGATTATTATCCGCTAGGAATACTTTCTCTTTTCGGCCGTAAAGCAACCTATATTTAACTACTTTTTTATATGATTTTACTCATCCAAATTAATTGCATTTTTAACTACGAATTTCGACAACTCAACTTGACAACTGCACAATGTAACCTACAATAATTTATACATAACCACAATTAGATTTATAACTAGCTTAGTTTGTTCTAATCAATGCGACCAACTTGACAACCGTATTTACCAACCAAAACCCTAAATTTGCAACGTTGCCGCAGTCCAGATAAAAAAAATGAACTTTAAAACAACTAAAATTCCATCAAGATTTATTTGACATTTGCGACATTTGCTTATAACCATGGAAAATAATTTTGCTAATATAAGTCATGGTTTACTAGATTTGTTTTTTGGCCAAAAAAATCATCTAAAATGTGAATCGGTCCTTAACGACTGATATAAAATATGAATAAAAATAGGCAGTATCTTTGTTTGTAAATATATATGAAAAAATAAATTCAGAAGGTAAACATACCTACCTATAACAAAGATATAATTCAAAAATAACATTTTTTTTTTAAATTATTTGCTTGCTCTTAAAAATATAAACAGTAGGTTTTGGGTAAAGGCCTAATGTCAATGACGTTTAAAAAAATGTTGATAATAACAAAGATATATAAAACTGTCTTTAATTGTTAAATTATTTAACCATTTTTAACTAAGTACATATTACTGTAAAAGTATTTTTTAAACTGTTTTTTATCTTTTAGTAATAAATTTAGTAAATGTAATTCGTTACTAGCTTTAGAAAAAATAAATCAATTATCTAGGTACAATGTAGTAACAATATTACCAATTTAAATTTATATGAAGTTGTTTTTTTATTACTTTGACGTTCTCACTTTTTATAAAATTGATAATGAAAAATATACAATTTAAATTTAATTTATCAGTTTTTTTTAAATGTATAGTGGTCCAAAAGAATGATACTATAAAACATTTGTTTTAATTTTTGAAACTAAGATTGGTAAAAGCGTTTAAGAGTTGGATTTTTTTTACTTGTTATGATTCACATTCTGTGACTAAAAATCAAATTTAATACATAATGCACTATTAAAAAACAGTCCAGGTCATATTGTCATTTCTCTTTAGCTACCACATGAACGCTTTCGATAAAATATCGACTTGTCATTACGTCAGAGCTTCCCAAATGTTCCACACAAATTTGGTAAAAGCCCCAGCACTATTTTTCCTGAGCAAATCAGATCAAATCGGTGCATTTTCGGCGAACAGCAGGGCCAAAGAAAGCTGGGAAGGGTCAGGAATTAAGGTAAAAAAATATGCGTACTTTTTACCATACCTGGGTATTTCAAAATGTCTACATATATTAATTAAAAATATTTTTAGGTGAGGTGGAATTGTTGGGAAAAATCCCCCCATGTGGGACACTTACGGGCTCACAAAGAAGAGTATACAAATGAATTAAGCAACTTTTTAAAAGAAATCAAAGAAAATTTGAAGCAAGAGCAAAAACAAGAAAAAATACAACTTGTAAATTAATGATAACTGAATTTCTCGTTGTTTCTTGTTGTAAAAAAATTTAATTAATTATTAATATTTTTTAAGGATTACCATTTATATTTTTAACAATATTTAGATAGCCTTATATTGTGCCCATTGTGATAAGTATAGGGATTTATTTAGGTATAAGTGTGATTGTATTATAAGTTGGATAATTCATTTTATAATTTAACAATTTTAGGATTGTTGCCAATTTTTGTGGTTAAGTAAAGATTTATTTATTTACTGTATAACGTTTAAATAAAACTTATATATTAAATTAACGCGCATTTGTTTAATTATAGATATAATTCCCATTAATTTTCTTAGCAAAACAATATTAAATTTTTAGGTTTCAATGATAAAGTAATAAAGTAGTAATTTGTTAATTAAATTACGTTTTATTTTTGGCACATCCTACTGTTATTTATTTATCAACTCTTCAAATAACGAAAAAATCGGATTATGGATTGGATTTAAAATAATGCAACTGAATAGTTTTTGCAATCGGTCATATTTTTTTTATTTAGAAATCAGTCTTTTCATCAGTAGCCATTTGGCAAACCTGTATCACACAAACAATCACAAACATGCACAAGTTCACAAAAGACAAACAAATTAAGTTACCTACAAAAAAATTGCATGTCAATTTTTTCGGTTGTCACAAATAGAAAAAATTATATTATTGATATACGGAATGAGAATTTCACAAAAAACAACAGCGATTTTTCTTAATGTCACTAAATTCTAAAATTAATTAAAGTACAAAAAACTATTATTCACAAGCAGTCTTTTGTTGAAATTTCTTTCTTTTTTTAAAAACATCGTTAGAAAAAATATAAAGCTCTGTTTGCGGTCTCTTCAATTAAAATGAAATACACTTAACAGTAAAAATAAAAACATAATAGTCAAATAGTATATCTGCCAGCAGTTTTATACCTTTGTTATAGTAAAAAAGCCCTAAATTACTTACATAAAAAAATATATCACAAACAACTATAGGCCGACTAAATAAAATCAATGAATTGAATAAAATTGCTTGCATAAATAAAACAAAACACTTAATTTTGCACTAAAAACGTTAAAAATAGGGTAATAAAAAATATTCGAGCATCGCCCGGTTAATTGCACTTGTCTACCAATTCGTGTTTTACTCGAACAAGCACATATAGTCGAAAAAAAACCTTTCCAAACTAAACCGGAAGCAGTCCATCTTCGTTATTTTTGAAGATACATTGTTGTAAAAACACTTAATAATTTGTGCACATGAAAACCATCAATTTATCTCACTTCCGGTTAAACCGGAAGTGAGCTAACTCCGTTAGTTTTCAAGGTGCAAAGTTTTTAAAACCGCCTCGTGATTATCCCCGCAGAAACTCGTCGTTCGGACTGGACTTCCGGTTTAGCCGGAAGTGGCGTTTTCGGCGCGCAAAATTAGGACCGAGCGCGTCTGAATGCACAGCGACTTCTAGCGCTGTTTTTTGTCCGTGTTTTACACAAAAAGTCGAAAACCCTCTCTTACCAAACCGGAAGCAGTATATCTTCGTTATTTGTCAAGATACATTATTGTAAAAACCATTAATAATTTTTACACATGAAAACCACGAATTTATCCCACTTCCGGTTTAACCGGAAGTGCGGTAACTCCGTTAGTTTTTAAGATGCAACGTTTTTAAAACTGCTATAATAATTTGTACACATTAAAACCATAAATTTATCTCACTTCCGGTTAAACCGGAAGTGAGCTAACTCCGTTAGTTTTTAAGATGCATCGTTTTTAAAAGTGCCAGGTGATTATCCCCGTGGAGACTCGTCGTTGGGACTGGACTTCCGGTTTGGCCGGAAGTGGCGTTTTTAGGGCCCGAGCGCGTGCTCCATCATCTGGATGCAGAGCGACTCGAGGCTGCTCTCGATGTCGACGTTCGACTGGCGGCGCTTATTTTTGTCGCTCTCCTCGAACCGGACGTGAAACGGACCGGTGGCGGTCTTGTTGTCGGGAATTTTGCCGCCGCCCGCGATCGGCGACGCGGAATTTGCCGGCACCGAGAGCAGCTGGCTTTTCAGCGTGACGCTGCCCACGGAGTGGCGGTGCGATTTTAGGTGGGCCGTCGATTGCATGTTGGGAAACGACGAGGATTTTTGCGTGTAGGCGGCGTGTTTTTGCATCGACGGGACGGCGTTGGCGCCCGATGCGTAGTTGTTTCTAAAGAAACAGATTTTGATTTTATTAAAATGCAAATTTTTCTCGTAAAAATTATAATATGCCGAAATTATGGTAGTACTGCAATTAAAAATATTAAATTGGCATTTCTTAAACAAAAAGTAAGACAAATGGCAAATTTTCATCTAAAACAGTGTCGCCAGAGTTTTTATTTTATCCCAGAAAAAAATACAATAGTTTTCAAAATGTTATTTCCTATTAAAATGTTTTTAAACTGTACCTTGGAACGGTCCAAAATCAGTGTTGCCAACTGTCAGGAAAAATAAAAGGCAGTGTCTACTGACACGTCGCGACGTGTCTTATAAGCGAAATTGTGCTAAGGCACTAACCAAGCCCATCTGAGCTTCTTATAAAACTATTAATACGTTTTGTTCTTTAATTAAGTGAATTTAAATTATCTGTTTCTTAAATTTGTATTTTTTAGTTAAACACATAAAATATGCTAAATTTAAAATATAATGGAAGAAATTTTTAAATGCATTAAAAATATCATAGGAGATATTTTTAATTAAAAAAAAATACAAAATTTAATATAGGAAGCAAATATTTTAAATTAACTAAATAAAAATTAAATCTAACCTTTAATTAAGCGAATTAAAAATGTGATTGACAAAAAAATACAAATATAAAAAACATATTTTAAATTCACTTAATAAAAAATTTCAGTTTGGCATAAAAATTAAATCTAATTTTAAAATATCTCCTATGATATTATTAATTCTAAGTGATATTTTTTATCTAATTGAAAATATCACTCAATTGTTATCAAACAACAAATAATTCCTGAATTAGTTTCATAATTTAATTTAAAACATTTTTATACTCTTGTACTAAATAAACTTCACACAAAAAGTCAAACTTTGAGATTGTGAATGCAGTCAAATAATTGAGGTTATGTATCTTTCAGTTTAACGCTAATTTCGTCTTATGTTATGTTATAAATTACGACTTTCATACGCAAAATAGTATATTACCCAACTATACTTTATCTACCCCAATAAGTAGATAATTAAATGATTTTCAAAATTAAATAAATAAAATCTGACATATGTCAAATGGTTAACCTTACTTTTTACCAATTTTAAATGTTATTATAGTCGCCTTCTTCCAATATACAACCCGATTGGTTCAAATCACAGTGAATATTGAAATGGGCCAATCACTGACGCCTAACAACGTGAATGATGAGTTTAGTATTCACGTTGTTGGGCAGGAAATTTATACACGGAAAAACCCCAAAATTATGCAATAGAAGTAGATATAATACATATTGTTTTATTTTCAGAAAATAAGACAAAATTCGCGTTAAAGTGACAGATACATAACCTCATTTATTTGACAGCTTTTTTATTCAAATGTTTTTGACTGGACTGTCAAAATGTCTAAAAATTATCCTAAAAACCTTAGGAAAACTAAAATTTACCAAAGTGTAAAATGGGGTAGTTAAATTTTTTCTGACCTATACTTTTTATGGTTTTATTCAAGGCGTTTTGTAATTTTAAAAGTTTCTGTGAAATAGGAATTTCAATTGAGTTTACCGTTTTCGAGATATTTACAAAACAAAACCTCCTAATTACGTTACTAGGCTATTGACAACGTTGCCAGCTTTTTCTATAGTTGCCAGTGTGTTTAGTTTAAGATTCTTACGATAGATGGGGCCACGTTATTATATTTAAGTTGAGAAGAAGAAGAAGAATTGATTTTTTGACGTTTCTTTTTTTCGGGTTGTTTTTTTAAAATTTAGATTATTGAAATTCAATGTTATTGTTATGTTATTTGTAATTGATATTAGATAAGTGATTTATTAATAACGGACTCCAAAGCAGAGGAATCTTGTCGAATGGTTGGTTACATTGAACATTGGAGCTTTTAAACAAGTAAAGTAAGTACCTATAATTATAATCATATTTTGTCGTAAATGCATTTCATTAGTATAATGCCTAGTTCTTTATATTCTTTTAGATATATCTTGGACTTTATTTTGCCACCTTTGTCTATGAAATATATTAAACTCTGCTTTGGACAGTTATTAGGTACCTATTTATTACATTTTATTAGGTTTCACACGGTGTTTCAATGTGTAAACCTATCAATAAAACTTTGAATTTCAGAATTTTCTTTAACCTCCTCTTCTTCTTCTTTCACTCAACTGACAGTGACAGTATTTGTACATAACCTCTTCGGGTATTTTCTGACATAACCGAATGAAATCATTAACAAGACAACTTGACAACAGGGTAATTTTCAACCAATAGAAATCTTAGAATGTTGGTCACATGGCGGGGTTTGTGACGTCATAAAAATTTATATTTTTTGTAAATATCTCGAAAACGGTAAACTCAATTGAAATTCTGATTTTACAGAAATGTTTAATATTACAAAACGCCTTGAATAAAACCATAAAAAGTATAGGTCAGAAAAAATTTAACTACCCCATTAATTATACTTATTAAATTATTTTTTTCCCTGGAGATTTTATTTGATAAATCTGGCAACACTGATTAAAGAAAAAAAAATTCTCAAGTTCTTAATTTGTATAGCAAATTCCGATTAAATATTTTATTTGCAGACTAATCTTGAAAATAAAAATAAAACTAACCTGCTGGAGTTGGTGTGTTGTTGCTGTCCATACATGGGCATCGAAGTGCCATTTATTAACTGCCCCTTCCACATTGTCAACCTCTTTTTCTGATCCTCGTTAAATGTATCCACAATTTCGGCTCTCTCACACAAAGAGTTGAAAAGTACCAAGCACTCATCTGGCGGTTGTCGCAGCATCAAAAGCTGGGTGCAAACTAAAAGGATTTACGTAAAATATATACAAAAAAAATTGAGAATTCTCACCTTTTCCCATAACCCTGACAATTTGCGCGGGAAGATCTTCCCCTCTGTTCATTTGCAGAGGACTTTGAAGCACCCCCTTAATTTTCTTGAGAGCCCCATTTAAATCAGCACCATTCATAATTTCAGTCTCCAATTCAGTCAACATGGTACTCCTATCCTTTAACTTACTTATATTCAACAGCAACTTATGTCTAGCCCCTTTAGTGATCCCTATCGACGATAGAGATTCCTCGTTTAACTTCAATATTTGCTCATAGGTTAGGTTGTTGAAGACCCAGCTGTATTTGTGCAGTCTGAGCGATTTCAGCCATGATATAATGCTTTTCATGGTTGGCTGGTTGGATAAGCTTTGCAAATCTTGCAATTTCGTCTCCGAGCTGCTCGTTTGCAACGTCGAGTTTATAAACAAAGGATTATCACTCGACAGAGAGTAACTGCGCTGTTTTTGGTTAGGTTTGGTTAGATTCTCCTGGGAAGACCATTGATCGTAGTTGGGAATTAAACTATTGGAACGCTTATTCAACTGTATGAATTCAGGGTTGGGGCTGACAGATTCATCGCTGGACTCGTGTATAAAATTATCAGGGCTCACTCTATTGACCACGTGTTTCAGTAGGTATTTGAACGATCTTTTATCCTCCTTGTTAAAGGCGGGGTGTATAAAAACGTAGGACATAATCTCAACACACTCGTTATAAATTTTGTAAGGCGGCGTTAAAAATTCAGTTAATACTTTACGTATGGTACTTAAATAACAATCGGCAGCTTCTTTGTTACCTGGTTTCAGTAAAGGTAGGTGAGTTAGTAGTAACGATAGGCTGACCTGCGGTTTTTCCGATAAGAAACTGGAAATGTACGTGGGGTCGTTGGCGTTTCTTTCCATCGCGTTTGCTTCGTGGTTTTGGGCAGCCGAGATGCATTGCTCGAGAGCGTGGTGCAGAAATTTGGCGTTTGCGTAAGGCAAACCAGTCATTAAGTAATACAGAGCCACTGTCCTCTCGCAGCTGTCCCACTTGTGGAATTTGATCCTGATTTCGTGCAGTTGCTCGCAGAATTCGCTGAAGTCCCGCACATTGTGAAATTCCATCGCACCTAAAACACACAAAAAACACCAACGTTGAACTTTTTTATAAACAAAAAAAACACAACCTATTTCGCAGTGCAAATTTCAGCATATTTACCTGGTTCTTTGGAATTACTAGTTTTCGTGCTCGTGTGGGTGAGCCAGCTTATTTTTTTTTTTAATTTCGTTTATTTTTAAAGCCTAACAAGCATTTTACTATAGTATTTTGTTGACACACCCAAGTGGCGCGAAGTTTGTAGGAAACTGAACAGTCATGACAGTTAATGCCAACGGCAAAAAACAAATGTCCCTAGCGAAATACAAAAAACAAATCCGCTTTTTTTATATGAGCGGGATTATGAGTAATTTAAACTGTGTAGACCATTATTGATTATATTCGTTCGTTATTTATTATGTTTTTAGAAAAATTTTGACGATTTTAAGTTATTTAACTGTCATGTATTTTCAATTTTTTTTATGGTAAAATCAAGAAGAATAAATAAAGGCGAAGACTGAATAAATACCAAAAGGCATAATCACAAATTGTGAAAGTAGATATTATAGCTCAGGTTCCAGATTTTTAACCGCAATTAATTATTTTTTACAATGTTTTAAAAGTCTAAAACCTATCCTCCGTGACTCTTTCTAGGTTAACATATATGTTTTCAAATATCTGAGGTAGTAAAAGCATACTAAAATATCAGTTCACTAAGTAAATTAAACACATCCAAAGCAATCGAATCAAATATAAAATATTATTAAAAATTAAAAGAAATAATTTTTATAACCATTTAAGTAGGTGTTACAAAAATTGATTCTATCCTCCGTGAATCTGTTTTTGCTTTGAATTTTATGCAACGGATGGCGCTTTAATCATTTTAAATAAGCAAAAACCTCTGTTTACGACATTATAGATGCATGTGATTCCTGAAGGTCAGTTAGACTTTATATGCAGATGAGAGTGTTGCTGTTTTATAATTCAAAAGTTTAAGTTCATTAATTTGCTATTTAAAAACCTATCCACCGTGAAGTGTAAAATCTTAGTAAGTAGATTTTTTTATAAATATTTTTGTGTCAAGGTGTCAAAAGATACAATAACTTATTTCAAATACACAAAGGGATGTTTAAAAAAACATACGAAATCCTAACCTCGGTGAAGCTTTAACATTCAAAATGTATGATTTCTTAAAATTCTTGCATTAGTGCAGAACCACTTATGTTATGTTATTACTAGACTTGGTGGCTTCCCAAAAACCCCATTTTTCAGGTTGTTACAACTGTAACAAATTAATAAACCAACAATATTTTAGTCATGAAGAGCAAAGTCTAATGTAGAAGTAAGAATTAAGAAATGCACATAAATAATTAATAACTCACAATTTTTATTTAAAAAAAAATCAAAACACAATAGTTTTATAAAACAGGTAGCCGCAAACTTTATAAAACTCCTTTATAAACCTACTGGTAACGGTTACTAAAGGTTATAAGTATAAATTGTTTGTAGAAACAATTATATAACCTAATTATATACTTAGTAAGTATTACTTACCCTTTATAAACCTAACTGTAACGGTTACTAAAGGTTATATAAAAAGTTAGTAGAAACAATTATATAACCTAATTATATACTTGCCCTTTATAAACCTAATGGTAACGGTTACTAAAGGTTATATAAAAAGTTTGTAGAAACAATTATATAACCTAATTATATACTTTACAATTTATAAACCTGATGGTAACGGTTACTAAAGGTTATATAAAATGTTTGTAGAAACAATTATATAACCTAATTATTTACTTAGTAAGTATTACTTACCCTTTATAAACCTAATGGTAACGGTTACTAAAGGTTATATAAAATGTTTGTAGAAACAATTATATAACCTAATTAAATACTTACCCGGAGTTTACAGTAACCTTATATGAGCATTATAAACCTAGTAAACTAAATGGTGAGTTTATAAAACCTTGTCTATTGGGATTTCAGTGGCGTAGGTTAAAATAAACAAATTGTGATAAAATCAAACTTTTATTAGTCGAAACAAGTGTCACCAATACGAAACTAACTTAAATCATAAAATGCGATATTTAACAAAATTTAAAAGGTTTGCGCGGCCATGTCGTCCGCGCAGATGCCCAGCATGGCGAGATCGTCGTCCGGCGGCAGCGGCGGCGGTTCGAGGGGCAGGGTGTGCGACAGCGGCACCGCCTCCTGCGAATAGTCGTACTGACCGCCGTACATCTCGCCGTAGTCGTAGTACATCTCCATCATCTGCTCCTGCTGATACATCTCGCCGCCGTTGTTGTACTCCTCCTGCTGCTGATCGCCGATCTTGGGCGGCGGGGGCGGCGGCGGGGATTTCTTGCTGATCTTGGGCGGCGAGGGGGGCTTGGGCGGCTCGGGCACCTCCTGCGGCGTCACCGTCGGCGGAGGGGGGATCGTGAGGGGCGGAATGCACGAGAGTTTGGGGAAGCAGACGACGTCGGGGCGGGGGATGAAGGCGCGCGGGAGGTTGCCCGGTTCGAATCGCGTACGGCGAACGGGCTCGTAGTCCTCCTTCACGACCTCGTGCCGCTCCACCTTGTCCTCGGGTTTTTTGTTTTTAAAGAGGGGCATTCGGCCGATGAAGGGGAGCTTTTTGTACGAGGGGGGCGGGGGCGGTTTCTTCTTCTCCTCGGGTCTACGCCGCTCCTCGGGTTTTCCCCGTTGACTTTCCTGCTCTTTTTGATGGTTACTGTCCGTTCTTTGCCTAACAAGTATAAAGTTTGTTTCATCATCAGCCCACATGCAGTCCGCGTGTTATAACTTGGTTTTGCTTAGTTGACGTAATTTTGAAATGGTACCACCCTTCAAGTTTAATTTTTTTGGCTATTTGTTCAATTTATTGTATAGAAAGGAGAGCTGGGAAAGTTACTTCTGAAAAGTATCTAGTTACTTTAAACAAAATAACTTAGTTACCTCTGGTAACTAGAGTTAAAAGTATATTTAGTAACAAGAGACTTTAAAAAGTATCCAAGATACTTTTGAGTAACTAAGATACTTTTAAGTTTTTAATAGTTAAGTATGAATAAAAACTATAAAATTATGAAAATTCATCAAGTTGTAGGTTAGGGAATTACTTTGAATCATTTTGGAATTCCCCCAATTTTCTCTAAGAAAGTATCTAAGTTACATGAATGTATCTTAGTAACTTTACCAAGTAACTTAGATACTTTTTTAGATTCAAGTTACAAGATACTTTTCCAAAGTAACTTAGTTAAAGATACATTTTGTCCAATATAAAAAGTATCCAAGATAAAGTATCTAAGTTACTTTCAAGTATCTTTTTTTCAAGATACTCCTAGCTCTGATGGAAAGTTCACCCAAATTTCATCGTATCGCAAAATTATTAATTGAACCAGTTTAAAAAATATATTAAATTAAAAAAGTGAAGTCAACAAAGTAGTATAATCGTAAAAGGTACCTTATAATTACATAAATATGTACAATATATTTTACCTGTTTAAAATACAATTTTTAAGTAAAGGGAACAAGGTAGTATAATTTTAAAAGGTACCTTAATTATATAAATATACCTAAATACGTATTTAAGCAAAATGAAACATTACCAAAAATAAATTAAGAAACAATATTGTGAAGAAGTAATGACGGAAATGAAAAATACACATAATAAACTTTTTTTCGAATATGTCAATTTGTCATTTTTAATAAAAAAAATTAAGAGCTCTCATAAAAAATAAGGTTGCTTTCGAATTTTGAAAATTACAAAAATAATCAAATTCGAATTTAAAATAATAATTTTTTCGCCTCAGTAAATTTTTGTAAACAAAAAATTAATGAGTTTAGCTTAAAAAATTAATTTTTAAAGGTCGCTCACAAATTTTAAAAAATTTCAAGGAAAGTAATTAGCAATTATTAATTCATTAATATTAAGATACAAGTTACAAGACACTTTTCCAAAGTAACTAAGTTAAAGATACTTTCTGTCCAATATAAAAAGTATCTAAGATAAAATATCTTAGATGCTAAGTATCTAAGTTACTTTTAAGTATCTTTTTTTTTCAAGATACTTCCAGCGAATATGCGAAATAATCGAATACTCAGAATTTCTAAAACAAAAAAATGCTCAGCCTTAGTATTAATGTAACTTTCGTTTTAGTTGACCCTTTGATTTATAAAATTTTAATTTAATTCATTATTTTGTAATTGGATATTTTCAATGGACTTCTTTTGGTAAAAAACACAAAAAAAAAAACAATTTAGATTTTTTTTTCTGTAATAAAAGATATTTTTTTAATTAAAATAATGTTAAGAAATGATTGCTTCTTTTTTTAAAATGTGTATGTTTTCGAAAAAAAAATCAATTTTCCCAAAAAAGACTGGGAAAAAACCGACCCTTTTAAACCCAAAAAAGTAATATAATTAAAACTTACCGTCTCGGGCTCTCCTCTGTTTCTCTCTCGCGCTGGTTGTGCTGCCCCTCCTCGTCGCTCTCCGACCTCCTCCTCCTAAAAGTCTTGAACTTGACCTGGTTCCGCTGCCTGTCCAGGATCCTGTTGAACTCCTCCTGCTCGCGCCTCTTCTTCTCCCTCTCCCCCTCCTCGGCTCTGTCCTTCGCCTCGCGCTTCTTCCTCTCCACCTCCTCCAGCTCCATCCTCTCCTTTTCCGCGCGCTTCCGCTCCAGCTCCGCCTGCCTGGCCTTCTCCACGTCCTGCTTCACCTTCATGCGGTCCTTCAAACTCACCAGCAGGTCCACGTCTTTCTTTTGCGGCTCCGACACCGTCATCCACTGGCTGATCAGCTTGTCCTCAGGCTGCCGATGCTGCGACTTCTCCTTCTCCCGCAAATCCTTCTCCTTCATCTTGTGCTCCTCCACCAAGCGCTCCAGCACGCTCCACTTCCCCGACAGATCCTCGTCCATTATGCTCTGAGCTTTCACGTTCCTCATCGCCACTCTGATACTTCGCGACTTGTCGCGATCCTCCTCGGAGCTCGAGTCGGACGAACTCGACGACGAGCTGGAATCGCTCGAATCTTTGCGCCGCTTCTTCGATTTCTTCTTCTTCTTTTTCTCGTCGATCTTCTTCTCTTTCCGCAGCTTCTTCTTCTTCTTCTTCTTGTCGTCGTCGCTGGAGTCCGCCAGGCCCACCCTGCTCTTCGCCTTGTCCCTGTCCTTCAGCCAGTCGACCTCCCACTGCGGATTCTGCACGTTGAAATTCTCGAAGTTTTGATAATGAGCTTGGCTCTTCAAGTGGTGCGACGCGCAGTGCAGATCCCCGATCCAAACGTCGCACAGCTTGCAGTACCACGAGGGCGCGGAGATGAAAAACTGCAGGCCCTTGATGGGCAGGCGTTTTTTCGGGGCGTCCTCGTGCGAGGGCAGGAGCGGTTCGGGGGGCAACTTGTGCCAAGGGGTCGCGTCGGGGGCGTCGGCGCGCTTAACGTTCTCCAAGTGCTTGGGCGTTTGCAGGTGGACCAAAAAGTCTTTCGCGGTTTCCGGGAACTCGTCGCAGACGCGGCACCAATGCAATCCGGTGTCGTAGTGCACAAAACAGTATCTATAATGCAAATATTGCATTAATTTTCATTATACGCTAAAGAAGTATCAACAACATTTAAAGCATTTAAATAAATAGGATTTTTTTTCACAAAAGAAAGGCAGAAGTCTTACTCGACAAATTTTGTTCAATTGCACAGCTAAATCGCGCACGTTATTGTGTTTTACGTTGCAAGGAAAAAACTAAAAAACTGGTTTAGTACTCGATTTCGATTGATTATTCCTTACATCATTGATTAAGAAACTCAACGCTTAAATGCTTATATAGTTACGTTAGTGTGTGTATTTTATCTAAGGGATCATGGCGAATTATTGTGTTTTTAATTGTAAATAAAATTCAAGAACTAAATCGTTGCATTTTCATGTTTTTCCAAAGGATCCAATTCGGTAAGTACATTTGTTGGTGCAGAATTAACTAATGATAACTTTACCTAATATAATTTATATTTAAGTTTGTACTATGCTCCACACCTCAAAGTCCCACCACGTGACCACGTACGGAACGCAGTCTTTTGAAAATTTGGCATTTAAGGCTTTTCAGGTTATGTATCTGTCAAAGTATAGTCAACGAAAGAAATAATATTAGGTTTAGGCGTTAAAAATATATAAATCTTTATAACATTACAATAAAAATGGATGGTTTAAGAATTTAAGAATATAAATACTGCATTTAATGAAATTCTTAAGTGTATGGTGCCAAATAAGTAATATTTTTGTGCATTTGGTCCAAATATCTGGTTTTCTCCATAAAATAATTTTAACTAAACAGCATTTATTAAAAAAAATCTAGCTTCTCTATTATGGAATAAGAATATGTGTTTTAAAGATAGGTTAATATATTATAACAAAAATATCATCTAATTTAGTAATTTTAAGGTTAGAAAAATTTATTTTGACCAAAATAAATAAGTATCTTGGATTATTTAAAAGACTGTATTAAATGGTATTTAAAAATGTGGTAGTTTTTCTTATCCAGCTTAAAGTGTACCTACATAAAGTTTTGTCAATACAAATAGTTAAAAAGCTTCGACTTAACTTGATCTACATCGAAAAATCATTATAACTTTAAAAATTTAAATAAATCACATGTCATGGGAGTATTAAATATTTTCACATTGCAAGTTTCTCTAAAAATTGTTTGTTTTCTTATAATCTAACTTAAAGTAGGTATACCGAGAGGTATGCACAAGTTTAAAAGCTTCAATTTAATTTGAACCATATTCAACAATTATTTAGTATACCTATATTTATTTATGACCTTATTAACATACTCTTCTAAATAATCCACTTATTTATTTTGGTCAAAAAAGATTTTTCTAACCTTAAAATACAAAATTAGATAATATTTTTTGTTCTAATACAGATATTCTTATTTCATAATAGAGAAGTTAGATTTTTTTTAATAAATGCTGTTTAGTTAAAACTATTTTATGGAGAAATGTAGACCCAATGCACAAAAATATCACTTATATTGCACCTTACACTTTGGAATTTCATTAAATGCAGTATTTATATTCTTAAATTCTTAAACCATCCATTTTTATTGTAATGTTATAAAGATTTATATATTTTTAACGCCTAAACATAATATTATTTCTTTCGTTGACTATACTTTGACAGATACATAACCTGAAAAGCCTTAAATGTCAAATTTTCAAAAGACTGCGTTCCGTACGTGGTCACGTGGTGGGACTTAGGTGTGGAGCATAGTACATTTTTAAGAAATTAGTAAAAAATAATTCTTGCACAAACATAACCATTTTTATATTTGAGTTCTCTAAAAAACGCCGAAAACAACAAAATATACCTACGAATTCATGGCAACATAATATTATATATAATACATAATATGATGGTATTTTAACGTTGAGTAAAGAATTCTTAATCAACGCTTTTAATAATGCTAAATGCTGTTTAAATTTAGACGACTTATTTGTTTGACGATTATTACTGAATTGAAATGTTTACACTTTTCACGTTAATCATTACTAAAATGTGTATTTATTGTATCTAATAGGTAGATACAATTTAAATTTACAGGGACTGTATGAAATTTATTTCTTCATTCGGATTAACACTGTTTATTGGAAAACCGGTAAAAACTCAACCCAGGATTTCCTCTTGAAATACACCCAACAACACAACAAATCGCGCCACGGTTTTTTTTTCGATATTTTTAACATTTACCGGCTTTATTCTCAAAAACTCCCGTTTGTAACACAAGCGTTTGACAGCTGATTATTAAAAGTTGTACTTTTGTTACGATGATAACAGCCGAGTGGTGGCGCTACTAGCGATACTTCTTTAGCGTATACATTGCTTCTTAGAGAATCTTTTTAATGAAAATTAAGATAAATACTCATTACATCTTTTACATTACTCATTTTTTTTAATGAGAAATGTATGATTATCGAATTATTCACTTTTGGTGAGCAAGGAAGATATTTTTATTGCATGACACATTTTTTGTTTTAAATTGGTTTTTTACCAGTGATGATTGGTGATTAATTTATTCAAACTACACTAAAACTTATGATTGCATTATTTTTTCCATTAACATTTTTGCTTTAAAGTAACAATTTAATCTTACAAAAAAACTGTTCTTAGGTACCTGCTTTGGCTGTTGATATCGACTCTATCTCTGGAATCCCTACCATCTCTACTTTCTCTAACCGAATCATTCGGACTACCCCTAGAATTTTTTGGAGAATCTTCACGCAGCTGCGACTCCAGTTCGGCAATATTTTTACCGTCCTTGATAATACTGGAAAGCATTTCGATGACGTTTACTATTGCCTTCAGTTTACCTTGGATTTCATCCTAAATAACATAAAAACGACTTGTCACCAAAAAGAGTTAAGAGTTGGGAAGATACAACTTGCTAACCAATGCATTATGGCACGTTGTTTCACTTTTTAATCGAATGGAAGACTAAAAATAATTTATAATAACCTTTATCCTACTAAAAAGTACGCCACTGATCTACTAGGAACTTTAGGCTAATCTGGTTGCCTAATTTAATTTATTATGTTATGGTTGGTAACAACCAGCGTTTCTAGATTCTGTCAAAAAGTAGCCAGATTTTGTTTAAATTTAGCTTAATTACAAAAATGACAAGATCAACAATGCAAATTGTTAATTTGGCGTTTTTATTATGACAGAATCTATTGCAAATATCTTAACTAAGGGAAGTGCTTTTGGATTTATTTACCCAAATTGAATGTTTAAAGTTTAACCTGTGAACTTGTCCTAATTTCATCTGAGTAAACCAAAAGAAAAAAAAACGATTAAAAAATTAATTTTGTGGTTGGTATCTATGTAAAGTTCTTTTTTTATCTGGACTGCGGCAACGTTGCAAATTTAGGGTTTTGGTTGGTAAATACAGTTGTCAAGTTGGTCGCATTGATTAAAACAAACTAAGCTAGTTTTAAATCTAATTGTGGTTATGTATAAATTATTGTAGGTTACATTGTGCAGTTGTCAAGTTGAATTGTCGAAATTCGTAGTTAAAAATGCAATTAATTTGGCTTTGGTGGTGCTTGGATGAGTAACATCATATAAAAAAAGTAGTTAAGTATAGGTTGCTTTACGGCCCAGAAGAGAAAGTATTCCTAGCGGATAATAATCTTCGATTTGAAAAGAATTTATATAAAAGACATTTTTTGTGAACGTAAATGTTGTCCAATGGTAAATAATGTGTGATGTAATATTTATAAAAACCAAATTCGTTACTTTTTTACTCCAAAAATGTCCATAAGTCGATGCACTTTTTCTTCCATTATGGCATTTGGCATAATTTCATCAAAATGAAGTTTTGCCCTCAAAAGGGCTTTTACATTCGAATTCGTTGCTATTATTTTTGGCATAATTATCTTTTTATTTATAATTGACAAGTAAATTATCAATAATAAATATTATTGTCAATTTGACAGTGTCAAAGTATTTAATTAAATTCTTTAGCAGAAGTACCATTTTTAAATACTAAAAATACTAAGTTAAACTGGCATAAGCCACCAACCTAAACACGAGTCCAGATAAAAAAAATGAACTGTATTCAGTACTTTAATATATTTTATTAATTACACAACACCCTGTATATATTATATAAAAAGCGATGTGTACGCTTCAAACATAGAAAACCCCGAAGAACAAGACCCGATTTTCTCTGCATATTGGCGGCAAAGTTGACGTAGATAAATTACGCATAAATACCTACTATGCATTTGAACTACTTCAGTTGCCACTTCCTGCCGCATTCCCAAAGCGCCAAATTAATGTTATGTGTACAGATAAAATTAATTCTATAGTTTTTATTAAGTAAAGTCATAATTTATATTGTAACATTGCATTAATTTAATGTGTACAATTAATTGTAAAATTGTTGTTATAAATTTCAGAGTATTCGCTATTTTTCCCATCTGTTTCCATTTAATTTGAATTAAATTTATTTATGCTTGACATAACTTTATTTAATTACTATTATGTTAGACATAATTAAAATTATAAAAAATTATATATTCCATAATTTTAAAAAACCTACTTCACTTTTCTTTTACATTTAAAACATCAACGATTAAAAAGTGAAATGGCGTGCCACAACTTTACAGTCTAAGGTCGATTTGCGTCATTTTTACCTGTAACTTGTCGTTTTCCCTTAAAATCATATCGAGATCTCGGTCCCTAGAGCCATCGGACAACAAATCTTGCTTCTGGTCGCGCAGCAACTCTAGTTCTCTCTTCAATACCGAAGCCTTTTTCACGTACTCTTCCCTTTGCGTCATCAGCTGCGCTTTTTGCTGCTGCATTTCCTGGGCGACGGCTACGAGAAAAAGAAAGTCAGGCGAAAAATTCAATAAGTTGCGATTTTATTTTTCTTTTGCTATTCATATAGGTCATTACCAATTTATTTTGGACTCCTTGCTGACAATATCATTATCTCGTTTTTTTTTAAACACTCACCACTTATGTTTTAAGTCGGCGACAATTTGTGGCCGACTTTTTATAGATGGAAATTGGGGAAAATTTGACAAACACGTATTTTTTATGACCATTTTTACATTTGGTTATACAAATAGTCAGTCAAAATACAAATAATTTACCACATTCACCTCTTTAAAAACTATATAATATTAACTGATTTTGTATATTTTTTAGGGTTTTAAAGTATGTATTATTTAATTTAAAACAATTCGTTTAGATTAGTTTTTAATGATATTTTAGATTGTAATTATTAGTAATTTGACATTGACACCTGTTATTTATTTATTAAACTTTTCAAATGGATATACTACCTTACCCAATCAGGGCACGGGATTTTCCACCGCACACTACATTCAGACAAATAATGCAGTGTTTTAATTGGTTAATCACGTGGCGAAACTTTTACGAAACATTATCCTGTTTAACCGTATTTTAAATGAATCCACGCCTTGAAAGAGTAGGGATATTTTGAAGCGCCAACGAGATACGATATTAAAAAAAAATATTCCAGAATTCCAAAATTCTGGTTGTAAATTATAAAATACATACATTAAAACAATTGTTGTTTATTAGAACGTGAATATGGTATATTTTTACGCGGTTTACAAAAATTTACGGAAAAATTACTAAAGCTAAATTTGACACAATTTTAAAAGAATCTTAACCTATTTTTTTAGCGTAAATTTGGGTGCAGTTTACTTCCATCGACTTGCCGTGTTACATATGTTAAACCTAAAAGTAAATGTCGATAAAAAATGTCCACATTTTACTCAAACACCCTATTTATAATTTTAGCAATAATATAAGATTATTTTATTTTTGTACCTACCTACAGTTTTTTAATAGAATACAATACAGTGTGTTATGTAATTAATGTAATATATTGGGTCCATAAAGAAGCACCTGAAACTTTTTTTTTCTAAATTCTAAAGACTAAAAATAATTTATAACCTTTATTTTACGAAAAAGTACGCCACTGATCGACTAGGAACTTTAGGCTAATCTGGTTGCCTAATTTAATTTATTATGTTTTGGTTGGTAACAAACAGCGTTTCCAGATTCTGTCAAAAAAGTTGCCAGATTTCGTTTAAATTTAGCTTAATTACAAAATCAACAATGCAAATTGTAAATTTGGCGTTTTTATTAATTGTTTATGTAATTTTTGTAATGAAGGTAAATTCAAACAAAATCTGGCAACTTTTATGACAGAATCTAGTGCATTTATTTCAAATTTTAGGTTATGTGAAAACTGAAAAGTTTTTAAAATAGGTACTAAATTTTCTAATCATTGCTTAAGCTAATAGCTGGATGAGTTAATCTAATGCATATTTTTTTTTAACTTTGGGAAAATATTTTTTAAATATTTTTCTGTTACACCTTATGTCAAAAGGTATTCAGTATTTTAATATATTACATTAATTACATTACACCCTGTATATAGGACGATATAGTTACATTATTTATTTTGTTTAATTTATCATCCTATATATTTAAAAAATCCCAATTCAAAAAAAATAATGATGTAATTTGTTTTAAACCTACCATCTTGTTTGCTGTCATCATTGGACCCAGTAGGCTGTTGATAATTGGTGCTAGGTCCCCAATTGTTTGGGTAACCATCGCCAGGGGGCCCAGGTTCCGATTGACTAGTCTAGGAAAAGACGAAAATAAAATACCCAACATTATTTTTACGAAATTTTCGACTTACTGTCCCATACATCCAAAGTAGTAAATTTTTACATTTTATACCTTATTAAGTATTTATTTTATTATATTTAAAAACCTTACTGATGGATTTTTGTGTAAGTTCTGTAACATCACGCTTTTAGAATAAGGTTCTTAATACACACAGAAAAAACATAACCTAACACTGATTTTTTTTAAATCACTTACCGGATACGAATTATATGATTGGTGATAACCGTAACTCCCCCCTCCATAGTTTTGATATCCTGGGGGAGGATAGGAACTATTATAGTTTGGATCATTATAACCACTTCCCTGTAAAAAATATTCTTTTATTTCTTAAAAATATCTCTCAAACATTAAATGCAATTAAAATTCTGGGGTGGTTCTTGAAATTTGCGACTTACTAAACCAATCAGAGCCCAGCATTTGACATCACATCTAGTGTGCTGTGGAGAATGCTGCACTTTAATTGGTTTATTGCATTCTATCAAAAAAAATCATTTTTCTATAAAAAATAATGTCGCCAACTACGTAACGTAATATTTAGAAAATCTAGGTTACATTTAAAACAATACAAAATAAATTGGTTGAATTTAATGACTTGAAATAACCTTGAACAATATTTAAATTATCTGATAAAAAACATAAAATAAAACAGAGAAACAGTGATAACTTACGTTATTATACATGCTTAAATTATGTATAACTTTTGTGCCAGTTTTGTGAAGCCAATTTTTTGCTATAAACTCCTTATTAACGTAAATGTCTCGTGGAACATCAGTGCCAATTTCCAAATGGTCCACTCTAAAATAACCATGAGCCATTTTATAAAAAAAACCATATAAACTAACAAATCTAAAATAATATTAGTATTTTTTATGTTAATTGCTTTAATATCATTACAACCGACGCTAGGGTGCTCCTAAATTATTCACTGACATTTATTGTGCAAAAAACTGTTTTAACACAATTATTATGTTGTAATTTTGTAGTTTCTTGTGTATTAATGTAAAATTATGCCCTAAAACTCACCAATTATATATATTTTCCGAAAAATAAACGCTTACAACATGTTTTCTTTTTTTGATGCCATAACTCACTGCTGCCAACTGTATATTTTTTTTGTAATTTTGGTAGTGTACTTAGTTAGCGGGAATTTAAATAACAAGCGTTTTAAATAAAATAAAAACATTTATTGCATTAAATTGGTAATACCGCGGATACTTAACATCCTTTATAAATAAAACATAATGTGTAGATTAACAATCTGTTGCATAGAAACGATAAAAAAATATGAAAGTCTCACGTTTTCCAAACATAAATCGCATTTTATAGCCGCAGATGTTGTAATACTGAATAACCGTTTTTTATATTTGACTAGAAATATAAATTAATGACTTTCTTCGTGCTGATATTGCTGAGCTGCAGCTTCGGCGAGCTGTTGTTGAATTTGGGCGTGGTCTTCACCCTGGTAACCTTGGTGATGGTCGTCGCTTTGTTGGTAACCTTGGTGATCGGCGGCCTCCTCGGGCTGGTATTGGACGTACTCATGGTGACCTTGATCGGGGACCTCGTACTGTACTTGACCCTGGGAAGCTGAGCAAAAAGACTTTTTAGAAACGTCATTCGGTTTTTAGGGGTTGAAGTTAGCGACAGGTTGTCAAAGAATGCTAGATTTTAAATGGTTATGAGTTTTTGAGTTTTTTAATTTACCTGCTAAATGTTCATACCCGGTGTGGTGTACAGGGTGTTCATTTTGGCTTTGTACATTGGCAACAGCGTAGCCGTGGTCGTGCTTGTCTCCGTGATGGATTTGAAGCTTGCTGGTGGTTTTGCCTTTAGCTACAGGGTGATGTAAGTATTGTTGGTCTTCATTTTTGATGTATGTGGGAACTGCGTGATTGTGTACCATTTCGACATTTTGATAACTCGTTGCTTTTTCGCTGTGGTGTATCAAGCCTGCACAGGCAAGTCCCAAAAAGGCCACAAAAACAATCTAAAAAAACATATAGGTAAGAGAAATGTTGTTATATTAAATGATGAAAATTAAAAAGAAAGTGCTTCCGCATTAAGATTACGTTTCACTATACATCGTAATAAATATAGAGTTGAATTAATTAATTAAGATTACTCACTAATAATTTCATTTTTTCTTTAATAATACGTTCGATAACAAACGTTTTTTAATACTGAATTTGGTTTGATTTTGTTGTTTTATATATGGAGAGCAATTTCTTGAAGAAGTAGAAGTAGAAATTTAACTGAAGAAGCAATTAAACACCTATTCAGTGGCGTAACGCAAAAGATTTCTCTAAAATGAAATGTTTTATTATTACATTAACAAATTACCTACAAGATGTCTCAAAGATTTTTTGTGGTAATTTTAATGATTTTATGTATTTATACAGTAAGAGATAAAAGGGCATTTATTAATTTTGTTTTCTAGCGATAGTGATCGTGATTGGATAACAAATAGTAGCTGCATTAAGGTTTTACTGACGCTTTAAATTGCAATAAACAAAATTATTCTCTATGCTTGGCGATTTTAAACTAAGGAAATGTAGTTTTCCTTTTTAGCTGGGACAATATATTGTATACAATAATAATGCGACGTTTAATTTATGATTTTACTTTTACATTTTAATTAATATCTGGGTATAGTTGCTAATTTCTATTTTAAAATTCTGGGACAGCAATGTTTTCAACCATACAAATTTTAATTACTGATTGACCAAATTTAGTATTGATACTTAATAGAATTTTTGAACGCGATATTTGCAACATCAACTATAGATATTTTTTTGAAAAGTTGACCTGCATTTCATGGTTTTAATTATGTTTTAATATGATTGTAATTTAAATCTGGTTAGTTATTTGATGGTTGATTAGCAATAATAAAATGTTATGGTTTATACCTACTTCCTATGTTGCTAATATACCTAATTAATATAAATTACCAGACAGACATGGACTATCTTTGTAATTACGTAATTAAATTTACTATAAAAATAAAATTTTACAAAAAAGTACCTATACAAAAATAAATATTATTTTTGATATACAGGGTGTTTTTTTATTTGAAGAGTTACAATTGTAACTCTTCAACCTTAAGGTTGGTTAAATTAGAGGAAAGTTAAATTAATTATTAAATCGAAAAAAAAATCTGCGGTTTTCAAATATTTTGAAAAAAACTGAAAACTTCGTTATTATATTATATAATAGATGGCGCTTCTGTATACGAATCTCCAATAATTTTTGAATAAAATACCTACTTGGTTTTATTTTTAATTAATTGACAAAATAATGTGTTTTTACCTTAAATGAGGTATTTTTATTAAAAATAGTACAATAATCCTTTAAATTGAAGGATTTAATGCTGGCAGGTAAAAAGTGACCATGGTGCGCAATTGATAATTATCACCGAATGAAATAATGTATAAAACTTAAACCAAAGGAAACATAAATATTAGTTAAAAAATCGTGGGTACTTAAAAAAATCAGATGTAATTTAATAAGATAATTTTTTCCAAAAAAGTGATATTTTTATAGAAAAATTATTGCAGAATCGTATAAGAAGAAAAATCGAACAAAATTGATTTTTTAATTACAGCGCCATCTATTACAAATATGAAAAAATGTTTTGGACAAAATCTACCTATTTTTTGTCGAATGATATTTTCGATATTTTAGGTGTTGTTTAAATTTTATCCATTTGGTCTTTCATTTTTTATAGTTTTATAAAAAATACCAAATTTTAGTTTTTTACAACAATTTTTTATTTGTTTATTTTTTATTTGTCAACAATGTAACACAAACATTAATCCAGCATAACACTTAGTTATAGGCTTGATTTAAAAAAATTTTAATCTAGAGAAAGACTTTCTATTAACGTCTTATAAGGAATATTTTATGCGTTTGTTAAGATTTCATATTACGAAATAATTATTATTTTAATCTTTAAAAGCCAATAAATTAAATAACTTAGTTACTTAAATAAAATTATACGTTTTTGACTATTTTAGATTTTTGTAATTGTATTAAAATTTAATATTTTTTTAATATTGCACAATTTAACAACTTGTTTAAATAATAAAAAAAAATGTGACATTTGCAATAGTTGCACCTGGGATTACAGATAACACAAGATCGTATATTTTAAGTATTTTTATTTAAAATTAAATAACAAACTCAACAAAAATGAGGCGATAACAACAAAAAATGACTAATGAAAGATGATAGATCTCAAGTCTTTTCAGTAATGTTTACTGTGATGGTAGATGGTCTTGTAGACCGGTACTTTTACCGGCACTGGCCTTGGAATGTGAATGGGTACGTGCTTCTCAACCGGAACCGGTACGGGTTTCTCCACGTGGTAGGGAATCTCCTTCTCGACCTTGTAAGGTACCGGTTTCTCCACGGGAATGGTGATGGTCTTGATTACGGGCACAGCAACGGGTTGTGGGACGTGGATGTGTACCGGATAAGGCTGCGGTACCGGGATGGCAACCGGTTTCGGTAGTGGAACCGGTACGGCGTGCGGAATCGGTACGCTAACGTGTTTGTAAACCGGAATAGCAACCGGTTTAGTGATTTCTACCGTGTGAGAGACGTCGTGATGACCTTCGTCGTGTCCTTCATGACCTCCGTAACTGTAACCTGCTTTGGCGGTCGCAAGCGCGCACAAGGCGACAAAGAGCTGAAAAATGAGCGTGTTTAATGCACTAGTGTGGAAAGTTATAATTTACAACATGCTTAATTTAAAAAGTAAAAAAAGTAGTAAAATTCACTAAATACTTACAATAGACTTCATTGTACACCACTTAGGCTAGTGTACCAATGTAGAGGAATGGAAAAAAGGTGTAAAAGTTTCAAACGATGAACTGATGAATTTCATCCGAGCGATTTTAGTTTATATACTGATCATTTTGCCCCGGACTTTCACTATTCTCTTCTAAATTGTTTCTTCCTTCCCTTCCACTTTTTTCGGAACTTGTTTGTTGTTATTTGAAATAAAGGAGAGGCGCTTCCGATTTGATTTTATTTGTTACGTAATTATTAGTTTCTTATACATAAGTTTACGTTGTATACGCGTGAATATGCATAAAGGATTGTTAAACATTTTTGGTTAATAAAGTTAATAGCCCAATAAACAATTTGTACTTATGGTAACGATAAATTATATAAAGGTTATATAAGGTTTGTCAAATTATAACAAGGTTTTATTTATTTAATATATATATTTATATATAATTGTCATATAAGGTTACTGTAAACTCTAGGTATATAATTAGGTTATATAATTGTTTCTACAAACATTTATAACCGTTATAAAAGAGTTTTATATTTTTTTTTTAATAAAAATTGTAAGTTAATAATTATTTATATATATAATAAACCAAAAATGTTTAGTAATTGAAACAGAAATTAAGCGCTTAGATGATTGCCTATAAAAGGTTTTATAACATCACTTGTAGTAACGACCGTTACTACAATGAATATAAGAATTTCAAAATTATATAATAACACTTTAAGTAACTTAGATAGTCCTATAAAACTGAACTAGTACCTTAGATTATATAAAATTACCATGAGCAATATAAGGGGGCTCAAGGTTGATACATTCTTTCCGTCATGATTGTTTTTTAGATAAAATAAATGTTAATCGAATTGTATTACAAAAACAACTTAATTGACCAAACCAAGCTAAAAAAATCACTACTTTAATGTAAGCAAAAGAAAGATATGAATGTATTAAAAAAATATTTTCATATATTTTTTAATAGTATAAAAATATATATTTTAAATGTGCCTGAGGGACAGAGAAATATCAAAAAGTTCTTTAGGAAGTTTTATAGTGGTTTCCATAATATTCCTGTTATCTCTAGTTATAAAACTTGGGTTTTATAGTGTTACTAAAATATGTATCGATAACCTTCATAAACTTCCCAAATAAGCTCTTTAAGGGATATATAAATTAAGAAATTTAGGTTTTATAATTCGGATGATATAACATTTATGGAAACCACTATAAAAACAAATATGTTTATTGGGAGGTAAATGATTTTATAATTGTACCATTTATTTACCGCTACCTTAGAGTATACAAAACATGGTTAACCATAAGACATTTACAACAAATTTTAACTATGCCCTGTGCATAAATGACGGATTTCTTATTGAGAAATATTTCTATAATTTAAATTATTTTTTTAAAATTTGCTACCAGGTTTTAAAATTTCCGGATAAATTAAGTCTACGGAAAAAACGGAAAAATTGGAAATTTTTTGGAAAAAGTGACTTTTGCATTTTTTTTCATTTTATTTAAAGGGTAAAACGAAAAAATGCAAAAGTCAATTTTTATTATGAATATAATAATTATTTCATTTATTTTATTTAATTCAGTATAAGAATATTCTATCAGGTCGCAAAAAACATATTCGGTGCTGTATTAACATAACTTTCGTTTTATTTGACACTTTGATTTAAAAAATAATAATTTTTTAATTTAACTTTATAAATCATTAATTATTTTGTAATTTGATATTTTTAATGGACTCCTTTATGCAAAAAAGACCCAATGTTCAATGTTTAGTTTTTTTTCTGTAAGGATATTTTGTTTAAATTAAAATAATGTTAAGTTGTTGATTGACACTTTTTTTAAATGTGTATTTTTCCAAGGCCTGGGGAAAAATCGTTTTTTTTTCAATATTTCCGTTTTTTTTTCGGCATTTTAAAACCCTAACAAGGTAGTAAAGTAAAATTTGTGAGCTCATAAATTATAATTATAAGAGTTAATATTTTTTAATAATTTATAGCACTATATAAACTGCTATTCAAAATCCAGTTTGAAAGTTAAATTAGTTCTACTTTACAGTAATATATAAAAAATGCATTAATAATATGTATATTAGAATGGTAAAAGTGTGACAGTTTTATCCAATTTTGCGAACTAAAGATTTTTTGCTATTGAAGATAATTAACATCAGAAAGTTAAGAAAGAGAAAATAATACAAATTAAGGAATAATAAATTTTGTAATGTCAATATTAATTAATTTATTTTTCCGCCCATTATCGTACATATTTTTATGTTTTAAATTATTTAATTTAAATCTCGATTCAAATCAAGTGATTTTTTTATTTTAATCAATGAATTAAATCAGTTTTAAAAAATATATTATTGTGCTTTAGTTTTGGATCTTTTATTAAGGTGTTTTTTTAGATTTAAAAATCTTTTTTAAAACTGATTTAATTCATTGATTAAAATATATATCTTAACACAAATTCATATGCATGTTTATTAAATATTAAATAAAATTATAAAGTAATATACAAAAAATATATGACAGTTGCGGACGGTGGTTTATTTGTTTATAAAGTATACTTTATATAATATAGTCCCAATATAATATTATTATAGTCAAGTTATTTTCTTATATTCTTTTTCTATGGTTATTTTTAGTATTTTTTTTATTTTATTAAATTATGTCAAATATTATATCAAATAAAAAAGAAAACATTAGAAATCAATTATATCATTAAATGTGTAATGCTCTAAATTACAAATCCAATCATAGACATTACCTACATTAAAACAAATTAAAATAATTTATATTTTTAATATTTTTTGGTAAATTGTTGAATGTTTGAAAGTCTATGATGTGAATAGTACACAGTAAAAAATAAAAAATTTATGTATATTTAACATAATTCTTGTGTCCCAGAAAGTCCACTCAATTTTTTTAGTTTTTTTGATTTTTATTACTTATGTTAATTTTTAACACAACAGAATGTGTAAAAGAAAATTAATATATGTTATTTTTTTTAATGGTTATCGTGTTGTTCAATTTTATTTTTTTTTAATGGTTATTTTAACCTAAACTAATAATTAATATAATTTAAAATCTGTATAATACAAAAAAGTGTTACTTTAACATAAAACTATATATTGATTTTACACAAATAGTATGTCTTCATTTAATTATTTTAATTTGTTATTTTAACAATATTTTTTAATTAATTTTTACATTAATAATTGTTTATTTTTATTTATTTTAATAAAATATTTAAATTAATATAAAATATGGGTTTTTGAACAAAAAATAAAACATGTAAGTTCAACATAATTTAAAAAAAAGGCCAGTAATGAAGCATTGGAATTCACAAAAATCAAAATCATCATTTATAAAACGTTAGTAACATTTTTGGTAGTTTTATGAAGATTTTGTTTTTTACACATAATTTGGGTGTGTCAATTCACTACTACCTAGTTTAAATCATGTCATCAAAGAAATACTAAATACCGAAAATAATTGAAAGGAAACATTCGAATGTCGATGACGCGCTCGTTATTCGAAAGGTCTTCATTATCGCTCTGTGATCGCGACCAACAAGAAACAACTGACCATCGGCCGTCACGACGGAATAAAATCGTATTTCGAGACGAGCTACTACGATAAAACGGGAAAGATCGCAGCAAGCTGCCCATACGACAATCTACTTTTACTCAAGCTCGCCTATCGCGCTTCAATTATTTCACTTTCACTGATATCAATTATGACAATCATATCTATAAGTTGGCGGGAAAGTAGAAGGGTTGTTAATTTAGCCAAACGAAATCCAGATTTAGTTGTTTTTTTAATCGTGCAAATCAAAAAATGGGTAGTTTTACATTTTTAAAAACATTCATGATTTGAATCCACAATAAAACTTTAATTTTCGCAATATTATTAAGAAATTTCTTATAAAACGTTAAAGATTTTTTGTGCTTAAGAAAACATTTAAAAATGGTCTAATGCTTCGATTTTCAGTCTTTAAGTCGATAAGAAACACCCTGTATATAAAATTGACCATTTAAAACCAATAGTTGGATATGGAAAAACATCCGCTAATTATCTTTATTTTTTTTTAAATAATTTGGGGCACAATTAATTTAAATTAATAAAATATAATCTTGTGACCTTTTAAATACACATTGACAAGTTGTGGCTTTATGGCGCTTTAGTCACGGGCTGAAGTTAGTTTTAAGTTAGTTGACAGTTGTCAAATGTCATACAATCGTTAAAATGAATTGCCTTTCTTGTAAAATAACACTAAATGTGAAAATTATTTGATTATCTCAATACAAAAGTATTAAATAGTTTCACAACGCCAATATTTGAAAAGTTTATATGAACATTGTACTGACCTTTTAATTTTGCCGGCAGTAAACTATAACTTAAATTCAGGCACGGACTCCACTGTAAATTGCTCATAGTACATTTTCTTTACTTTCACTGTGAAAAACTGTCAATTTTCAAGAAATACATTTCTTGATTTTTTTTTATTATCTCAATAGAAAAACTGGTGTTAGTCCATTTTCAAGGGATACATTTCGATTTACAGTAATGCAGATTCCCAAGACGGTTACTCTATTGTTTTATAGATGTCGCTCTATACAAATATTTAGATTAACTTATTTAAAAAAATGTATAGTATACAACTTGTTTATAAACCTTTTTAGACACTTATTTAATTAAAAACTCGCTTTCCTCGTGCCTAATTTAAATTCGTGACTAAAATCGCGTTGATACAAACTATTAAAAAATAATAATAAAATTAATCAGAACGTAATGTTTATTTCACTCATTAAAATATTTAGAGAAATCAAAAATATAAAAATTTGTATTTCAATTTAAATATAAATAAATTTGGATAATTACATAAGTTATTTTTAAAATCAACTAATTCCTGATTTTTTGAATATTACTTTTTTATTGGATAATATTTAAATAGAAACCTTATTTACATATATTATAATCTGTACAAAAAATATTTTAAAATTTAATAAATTTTTATTTTTTAAAAAGTAAACCTGCTTATTTAAGCCAGGATATTTTCATTAATTTTTAAGCATAGCTTTTAAAAATACAACAAAATATTTTGACAACATTTTTTTTATTTTTTATTTTCTCACCCAGTCACTTTGTATTGTTGCGTCAGCCTATTTTGCATTTTACTTTATCGGGTATTTTTAATTTAAAATATCATTTTCAGAATACATTATTTAATTGTGGTTAAAATTTAAAACATTAAAATAAAAAAAAAATTGCGCTGAGATACCCTGTATAAATAGGTAAATAAAACCACCGTAAAATATGTATAATATTTTATTAAGTATGTTACACAAAATATATAAACAAAAAATAATACAAAGTAGTCTAAACAAATAGGCACTAGAAAAATAACAACAATTAAAAAGTAATACATATACAACATTAAACATAATACATACATATATCACAATTAAATCGGCACAATACTCTCTTGGTAAAAAAACAAGAAAAAACAGACATTAACAATACACAATTAAAAATAATAAAAAATGTATATGAGGTTATAAATATTAATTAAGTTTTATAATATTTGCAAAAATCCCTTAAATATAGTTCAAATTTAAAGTTATGTGACTTGAGCAGGTTTTCCTTTGATCAGCGTTGGCCTGAAACAAAATAATACAATTTTTTTTAAATTATATTCTTTTATTAATTAAGTTACTTACATTTCACCAAAAGTGATACTTTTTTGAGCACTTAGAGTCTTGTGCACCGAACTCACAACGCTCTGGTTTCCATTGACTGTATTTTTCAGAATACCATTTGGGCTCTCGACTTTTCTTTCGTTGTTGTTGGCGTTTATATTTATTGTAACTCTATTGTGATTCGAAACAGATTTCGATAAATTTATTTTTTCGTAATCGTTATTGTTGAACAAGTCGTTGGTCGATTTTGCTAGATTTTTCGTCAGAGAAATCCTGACTGAACCGTTTTGTTGCGGTGAGATTTGCTCCTTTGCCATCAACAGGTTTTCCTAGGGGAAAAATAAACAATTGTTTTGTTAACACATTTCAAAATTTTCTTACCACTGATTCGGTTCGTTTTTTCAAGTTGGATCTTTTGAGGGTTTCGGCCAGTTCGGAGGAAAACTGGGCGGAAACTGGTCGTTTGGAAAATTTCCCACCATTCGAGTCGACTTCGTCAGAGCCGAGAAAATCCAATTTTCCGACGTGGTTTCGGCGCATCGTAGGGTATTCCCCTATGGTGACGCTGACCGGTCTGGACCTTCGTAGAGTGCCTACAAAGAAAATAAAATGTCAAAAAGTTGAGAAAAATCATTTATGGGGAAAGCGGTGGAAACATTCAATAAAATAATATCAAAGTTAAAAATATAATTCATGACAATCAATGATATAAAAAGAAGATCGACTTATAAATGTGGTTTTTAAAAAAGCCGTGGGAAAAATTCGCACAGTGACATAAAATTAAAAAATGGTAGGACAAATTCGCACAGTAGGATAAATTTAAAAAATGTTGGGACAAATTCGCACCGTGGCATAAATTTAAAAAAATTTTAGGACAAATTTGCACCGAGGGGTAAATTTAAAAAATGGGAGGACAAATTCGCATAGTGGCCTAAATTTTTTAAAACAGTGTGGGAAAAATTATCATAGTGGTTCAAAATTAAAAAGCAGTGAAAAAAATCGCACAGTAGGATACATTGAAAAAATGGTGGGATAAATTCGCACAGTGGGAAAAATTTAAAAAAATAGTGAGACAAATTCGCACAGTGGGATAAATTTAAAAATAGTAGGACAAAATCGCCAAAATGGCCTAAATTTTTTTATATGGTAGTGGCATGAATTTAAAAAAATTCTAACATTTTCAAAATTTAATTTCGTAAATTTCCTAAAAGTTTTATTATCTAAAATATTTTAAATTCACAAAATTTTCAAAATTTACAAACTTAAAAATTTCCAAAAATTTTAAAATTATGTTATTTTTTTAATTAGCCAAGAAATGGTAAGACAAATTTGCACAGTGGGATAAAATTAAAAAAATGGTGGGACAAATTTGCACAATGGGATAAAATAAAAAAATGGTAGGGCGAATTTGCACAGTGGGGTAAATTTAAATATAGTAGTACAAAATCGCACTGTGGCCTAAAATTTTTCAAAATGTCTAAAATATTTTAAATTCACAAAATTTCCAAAAAATTTATTTTTTATTTAATTTTTTTAAATTATGTTTAATAGTAGGACAAATTTCTCAAAATCCTCAGTAGTTCAAAATGAAAAAATAGTAAAAAAATTGCACATTTTAAAATATTCACACAGTGGCCTACATTAAAAAAATGGTGGAAAAAAATAGCACTGTGGGATAAAATTAAAAAATTGTAGGACAAATTCGCACAGTGGGACAAATTAAAAAATAGTAGGACAAAATCGTACTGTGGCCTAAATTTTTTTGTAAATCTTCAAAATATTTAAAATTTGCAAGATTTTAAAAATTTACAAACTCTTGAAAATTTACAAAAATTTAAAAATTGTGTTATTTTTTAAAATTATGTTTAATAGTAGGACAAGGTAGGATAAATTACAAAAATGGTAGGACAACTTTGTACAGTGGGACAAATTTAAAAATAGTAGGACAAAATCGCACTGTGGTCCAATATTTTTTAAATGGTGTTGGCATGAATTAAACAAAATTCAAAAATTTTCGAAATGTATATATAAATTTATAATTTTTAAAAAAATGTATTATATATGTTATATAATATGTACAAAAAAATGATTTTTTTTAAATTATTTTTAATATCTTGCTTGGTTTATACCATATAAAACTACTAAATTAGTATTTTTTTCCTGGACTTTAAAATTGCTAGTAATTTTTTTAAATTTTTTTACAAACTAGCAATTTCATTTTAATTTTAATCTAACTGTTGAACTTCATAATTACCGTTTACAGAATTATTGGCAGTAGATCCATTGCTCAACTGCCCGCTAAGACTCTTCTTGAAATACGTATTTGGGGGTTTGGGAACCTCGCTATTTCCATCCAGTCTAAAACTCTCCAACGACTCCATCTCAACGCTATCGTTATTGATATGACCAGGCCTGAAAGTACTAGTACTAGTACAACTGGATGCAATGCTTAGAGTGTCGTAGTCCGGGGTGGGGCAGTAATAATCCGGGAGATTGTTGTTGTTGTTGTTTCTTTGATACGTCACGTTTTTGTAGCTATTTTCTTCGCCGTTGTTGGTAATATTTTGAGTGTACGACAACGTGGAATATTTAATGGGGACTGGAGGTGCTTTGCCTTTGACTTTTGGTTTGAGTGGAGACATTTTTTCGGTGAGATTGTGGTTTTTTATTACTGGGGAGCCATCCAATTCGCCTGTTGGCTAAAATATTAAAAACAATTACGATTTTCATGATTTTTGATTTTTTGTAACTTACCAGTGGCGGAGGTGGCGGCGGTATTTTCATTTCGTTGGGTTTTTGGAAAATCGTTGCGCTTTTGTCTGACGTCTCTGTCGGTTTGTTGTTTGTTTCTTTGTTTGCCAGACGGTCCTGAAATAGATAAAAAAAATGTATGTTATTATTGTTTTTTTTAAATTTCTGCTGTCCATAAATCTCGTGACGCTGAATTATTACAAATAAGATTCAGAAAATATTTTTAGGGGGTTGGGACGTTCGATAATTCGTAAATTTTGACCATTTTTAGCGTCACGAGATTTATGGACATGGAAAATATTTCATGCTTAAATCGATTTAGCCATTTTTTAATCATGCCTATTTTTTTATAAATCGCATTTTTGTTTGTTTACATAGTAAAAAATCGTAATTTTTGTTTAAACTTAAATTAATTCGTTACGCCCCTGATATTCTTTAATAATTTTTTAATTTTTATTTCCTAAGTAATTTTACTAAGTGTACAGCGATTTTGTATAATTTATTTTTTCTACTCCCACCTTTAAAACGCCCTTTATCGTACATGTTTCCATGACACTAAGTGACCTTTTAAATGCACATTGACAAGTTGTGGCTTTATGGCGCTTTAGTCACGGGCTGAAGTTAGCAACAGGTTTTTAGTCACGGGCTGAACTTAGTTTTAAGTTAGTTGACAGTTGTCAAATGGCATACAATCGTTAAAATAAATTGCCTTTCTTGTAAAATAATACTAAATGTGAAAATTATTTTATTATCTCAATACAAAAATACAAAAGTATTAAATAGTTTATTTGTTTGTTTGTTTCACTGTGAAAAACTGACAATTTTCAAGAAATACATTTTGATTTATAACCTTTAAAATCTGTGTATAAAATTTAAAAATGTGACATTTGACGGTGACACACAGATTCCCCTATTGTTTCATAGATGGCGCTCTATACAAATTTTTGATTTAAATCATTTTAAGATAATAATAAGTATTTGTCGTAGAAAAAGTATAGTATGCACCTCGTTTATAAACTTTTCTATACGTTTATCAAACTTGATACATAATTTACTTTGATGATTTTTAAAATATTAGATATCTTGTATGTATGTATTTAAAAATAAATGCATTTTCTTTCTTACAATTTTATTTTATTTTTTAGAATTTTATATACCTATTTCACAATTATTAAGTAAAGTTTATTGGTATTACGGTTATATTAAATTTACCAATAGGTACTGTTATTTTTATCTCCATATTAACAATATAGCTATAATATAACACTAAAAAACATTAAAAAATTACCATAATGGACTAAAGTAGGTATTCAATTAATTTAATTTTTGTAATTTAATGCACTGGCAACCAAGTAAGAAAGAACATAGCACAAAAAAGGAAACGCTTTAGATTGGGAAACATGTATTACTATAAAATTGGCATAATTACTATTTCCTATTTCAAACAATTGTAAAATGTATATAAATATGTATCATTGAAAATGAGTCACATGATTTAATCCTAAAGAAGCGCAGGGTATTTAATATTAATCCATATCCATATCAGCTAAATGCAATTGAATAATTTTTTACCTATTTTTTTCTACTAGGAAAAACGTTATTTTACTTAAATTTTTGGTTAATTTATTTAGAATGGTGGTACTTGGGTAATTTAACCATAAGAAATTAAATTTAAATTCAAATTTAATTGAGTTAGATTTATATATAATCGAATTTGTTTTAGACAATTTAAAAAACTAATTATAAAAGTTTTATAACTTAGGTAATGCTGTTATTTAAATAATTACTTTCTTTTATTAATATAAATATAATAAAAAAATCTAGTTTTATATAACAATTACTATCAAAATTAAAGGTAATTATGATGATTTAATAAATTAAATTAAAATCAAGATAAAATGTGCATATCTAAACAAAAACAGCACTTATATAACGAAGCTAAAATTGCTGGAAAAAATTATGCATTCCTTTCATATTTATGAATGAAAATGCCGGTTTTCGACATTCCCAAACAAAATTTAGGTTTGCAAGTTTAATTATTTTCCAAACACTTTCTTACGTAAGTCGCACTTAAAGATTCTCACGATTGTACGTGTGCTTAAGGCACAGTTTAAATTACGTAAGATTCACTTTTGATGTTACCTTTGTAAATAAATTAATAGCTAGTTGTACACTTAATATATTTGGAATTTTTGTCTACAAAAACTAGGCAACCAAATTAGCCTGTAAATTTAATGTAAAATTTATTTTGATTAATAATTCAAACAGGTTTTCCAGTCATATGTAAGGAAAAATATAAGGAAGCAAAAATTATTTGTTTTTAATTATAATTATAACCTCATCAAATTCTTTTGGCATTTAATAATCATTATTTCTTGTTAACTAGGTACACTGTCTATCTTTAGACAAAATATTTTACCCTGCGTAATAAAAATATTTATTAAAAAACAAATTTTATGAAATAAAAAAAGCACTTTAAAAACAAAATTTTTATCAATAATATATATATTTTTAAATTAATATTCAATTAACTTTAATATGAATGACCTAAGGTTTTATACTATCAATATTTTTTTAACGAAAAAAACCTAATTATCGGTGCAAATACAAAACCGTATAAAATTTAATTTATAGTTTTGCGATTAAGAAATTCTAATTGTTTAATTAATGAGCAAATATTGTTAGGGAAAATTAATTTTTATGGATCAATGAATTAAATTTTTATTGTTTTATATTTGTTATGTCCCTATTGTATTTATTTTGTTAATTTGGTTAAATATAAAGTCAACTTAATAATTAGTGGTTACAGGGTGTTTGAAAATAATCAGGAAATGTTATTAAAATTTGTTTTAAATAATATTTATTTAAATGAAAATATTACTATATAGCTTATTATTAATAACCATTGACCGTGACCGTAGTTTTACTTTTTCACTTTTTACCAAAATTTCCTTACTTCATAGGTTTGCAAAATAAACATGGGCGCCTTATATCCTTTTTGGTCGCACATTTTTTCAACCGAAAAACACTTAAATCACTAAATCAACCGAAAATCTAAAATATAAATGCAAATAATAAACAAAATTGTTTACGATAAACAAAATGACTCGTCGTTCGATTCTCTCACAGCGACGACTCGAAAACAATTGCCAGGCAAAAACAATCGCCTGCGGCGGTTTCTAGATTAGGACGGTAGAAATGGTAAAATATACGGGGTGGGCCAAAAAGTAATTTTTAGAGTAAATGAGGTGAAAAATCAATTTTAATGATGAATAAGAAAGCAGAAAATATATATTTAAATGAAACTCTAAAAATAATAATAAAATCTTCCTTTTTTTTAAATTCTAATATAAAAAAAATTTCTGCACCGTGGGTAATTCCATTTATTAGCCACCAATGAGTGCACCTCATATACTCTAATTTTATTTCTTTTTTAACTTTAAATAGACATGAACCCAAGAAGTGAAAAAAAACTCCCCTTTTCTTTTCTCCCCCAATCACCTATTTATACAGGGCTACGCAAAAGTTACTATGCAGACCTAACTTAAAAAAATTGTACTTTTTTTGCTAATAAAGCTATCGACATTAAACAAACTGTTAATTGTTAAGAAAATATTTCTCTTTTAAACCATATAGGACACATTTAGTTATTGATGCCCTAAATGGTCTTTGGGAATTTTTTTAAAAATGCAATTTTTTGGCAAAATTGTCTAATTTTATAAATTCATATATTCTTAGAACAACTTGCCAGCAAAATTTTTTTAATGTAGTTTGTTACCATAGATCTTACTCTATATAAAAGCAATGAAAACATTTTCAAATAATATTGGCTAAGAGTTCAAAAAAATATAATAAAAATCCATGTTTTCGAAAAATCACTATTTTCAGCCATTTCATGGTTTAAAAAGGCTATGTTTGAGTGAGTCGATTTAAACCAATTTATGCTTATCATCACATGCACTTATTAGCCTCCAATAACCATTAATAAAATTATTGTGTATTTTGCTTTTAACTAGGCTGGGGGTGTATGTACAGCCCAGCTATAAGCAAAATACACAATATGCCCACCTGACTTTAAGCCATTTCATGGTTTAAAAAGGCTATGTTTGAGTGAGTCGATTTAAACCAATTTATGCTTATCATCACATGCATTAATTAGCCTCCAATAACCATTAATAAAATTATTGTGTATTTTGCTTTTAACTGGGCTGTGGCTATATGTACAGCACAGCTATAAGCAAAATACACAATATGCTCACCTGACTTTAAGCCATTTCATAGTTTAAAAAGGCTATGTTTGAGTGAGTCGATTTAAACCAATTTATTCTTATCATCACAGGCACTTATTGGTCTCCAATAATCATGAATAAAATTATTATGTATTTTTCTTTTAGCTGGGCTGTGGATGTATATGTCCACCTGTGACTATATCCATATTATTAACCATATATTTCGAAAAAGCGTATTGCATCTTTAAAATAACTTGACAGCCTTGAATTGACTTCTAATTCATTCTAAATAAAAATATAAAATATAAAAACCACATACGTATGTACAGTGGCGTCGAAAATTAACTACCCATTTATTTATTTTTTAAATTAAGAAAACATAATCAAATGTACAAAAAATTAATTAAATGACTAAAAGACATACTTTTCATAAACTTTATATTTAAACAAAATAAAACAGGTATTAAATCCTAAATTTGAATTAAACCTAACTGCAAATAATTAAACTGAAGAAATCATATTCTTAACTTTTACAATCACCTAAAAAACCTATTTACTATTTTTTACCTCTAAAAAGTTATATGAATCGGAAAATTTTCCTATGTGTATAATGTCTATCAAGAGGAATAAATTAACGACTTAGGGCCTTTAAATGGATCGCAGCAGACTTCACCAAAAATGTTGGTAAAATTAAATAGATACTTTAATTTGCGTACAAATATCGGTTACAGTTGCATCCACTCGCCATTCTATTATTTGTTTTCCTCCTTAGTACAAGATTCAATCTTGGAAAATCGCAAACAATATTTTTATCCGAAATCTGCCGAAAGTAGTCAACAATCGGCAGTAAAGTAAAAGAAATAAAGTTCTACTTCACTGCCGATTTCTACGTAGGTATCACAAATTAAAGTATCTATTTAATTTTACCAACATTTTTGGTGAAGTCTGCTGCGATCCATTTAAAGGCCATAAGTCGTTAATTTATTCCTCTTGATAGACATTATACACATAAGAAAATTTTCGGATTCATATAACTTTTTAGAGGTAAAAAATAGTAAATAGGTTTTTTAGGTGATTGTAAAAGTTAAGAATATGATTTCTTCAGTTTAATTATATGCAGTTAGGTTTAATTCAAATTTAGGATTTAGTACCTGTTTTATTTTGTTTAAATATAAAGTTTATGAAAAGTATGTCTTTTAGTAATTTAATTAATTTTTTGTACATTTGATTGTGTTTTCTTAATTTAAAAAATAAATAAATGGGTAGTTAATTTTCGACGCCACTGTATGTAGTTTTTATATTTTATATTTTCATTTAGAATGAATTAGAAGTCAATTCAAGGCTGTCAAGTTATTTTAAAGATGCAATACGCTTTTTCGAAATATATGGTTAATAATATGGATATAGTCACAGGTGGACATATACATCCACAGCCCAGCTAAAAGAAAAATACATAATAATTTTATTCATGATTATTGGAGACCAATAAGTGCCTGTGATGATAAGCATAAATTGGTTTAAATCGACTCACTCAAACATATCCTTTTTAAACCATGAAATGGCTTAAAGTCAGGTGAGCATATTGTGTATTTTGCTTATAGCTGGGCTGTACATATAGCCACAGCCCAGTTAAAAGCAAAATACACAATAATTTTATTAATGGTTATTGGAGGCTAATAAATGCATGTGATGATAAGCATAAATTGGTTTAAATCGACTCACTCAAACATAGCCTTTTTAAACCATGAAATGGCTGAAAATAGTGATTTTTCGAAAACATAGATTTTTATTATATTTTTTTGAACTCTTAGCCAATATTATTTGAAAATGTTTTCATTGCTTTTATATAGAGTAAGATCTATGGTAACAAACTACATTAAAAAAATTTTGCTGGCAAGTTGTTCTAAGAATATATGAATTTATAAAATTAGACAATTTTGCCAAAAAATTGCATTTTTTAAAAAATTCCCAAAGACCATTTAGGGCATCAATAACTAAATGTGTCCTATATGGTTTAAAAGAGAAATATTTTCTTAACAATTAACAGTTTGTTTAATGTCGATAGCTTTGTTAGCAAAAGAAGTAAAATTTTTTTAAGTTAGGTCTGCATAGTAACTTTTGCGTAGCCCTGTATAAATAGGTGATAGGGGGAGAAAAGAAAAGGGGAGTTTTTTTCACTTCTTGGGTCCATGTCTATTTACAGTTAAAAAAGAAATAAAATTAGAGTATATGAGGTGCACTCATTGGTGGCTAATAAATGGAATTACCCCCGTTTTACATACATTAATTTATTAAATAATTACCCCCAATTATCTGATTGATTAATTCAATTAAAAAATGCATTATTTTACGCTAGAGCCACAATTTGCTAGTCTGACACCTTCCCGTAGAAAAATTTCTACGGCACGAGAAAGTTTTTTCTTATTAGATGTTATTAAACGCAATAAGCGTTGCCGATACTAATTTTTAATTATAATAAAAAAATATGGGAACACGTAAGTCACCAAAAGAAGATTTTTTTGTTATTATTATTATATACATAATACACAGTATAAAATTATATGTTTATTTAACATATTTCTTGTGTCCCAGAAAGTCCAGTCAAATTTTTTAGTTTTTTTGAATTTTATTACTTATGTTAATTTTTAACACAACAGAATGTGTAAAAGAAAATTAATATATGTTATTTTTTTACATTTATATTTTATTTATTTCACACAAAAAAGTGTTACTTTAACATATAAGTTATTATTTTAATTCTTTATTTTAACAATATTTTTTTAATTAATTTTTACATTATTATTTGTTTATTTTTATTTATTTTAATAAAAAATTTAAATTAATATAAGAATATTGGTTTCTAAGAAAAAAATAAAACATGTAAGTATGTAATAATAATGATTTATTATACTACAACATAATTTTAAAAAAAGGCCAGCAATGAAGCATTGGAACTCACTAAAATTGCACAGTCTAGTCCTTTTTTGTATTCCAAAATAAAATACAAATCCATGCTATAGGGTAAACTGTCTTCAAACATTTCTGGGGATACAAACGTTATGTAAGTAAAAAAAACATTGTCATAGCAAACTTACCTTTAAATTTTGTTAAACACAAACTATATAAAAGCACACTTAACCTTACAATTAGGAACCTCTAATCGAATTAACTATCATCAACCGACTAAACGCGGTTAGAAGACAAAGGGCCTTGCAGGGTACCGATTTTAATCGAAAGAAGGCGAAAATTAGCGAATTAGAAGAATAACATTTATATTCAAGTTGAATTGAATACAAAAATACTCAATTGTTTTAATTTGATTAAAAACGTTCTGTACTCAAATATTTAACAAATATTTTTGAGTTAGATTAACACTTGTTTAGGAGTTATTTAAACTAATGTATTATATTGAAATTAACATAATTTTCTCGTAACATTAACTATATTATTACACTACAATGTACAAAAAAATTATTATTTAACAATTTTATTTGTGTAGGACCTTTTAACGCATTAATGTTTGTTAAATCTTTTGAAATTTTAAGATTTTAATTATTATAATTTCAATTTCAAGTCTCATTTTTATTTTTAACAAAAATTTTATAAATTTTTAAGCGTTTGCCTACAAACCTAAATTTTAAAATTAATGTAAATTATGTATTTATAAATTCACTTTTTAGTCTGGGATAACAAAGTTTCTGTTTTTATTTTTTTTTATTAAAAAAATGCAAAGTAATGTTTTTGAAGGTTTTGTATAAAAAATATATTTGGTTGAAAAATTAGCATTGTTATCATATTAAATTTTTTTTTAAATTATGGTGATGGTAAAAATAAAACGGATCTTGACAAATTCAAAAACCTGTAATTTTACGAAATTAAGATAAAATGTTTAATTAGTCATAATTCTGGAAAAACTTATTGCACATTGTATTTTTAATCTACGTATTTACTACGGTTGTCAGTTTTCTAATAAACATTCAATAATCTAATAATGTGTAACAAATTTCAAATATTTGTTTAACAAGATATCGTCCTGCTACGAGACATTCAATATAAAATGTTTACAAAAAACTAGATTTTTGCCAAAATGCTCCTTTCAAGAAATTCTGTCCCAAAAGTGGAAAAACGCAAAATGAATGTTTAAATTTTAAACATTAGAAAAACGTATTTAAAAAATACTCACAATTGCTTCTTTCAAAGAATTGGCATCTCCGGCTCCAGCATTCTGTTGGGCCCCTGGCTCGGACACGGTCCTGAACATTTTTCGGTGGGCCTTTTTAAATTCGTCCATCAATTTTGTGTGTTGAAATTGTTTGTCTTGCGACACGTTTTTCATTATTTTTTTCATTTGTATTTGCTCGTCTATCGACGGTTTTTGTTCTTGTTCTTCAGGTGAAGTCGGATTTTTCTTTAAAAAAGATTACAGTTAAAACAATGGACATTTTTAAAAGTCCTAATAAGTAAAAAAAAACGCAATAAATTTGGTATTTTTTGACCCACCTGATTCCTTCTTTGTATCTCCATGCAAATAGCACTTGACAGACTACTGGATGCAGTACTCGACCTACTGGCAACGCTGCTAAAACTGCTGACAGACGCGCTTTTCGTCAAAACGTTGTGCACATTTTGAAGCGGCTTTTCCACTTTTGGTTTATCCTCGTCGCTTCTGTGAACCTGAAGTCAAATAAAAAACCTTTGAGTTTTTTAATTTTTCAAACTGGGTTATTAAAAAAAGGAGTGTCAAGAGAGCAGTATTCAGTGGCAACCCGTGACATTTCATTTTGGTGAGGCAGAGGCAGGGTTTCGCCCTCATTTAAAGGCGAAGAAATTTTTTTAAACCCAACTTAAAAAACTGACGTCGCAGTTCAAAACCTATACTTAAAACTAAGTAAAAAACTTGGACTGTGGTAGGGAAGGAATCCTCTACTTTGTCAATGAAATATATTTTATTGTAAAAATGACGTTTATTTTAAATAAACCTCATTTTTGTCTAATTAATATTTTATTGTTCAGAAAGAACCACTTGAAGGTGTAGAGGTAAAGTGCAGCATTATTAATATAACCATTAGGTTTAAGCCCTAATCATTAAATTAATAATAGTAGGTACACCATCTTGCCGGAAAAAAGGGAAACTGGGAATAGGAACTGAAGGGAAGTAAGGGGAACTGGAGAGAAAAAAAGGAAAAATGAGTTGCGTATAACTAAAAACTAAAACTTCTCCTTATAAAAATGGGAAGAGTGCGAAACAATCAACAAAATAAATATAACTCTTATAAATAAAAAAATAAATATATAAATAAATATACATGTTTCTAAATCAATCTGTTTTCTTCAAAATTAAACAGAAATCTTACAAATTCACACATAAAACTCCTAAATTAAAATCAAAAACCTCGTCAAAAACCCGCTTACACTGAAGAGAAATGCGTAAATCCATAATGACTAAATTCACATAAATCACCAAGTTCAATTAACTAAACCCACAGAATACACCACTTACAAAAGAATCATAAAATAGACAAACTCATAGAAAAAGAATAAACAAAATATTGCGTAAATAACCACAGATTTGTTCTTTAAACAGAATTTTATAATCAAAACAAACCTAAAGAAGGAATCTGTATTTATTTTATTGGTTACTGTGATATGAAATATAATTTCGATTAAATCGATTTATTATAAGAAAAATAATACCATTTATTATTGAATTTTGAAAAACTTGTGAAGAACCTATAATTTATCTAAAATTCCGCAACAGTGTTGCCAGAACACCTGCTTATTTCCTTGGATGTAGGCGTGCCTGCCTCGCGTATGCTAATACGAGAGAAGGAGACAACTATGATATCGCATTGTAATAGAACGAGACAACAAGGCTAACGCCAATCGTGAGTCTAAACTAGTTCAGGCATGCTTCTGAGTCAATCATCTAGCTATAAATATTAGTTTAAATTGCGGTCGTTTCAAATTCAAATAATTTAAATGTTTCTGGGTATTCCACGTATAAAATCAATCAATTTTATTGACTATTTCACAATTCATGTAATCGAAATATTAAAAATTTATAGTATATTATAGAAAGTAAAATATTAAAATTATACTTAATTTTTTAATTCTCTATGATTAGGCACTGCTTCACCTGCCTACCCTGACGGGCCGCCACTGGCAGTATTAACTTGGAAATTTCAAATGGATTGTGATACCTCATTTGAAGGTATTTCGATTTTTATTCAACGCATATAATCTAAAATCTGTTCAATGGTTGCTTAAACATTTTTGCTTTTAAACCAATTTTCACGAGGTGGAAAATGAACTTTTCTTACGAGTTGAACAGGCTATTTTTTGTACCCTTAATGGAAACAGTGGAAAACTTGAGAATATTTTAACCAAAATTGTTTTTTTACAATGAGTTTTTTTTTAAGAAAACGAGGGTATTTTGGAAGCCGCGAGTCAAAAGAAAAATATATTACCTCGACTACCACAGTTTTGGTTTCCATCATCGGAGGAGCAGGAATATTATCGGACATTTTTTGGTTGTCAAAATTTCGGGTTTCGTAAAATTCCTCTTCATCCCCATTATTTTTGATCGTGGTGCCATTTTCCGACAAATTTATAATGGTCGGTTTGAAAAACGGTTTCTCCTCCTGTTGAATCTCGTCCCACTCTATGGCGTCCCATTTTGACCCACCAGACACTACGAAAAAAAAAACATTAAAACCAAGTTCAAAAATTCAAACTACGTTTACTTTTTCTGAAGCGCTGGTCGAGCTGCGAAAGTCGGTCTTCCAGATCCAAACTCTCCTCTTTGACAATGGACAATCTCTTGGAGTCGCTCCAGGATGGCGATTGGTCGCCTGTTACGGAACTGGCCGAACTGTTGTACCCCGACGACTCGCCAGGGAAGAGTTCCGAGCCTGCGGATTTTCTCACCACCAGATCCAACTGTCTGGAGGTTTTCATCAGGTTGACAGCCTGCAAGGAACAATATTTTAGCATAAATGTTATTCATTGCTTGAAGAAGTGGAAGAAGTATAGTTCTCTTGAAAACATCTCTTGAATGTTTCTGCTTTTGGTCCTCGTTAGTGCCGGGTCACTGTATGTTAACGATTAATAAAGAACAACGAAAACAAAAACATTGCAATGTTGAATTTTGCCACTCACCTCGTTGAATTGTATATCGGAAAAATCCACGTTATTGCAGATCAAAATTTGATCACCAGGTCGTAAACCAGCCTCTCTGGCGATGCCTCCCTCCTTTGTAAATTGTATGAAGATGCCTTGTTTCCATTCTGGACCTTTGCAAATTCTAAAAAAAAAATATTAACAAATAAGTTGCAAAAATGGCGGATGCGCCGGGATTAAATCTACAGTTTTAGTGTTTTTAAACTTAAAAAAAACTTACCCACATCCCAATTTCGACCTGGGTGCCACCATGATGTTTATTCTGACATCGTGGATTTTTTCATGGAGCTGTGGAGATGACCTTAACGATGAATTGTCGTTTGTGATGATTTGCCAACTCAAACTGTCATTTTTTCTACTGTAAATTACAAAACAATTAATAAGTAAAAAACTATATATAAGCACATAGTTATTGGAAACTTCAGGAATATTATTAATTTAAAATTTATATATATATATATATACCGTTGTTTTAAAGATTTTTGTTTTTTTCTTATAAATATATAAAAAGGATTGTTTGTTTAAACTTTATTTACGTTTACATACTTAAAAATAGGAATATTTGAATTTTTAATAATAGTTTTATAAAAACATGCCAAAAATTATGGTAATTGGACATTTTAGTTATTGGACATACTGAAAATATTTTTTAAAGATAAATTGCTGAGTTAGGTAATATTTTTTAATTCTTTTTTGTAAATATCATATAATTCATATACATATTTCTTTCTCGGATTCCTCATCCCTTTTCTGGATTCTGAAGGTAACTACTAATTCCTTGGCCTGACTTCTGAAATAGTTTGTTGCAAATATCATTAAGTGTGGTATCTCTAGTTTGTGAAGCATTTATAATGTTTAGGCCGGAACAGGATGATTTATATATGTCCAATAATAGAAATTTACATTTTTTACCAACCAGTAATTGGATACTGGCCATTTTACTGTTTGTTTTCAGAATTAAAATTAAAACGCATTAAAGTGACAATGTTTAAACCATGAGGAACACATTTATACCACACACTGATCTGTACACTTTTTAGAAATATTTTTTATTGTAATTTAAACACAGCCCTGCTCTCAACAAAAAAAACAAAAATCTTACCACCAAAGTAACGTGCGAACTTTTTTGTCCTGTATTGGACCCAAAATAAAGTAGTTCTATATTATTACCGACTGAGATAGTTATAATTGTATACAGCGTCATCTAATGATTTGACTTTAAGGTAACCATTTATAGAACTCTTTTTTACTGTATTAATGTTAATTGTCCAATAACTATACATTATTTTTTTTACTTACTCCTTTATAGGGATCATCCCAACACCTGAAACAAGAAAAAAAAAGAAATAGAAACATATCAAAGAAACAAAATTTACCTAATAATAGATTCTTTTTTATAATATAATTAACAAGCATAGTTGATTTTTTATTATTTCAGCAGATGTCAAAATCAAGCATGCTCTACTTATTTACTGTACCTACTTGGTTATAAATAAAAATAAAATAATAGAATAATTCTAGAATTGTATTTTTGCTGCACGAACCTGATCAAATCAATTGTTTAAGGAATCTTGAAATTATCTAACAGTTAATTTTATTTTACCATAACATTTCAAATTTGATTCAATAGACAATCTAAATTCCTCAAGTTCTTTGTCTAGTTATTTGCAGTGTTTTGTTATCTAATATTTTTAACTATTGTTTTCAACATTTGTGAATATGAACTTTTAGGTTATAATTGTTTTTAACTGTACCAGCAAAGAGCATAAACTATTTACCACAGCATTTTACTAGTATTTCAATTACGAGTAAAAAAGTACGAGTACTGCGCAGAATGCGTACTGTGGTATTAATATATTATTATTATTATTATTGTTAATAAGAAAATCTTATATAGAAATTAAATTTTACCGCAAATATGTATACCTAAAGAAACTCGTACCCGTAACCACTCAACCATATGCAAAAAGCATAAAATTATCTAACTGCAACTTCTATGGTAACCGGTATTTAAATTAAATTGTTATCTCAGAGACCCTGTAAAGGGTTTGAACTTTAAAACTAAAGGAAACATAGACAAATTTTCAAACAAGTAGGCAGTATACGAGGTGTGTTCAGAAAATAACGGGAATTGTTAAATTTCGCGGGTTCGGAGGGTCCGGTTGTCATAAAATTTTCTTTATTATGTTGGTATACACGCCTCCGAAGTATGATAAAAACTTTAGCTGTTTTCATTGTTTACTTTGTCTGTGGCAGCCGCTAAGGTTAGACGTTTTATGAGCTCGGCGATTTTTTGTTCGTTACAAGAAATGGATCAAAGAATTTGTATCAAATTTTGCTTAAAAAATAAAATAAATTCTTTGAAATGTTAACAAAGGCCTATAATGAGTCTGCTATAAGTAAAACAAGAGTATACAAGTGGTATAAGAGTTTCCAAGATGGCCGTGAAGACTTTGAAGATGACGAACGCCCCGAACGCACAAGCACATTAACAACCGATAAAAACATGGAAAAAGTGGAAGAAATGGTTATAAACCATCAGAGAAGTCGCTGATGATGTTGGTATATCGATTTGCTCATCCCATGAAATTTTTTTGAATGTTTTGAGTATGAAACGCGTGGCAGCAAAATTTGTTCTAAAATTGTTAAATTTTGAACAAACTTTTTGGCCAAAAACAATACTGTAATGATGCCCCAGCCTCCATATTCGCCAGACATGCCTCTGTCTGACTTTTTCCTATTCCCAAAAATAAAGAGAACCTTAAAGGGCCGTCGTTTTGCAAGCATAGATGACATTAAAAGCGCATCGCTGAAAGAACTAAAGGCTATCCAAAGATCGAGTTTTAGAAGTGTTTCGAGTATTGGAAGAAGAGCTGGCACATGTGCATAATATCCAATGGGGACTATTTTGAAGGCGACAACATTAATGTAGACGAATAAATAAATATTTGTTTCAAAAAACGAAATTTCCCGATATTTTCTGAACACACCTCGTATGTAATAATTATTACCTACACATACTGTCTGTCCACTCTAAGTTGGCTTAACTAAGGAATTTTGTAGTTTAGATATTAAAGAATTGTCGTACTGTGTGCTTTTAAAACAGATTTTATATTATAAATAATACTAGTACATATTATATACTATTTAAAATCTGTTTTAAAAGCACACAGTACGACAATTCTTTAATATCTAAACAACAAAATTCCTTAGTTCAGCCAACTTAGAGTGGACAGACAGTACATTTGGTGGTTAATTCTATCAAATTCCACTAATTTAGCAGCTCTTTCATAATTCCAAACCAAATATTAACTAACGCAAGAAACAATCTTCCAAAATGTCGGACACTTTCGTGAGTGGGGGATATTTTTAAGAATAGGCCAGTCGTACCAATATTTACTAATCTTAGAATAAATATAATTATATTTATATCCAGTATAGTTTTATATCTTAAATAACAGAATAGAGGCAATTTTCCAAAATTTGGTCCAATCGATTGTTAATTTTAAATTAAGAATAAGATTATTTCATTTAAAGTCTTTCTTAACATTTGACAGGCAATAATAAGATCTGGTTGTTTAAAGAAAGATTGATATTTTGTTTAAATATCGGCCATTTTGGATCCGCCACTTTGATTTTGAAATTGCTAATTAATGGCCACTCGTCACGGGGGTATTTTATAAAGCAAAAACAAGCCAATCAAGGTTAATGACGCCGAAGACTTTTATTAAGATCCCGCTGCGAATTCAAGCGTAATAAAAACAAAACAAAAAACGGCAAGTTTAATTTAATCTTAATTCCGAGATTTAATCGCTGTGCGGTATCGCTACTTCATTTATTGTACAGGGCTACTCTTTGAAACAAGTTAAATTTGGTATGCTTTTGCATAATATTTTCTGCTGCTGCTATTACATAGTTTTAGTTATGATTTAGTGCACCTAATAAAACCAACAAAATTAAGTACGCTATCATGTAAAACTGTAATTAAATCTTTAACGGAGCTGAACTGGTTGTTAAAAGATTCACATAACTGTCCTAATAAAAACTTTTATGGTGTAGGTACCTATGTATACATAGATTTATACACAACATGTTAAAAGACCTATCGTTTTACCTATAAAAACAATGATATAATTCATCCATTTATGTAAATTTAACAACAAATTAATAGTCAATTCAATAAACTATTTTCATTGTAACAATGGTCACATTTTCAACCTACTGTTGGGTGTTGGGTAGTTTTTTTTAAATAATTGCAAGGCATTAAAACAAATTATTTATTATAACAAAAAAATTAACTCATATTATATGATGTACAAGATAAAAAAATATGAACTCACTTTTTAAACAACAAGTCTGCTTCGTTTATAGAACAGCCCTTATATTTCTTTTAGAAAACGTCGAAATTTTAATTTTCTTAGTGATCTTTTTGATATTTTTATCATGCTAGATTTTACCACACTTCACTCGCACAAGTGAAATTAATAAGATTATAACACAGACTGTGGATTATAAAGTTATGTTCACCAAGGAGAGCGCTGGCCCTTTCCCCCTCTTTTCAAGGGAAATAACAAGAATTTTGTTACTATTGCAAAACAATAGTAAATATTAAAAAAGTCTTTTTATAGCAATAAAATATTTTTGTTATTGTTCTTAACGTAAGTTATTAACAAAGATTTTCTAACTGAAATAAAATTAATTTGAATTACAACGATAGTAATTTAAAAAAGACAAATATGACATAGTAAAATGAACAAATTGTGCATTACTTTATGTACAGATTTAACAAAAACTTAAGTTCGACAAAGATTTAATATAATCACAAAGTATTTCTTATTGCCATGACAATATGATAACAACTATTACTTTGTTGGATGAACATTTTTTTATAAAAGCTCAACATTGCTGCTTTATTACAGTAAATGAGAATTTTATTAACAGTAAAAAAAGTTTATTCTGTTAATAAAAATAATCTCATTACTTTGACAAATCGTAGGTTTTTGTCCCGATAAGACACTGAAAATTTAATAAAAAAGGTACCTTAAGTACATTTTTTTATAGTCATTACAATTTTAAATTTAAGTTAAACAATATTATTTTGACAAACCGTGTATAAGACTGAAAAAAATTGATATCTTATGATTGTATTTTGGATTTTAGAACATGCAGAACTTTTTATGAGGAATAACTTTTTTTCTTAAAAGTGGAAAAACGCGTTTTTTTCTCCAAGATATTCAACAACTTGTATCACCCTGTATAATACGAGTGATTAATAATAATCACCTATATTTTCCGCCATGGATTTTAGATATTAAACCGTATGTAATGCATTTATAATAATGATAATTACATATTAAAACTGGTATGGGAAGGTAGACTTACTTCGAACTTTAAGTGTCAGATGCGTGTGATTCGAGATGAGTTGAAGGACTTCTTTGTGAACGGCATCCTCAATCGTAAACCCATTGATTCGCACAATTTGATCACCCACCTAAAACGTAAAAAAATTAGTGCAATATTTTTCCGATTAGAAGTTACCTAGTTAATAAATACGGCATCCGCAGCTAGCAGTTTGTAAAAAAAATTAATACATTAAATCATGATAACTTTTTATCTATTTTGCGTTCATAATGACTTCATTATAACACCGCTTTCGGTGCTGTAATGAGATACTTTATACCACCCAAAAGTTTGATTTTATATGTTGGCTATACTTTAAACAGCATAATATTTTGCATGTTTGTTATAATATTTTTATGATTTTTCTTGTACTTTTCTGGCAATAAATTTTGTTTAACACCAAAGAAAATCCTTTTTTTCTTCTTTAACATTAGCAGCCGCTTATTGTAAATAAGTAAATTAAGGACGGCATGGCGATTCGATTTTGACATTAACTGTCAAACTGTGATACCAACTATCTAAAGTAAAACTCGACCAAATTAAATTTAAGGTATAAAATTATTTTTGTTTATAGAATTTTTGCAAAATAGATAAAATAGCATAAAGAACTCATGTCATAAGACCTTTTTATGTTTTTCGCGTTCATCTATTTTAACTGTAATGTGGTGAATTTTTTAATAATCGGTTTCAATAACACTTATCTGGAACATAAGAACTTATTTTTTTTTCAGCTAATTCACTCTCTCTAGAAGAAAGTATTTCAAAATTCTTTGCTATTGATTGGATATAAAATTACCACTGAACGAAATTGGAACAGTTTACTTTTTCCTTTTTTGCTACCTACAAATAAAAACTAATAGAAGCACTATGAGAATGGCTTCAGCAATAAATACATTTATTAGAATTTTAAATTGTACATTTTACAGGAATTTCAGAGACACCTTGTATATTATTACACAGTAAAAAAATATTTGTTAATTTTAATGTTGAAAAATGTACTTTACATAATTTTGGATCTACCCTGTATAGAATCTGAAAAATAATTATTTGGTTATAATCAGCTCGTAAATACCTTTTTAACAAGGTATCACATGACCGCACTTTCCATTAAAACAAATATGACCTTTTAACAGTACCTACAAATCCATTTTGATTTTTTTTAATTGTTTATTTCAAAAATAGTTTATATGCTCCTGCATTGACGAGCTGTGACTTTATGGCGTTTTAGTCACAAGCTTGCTCGTGTCTAATAAAACTTGTAACTAAAATGGCGTTTATAAAACTTGATACCTAAATAATATACTAATTTAATGTCCAGTTTAACATAGGTACTAAAATTTCCTATTCCCAACCTACCGCTTCTAAAAATAAAGGGGGGGGTTTAGTGCGCGCAGTATATATACATATATATACTGCGTAGTACTTTTCAAAAAGATTTTCTTTTATTAACTATTTAACTAGAAACTTAATAACAATATTTTAATTTAATAACAACCTTATTATACTAATCAATTTAGAAAGTCTATTGTCTTGATATGTCCTCAAGTATCTTATATTTAAATTACAGAAGAAATGCTAATATCAAATTATTATTAATAATCGCTGAATAATGAGGTAAATTTATGGGCAAATTACATATTTTTATAAATTTTATACCTAAATGCGTGGGATTGCTATTGCTATTTTACAAAGTAGGTATATTAAAGTAGTATAGGTACTTAAAGTAGTCTGGCTGTCTTAAAACTTAAACTAAAATGACCGTAATATATATTTGTACACTCAGAAAAATGTACATGCACTGATCATGAAACTAATTTTGTAAGCGATTAATAAAATAATATTATTTAACTTAAATTAAAAATTTTAATGGCTATAAAAAAATGTACCACCTAAGGTACCTTTTTTATTCAATTTTCAGTGTCTTATTGAAACAAAACCTACGATTTTTCAAAGTAATGAGATTATTTTTATTTAGAGAATAAACTTTTTTTACTGTTAATAAAATTCTCATTTACTATAATGAAGCAGCATGTTGAGCTTTTATAAAAAAAAATGTTCATCCAACAAAGTAATAGTTGTGAACATATTGTCATGGCAATAAGAAATACTTTATGTTTATATTAAATCTTTGTCGAACTTAAAATGTTTTTGTTAAATCTATAGTTGTGTGTGAATTGTGCTTACATAAAGTAATGCGCAGTTGTTATAGTAAAATTTGTTCATTTTACTATGGCATATTTGTCTTTTTTAAATTACTATCGTAATTCAAATTAATTTTATTTCAGTTGGAAAATCTTTCTTAATAGCTTACGTTAAGAACAATAACAAAAATATTTTATTGCTATAAAAAGACTTTTTTAATATTTACTATTTTTTTGCAATGGTAACAAAATTTTTGTTATTTCCCTTTAAAAGAGGGGGAAAGGGCCAGCGCTCTCCTTGGTTAACATAACTTTATAACCAACAGTCTGTGTTATAATCTTATTGATTTCACTTGTGCGAGTGAAGTGTGGTAAAATTTAGCATGATAAAAATATCAAAAAGATCACTAAGAAAATTAAAATTTCGACGTTTTCTAAAAGAAACATTTAAGGTCTATTCTATAAACGAAGCAGACTTGTTGTTTAAAAAGTGAGTTCATATTTTGTTTATTTTGTACATCATATAATATGAGTTAATTTTTTTGTTATAATAAATAATTTGTTTTATTGCCTTGCAATTATTTAAAAAAATCTACCCAATACCCAACAGTAGGTTGAAAATGTGACCATTGTTACAATGAAAATATTTTATTGAATTAACAATTAATTTGTTGTTAAATTTACATAAATTTTTTTAATATTATAAAAAAAGTTTTATTTTAAACGATTTGTAAAATTTACAAAATTTCTATGAATAATACCATTAGGGTTTCATTAATACTACAAAACGTTTTTGTAAACGGTATAGAACTGTTTTTTTTTGGACAAATAATAATGCCTTTCTGCATCTGGAAGAGTGGTATTTTTATAAACATAACGTAATTTTACTTTATAATTAGGCATAATTTTTTTTTTATTTATAATGGTTTAGTAGGAAAATTTATTCGTATGCATAGACAAAATCTACATTTATTGAATTGAAGCCAAACTAAATATTTGTTTTGCAAAACGAACAGACAACACCATGATGAGCAACTTAACTTCGAAAGTAAATTGTATTATAAAAGCGTACAGTGTTGTGTGTGTATTGGTAAATTCCCAGCTGGGTGCTCTGCGGAGAAAAGTTAAAAAAATATCGCCGATAAAATTTATGGCGACTTATTACACGGTAATTGCCGGTTTATAGTAAATAATTATCGGTTATTTGCTGGATCGTATACGAGACCATCATTCTGCAGCCACAATCATAATAAATTCAGAATTTACAGGACCGCATCAAAATGGTATAGTGTTTAGTAAGGGGTGCGGGAAATTTTATAAATGTTTTAAAAAATTTTATACATGGGTGAATATATTGAGATATTTTGATTATAGACCCTTTTGGTAACACTAACATGTATTTATCAAAATCCCAGCTGATCCTATTTTAAAGTTTTGCAAACTTTTTTGTTTTTCTATTTCTATATATTATTTTGCAATTATTGTACTAAAACTACCTGTACAATTTTAATAAAATTAAGCAAAATAATAAACTTTGTATCATTTAAATTACTTTACTCTCCAGTATTAATTTATTGAGTCACCTATTATTTTTTACCACTCAAAACAAAACATAACAAAACAAACGAAGATTTATATCTTAAATATTTTTTATAACAAAAAATACTGGAAGTTTCTCTATGAAATAATTACAACTTGCAAATTTTGTAAAACAATAATTAAGGTGGTCATGAAAAAAATTGCTATACGTTATAACGCAAGTGACATTTTGCTTTTGTTGTTTATTTAATGTATACTTTATAAAGTTAAAAATAGTATTTTAAAATGAAAATTAAACCGAAATTCAAGTTAAGCCATGAAGAAAATCGAAAGAAGGTATGTGCTGGCTGTGAAGACAAAATTGTTTTTGGTAATCGAAAAATTCAGAGAAAATATAAAAATTACTGCAGACTTTTTCAAATGAACACTTTAACTTAAGTGATTCAAAATTACCTACTTCAATATGGTAAAAACGGTATTTTTGCATAGCCACAATTGTCAAAATTTCAAAATTTAGAAATTGCTAGAGAATTTCGCGGCAGCCAAGAATGTATGTGCTTTATCTGCAAAATGGCAAGATATAAAGGGCATACAAAATTATTAAGGGAACGAACGAACTAAAGTTTTGATATGCTCTTCCTTTCTAGGGGATATCGCTAGATGTAAGAAGCATGTTTGTACAGAGACTGAAGAATTTAAAAATACTGTTTCCATGTTAAAAACAATTCCATGTAAAACCCAAGAAAAAGTTTTACTGAAAATTTAAGGCAAGCAGTAATCGATTTTGCTTCAAAGAATCTTAAGTTATTTATTAGTTTTATATTAGGTACCTTAAAACAATAAATAAGATATTGCAAACTGTATTTTACATTATTTTGTATTTATAATGTAATTTATCCATATTTCAATCATGTATTTGCCAAAATTTTTAAAAACATTTGATAATGGTACTAGAGTATTTTATCGAAATGGCATAAACAATTTTAAAATACTAAGAAATATGCAAAACTTTAATAAAGAATCAGCTGGGATTTTGATAAATACATTTTTGTGTTACCAAAAGAGTCTATAATCAGATTATGCTATCAGTTTTGGTTGGCATTTTTGTTCGTCCTATACTTTAGTTTTGACCACCGTGTGTAATATATACTTAATTATGAAAGATCAAAACACAATAAAAGTGTAGGTCAAACTCATTTAGTTTTATTAAATATCACGGGGTAACACCATCGGGGGACATTTCGTGAGATTCACCCACATACACTATATAGTGAAAAACTTTTATATAAGTGTTAAAAATTAAACGAAAAAGACGAAGAAACAAAGCCAGATCTTTTTCAATAAAAATATTCCCGAGTATTCTATTGTAATGAAGTTTTACCTTAACTAAGCGAAACATTTTCTTTAAATT